AGTATAAAAGCTGGATGTCCTCCAATCCTGCTCTTTCTGAGTGAATCTGTTGAACTTTAAACTAAGCAAAACCTATCCCCATAGGAGTTATAGTCTGTAATTATTTATACCATGAATGTTCAGGGCTGACTAATGAAGCTAAAACATAGCTGCACATTATTCTGCACAAGCCTTCCTTTCTGGACAGCTTCATTTAACAGTTGTAACTGCAGATTAAGTGTCCTTAGACTGTTTCCTCTGAAGGACAGATGCAGCTGGTTCTTAGTTTAGAGACTATCATCCGCAGATGTTTATGTTCTATATTCTAGCTAACCTAAGGAATAGGTTAAAAGGTAAAACAGCATATAGGCTCATCTGCAGAGTTCCTGGGAAAGTAACAGGAGGTGTGCCAAGAGAAGGTGAGCTAAAATTTATAGTTGTTTTACACAGACATTGCTTATCTCTGATTCCATTGTCTGCAATCTTTCTGCTGTGAGTCAAAATCTCCAGGACAGGTGGTGTATAGTGTTGCTCTGTTTTGAAATATATGGTGAATCCTATCTGATTCAGGAGTCCCTCTGTTCTTAAGATGTTTTTTTAATGGTTATGGCATGGAATTTGAATAGTTTTCATAGTTTCCATCCTGAAAGTAGCACAGCTTTTTACAGACATGTGTCCTTTTCAGTTGTCTGTGAACAGCAAAGCAAAGAGTTCATTTATATTTTATAGGCATTTCCTAATTACAGCAATAGAGAAGCTAAGTAAATACAGGGACATGCACACTTCACTCTGCATCTTCAGTCATGTTTTCTCTGTCAGTTCTGCTTAAAACTCGCTGTATTAATTTCTGTGTTCAATAAGCCAAGAATGAAATATCTTTTAATTTTGGGTATTACTCAGACACCATCAAAAGTTTTGATTGAAACAGAGAAGTGAAGATTAAACAGTTTAGATGGTTTGTAAAAAGAACTTTAGGATTGTTAGTAACCTTCTTGAACTGATTAACAGCATTTTGATGAAGTATGTTACTCAGATATATATATATATATATATTAATAAATTTGGTTTAATAAACATTACTGTAACTTGGGCAGTTGTCATTGGGAAGCAGTGAAGAGAAGGATGTTGTTTTTTCATCATTGATTGGTAACAGAAAAGTTCCATTAATTATCTTTTCCTGCTGTTTTCATGAAGCATCAGATCTGACTTATATCTGACTTTTTGTTTTAGTGGACAAATACTATGTTTTCTAGTTTGGACCTTGAACTATTTTACTATTCACTAGATATTAGGTTTTGGCTATGGAGAAATCTATGTGTGCCCAACTTTTTTATGCGTTACAAATTTCAAGGAGTATTTGCAGAATAGGAAACTTACATGAGGGCTCTTTCATTTAAAAAAAAAAAAGGCAACAACAAATAAATCCAAACATGATCTTTGGCTTCTTTATATTGCTATGCAGATATTGTTCACTTCTCTTTGTGATGCTGTGTATTTAAATGTTTTCTTGAATTGTTCATGATTCTGTCCGTTTCCTACTTGAAATTTTATTAATCAGATCTTTTTTCCTCTCTTCCAATACAAATTATGTCTAATTTCTAACACCTACTCTAAGACCTGAAGTACAGACTCTAATCATTTTATCAGTTAGGTGATTAATGACTCACTGTGTAGAAGCCAAGCGCCTTGGCTGAGGTGTGGCCATAGCAGAAGCATCTCTTTTGCATGGAATGTTCCTACTCTCCTTGTGTTTGGGATGTTTATGTGTGATTTTTGATGGCAAGGACCCAGCCCACTGCTGTAAGATGATTCACGATATTAAGACAGAAGGTAGAGCCATCGACTTATACTTGAAATGGATTTTGTTGGTTCTTGACTGTGTAGAAAACCACTTAACAGTACTATGAAATTAATATAAGATGCACTTACAATAAATGATAAGTAACAATCATCTACAAACCTTTCATTTCTTTAGCCTTAAAAATGAAAATGTTTGCCTTGATGGATGACGCTTTAAAATCTGATATTTACCACTTTAAGCCAACTAATTAAATTGTATCAGAAGGATAATCATCCTAGCTGCAATTTAAGCAGTTAGTAGTATTTCAGAATTCACCTGAGAAATGGAATATTGAGGATACTGGAAAATATTTCAGAGGCTTCAGAAAACAGCTCCAAAGAGCTGCATTCACAGTGCACAGCCCATGCTCAGTAACACAGAGCTCCCTTGATCCATAGAGCAGGATGGTCGGCAGTGAGCGCAGCACAAGGAATCCCTGTGAGCATGCTGAATTACAGATTCCTTTGGGTTGAGTTGGTGGGCAGGTCCATGCAGGCTTCTAGTAGAAAAGCAATTTTTGGTATTTATAATCATGAGAAAACCTTCTCAAACAAAGTGAACAATATGGCATTTTTTGATTTCACAAGTCATTTTTCTGGATGTATTTTCTAGGGCCAAGAATAAGAATAATAAAATAATTTTTTTTCTTTTTTTTTTTTTCTTCACTGAGACATGCTCCTTGTTCCTGTGGTTTTGCAATGTATCCCTCTGAAAGGATATTCTGAAAGTTATTCTGAAAGGAGAAAGGGTGCCCTGCAGAGAGAGGAGGCCCCAGGCCCTGTGCAGTGTGCACTTCCTTTGGCAAGTACCACGTGCTTTTGCATGGAAGGCATAATATTGTCTTCTCTGTTTTGTAAGCCAGCAGTGGGGTTGTTCTCAACCAGCTGTTGAGCTTTGTTTCAAAAAAGTCCAAGACAAACACCACTAAGACAGACAAACACTGTCTTCTGTGGTATTTTCTGACAGATCAAGGCTTTACATAAATACAGACTAGTTAATCTAGGTTGAAATGCTATGTATTAGTTTGTAATTAACTCAGGATAGACTGGTGCTCATTGCAAGTTACCATTGTTCTTTAAGGGGAACTGGAATAACCCTGACTGGCCAGAAGTGCAGGGATGGGAAGTTGTTTTAAGTGAGTGTTGTGAAGTTTTTCTGAAGCCAAAGCAGCTGTGCAGGAAGATTTATTGTGCATCCTATGACAGCTGTTATTTTTATTGGAATTTACATATTTTGCAGTGAGAAAAGCCTTAGTTATTCATCTAATTGGAAGCTTTATTCCAAAGGAGTTAATGATGTTAGTGAATCTGCAGTTCGCAGCCTGTTTCTGGGAACAGACAATGCTATTTCAAAAACTTGTCCCTTCTTGTTCTGATAGTTGGCAATTGAACAGGCAGCATATATGATTCCTGGGTCATTTTTACCAAGCATGAAACAAATGTAAAGAAAGCAGCTTAAAAAAAGAAAAATCAAACAAAAACAAACCCCAGAGCAAACTATGTACACTTTCAGAAACCTGCTTCTCTCATCAAAACTGCACTGTGAAAGCAACCTCTATTGTTCATACCATCTCTGTTAATGTGGCTGAAACAGGAGACCGGACTGCTCCATATTCTTTTGAACTGTTGTCTTTTATTTTTCTTGGCTTCTCTGTACTGATAAGTTTGACAGAGAATGTTGTTTTCTTTGCACTGTTTTCACTACACAGAAATTCAAAGAACAATGGCATGAGCCTTGATCGTGCTCCCACCAAGCATATTGAAAATAGAAACTCCTGCTGGCTTAGAAGAATTATGTTTCTTTTTGCACTGCTAAAGTTTTATTATTGATCACATGTTCTTTCAAAAAAGGATAGATGCAGCTTTATGATCAGCCCTACAGACTGATCTAAAGAGCACAGCAGAGCAGGAGCAATTCTAGGCAACTGCAAAGAAATACAGTTCTATTAACAGTATCCATATAGCTAATTCAAGGACAAAATTGTATCAAGTATTCTAAAGCAAGAGAATCTGGTAAGATATATTGTAATTAGTTTTTTAAAATGAGATACTTTCAACAAGTTTATTTCTCTCTTCCTTTTCAATTATTTAAAGTTTCTGCTAGGTAAAACTAAGAAAGCAGTGAATTATTCACTAAATCTTAGACATTTCTTCTGTTTGTTTTGTTTTGATTCATTGTGGGTCTGGTTTTCTGTATCTTATGATTTCAAAACCAAAGTTTTCAAGCTTTTGTGACTCTAGCTGACTTCAGTGGGATGAGTTTTTCACTCAGTGTCTTTCAAAAGATCCTTCTTCCTTTCAGTTGCTATGGCTTCTGCTATGGATTCCTGGGAGTGCAGGAAGCAGGCAGTAACATAGCATGTGTTGAGAACCACAAGATTTAAAAACCTGACACCACATAGCAAACCTAAAAGATAATATTCATTTTTAGTTAATTTTAATTGAAGTTTTGCATCAATTTAAAATTTGTAGAATTGGTACACGATAACATTTATGGACCTTAGAACTGTTTAGATGTGAGTTTCACTTAGTATGTGTATTCCTTTAAAACTACAGTGTTATGACTGGCTGTGAAGTTCAGAAGGAGGAAGGTTGAAAGTGTTACAGGGCTGAGGGTTGTCTGCAGGAGAACTGGAAGCAGCATTTATCTGAAAGCAGGGCTTTGATGCAATTTGAACAGGACTTCTTTAATGCCCAGTGAGAATACTTGTCTGCTGGGTTCAAGCGATGTTACTGTGACTGACCTTATTTCTATATGGATTCTGATGTGCACTGAAGAGTTTGATGCACAACAACTATAAACTTGTAAAGGTGGTAGAAATGACCTCCCCCACATAAATGAGTCCCAAGAGAAAAGTGCAAGGGCAGTAGAAAGGACAAGGCAAGAAAATGCAGTGGCAATGCATACAAATAAATAAGAACATAGAGGTATGTAAAAAGAGTGATTAGAAACTTTAACTGGTGGGTGGAAGGAAGAACTGACAGGGTTGAAGTTGCCTGCTGCTCGTTTTTATCACTTAGCCTTGACTTCTGCCTGTTCATATCTTTTTAATGAAATCCTTTTTTTTTTTTGTTAATCCTTCCATTGGTGAATCCTTCCGTGTCCTTGGATTGAGTTACTAACGGTGCAGTGATTTAAGGGTTGTAATCAAGTGTTGTTTTTTTTTTTTTTTCTTTGACAGGCCGGACCTGATAGACATGAATACCGTTGCTGTTCAAAGCAACCTTGCAAATTTAGAACATGCTTTTTTTGTAGCAGAAAAACTTGGTGTTGCCAGACTTCTGGATCCTGAAGGTAAGATAGCTACAAAAGGCTTTGTTGCAAAAACCCCATCCAGAGAGCTGCTTGTTGCAAATGTGTGGGCATCCTTACAACTGTGTGATAAAGCACTGTTCTATCTTGCTCTCTAGATGTTGATGTTTCCTCACCTGATGAGAAATCAGTAATAACTTATGTGTCATCACTTTATGATGCATTTCCCAAAGTACCAGAAGGTGGTGAAGGCATCAGTGCAAATGTAAGTCAGAGAAAAAAACTTGGGCAGCTGTGTGGGCATTCTTGGTTTCAGCTCCTGAGTTACAGCTTGTTCCTTGCTCTCACTTTCCAGTCATGCAGTTAGACTGGTAAATTGTGCCTCTCCAGTTCTTTTGCAGACTAGAAAATGTTGTGTTTTCACTTGAAACATTTGGTACTAACACTGAATAGGGCAAATTATATACTTGGAAACCTTAGATGAATTATAATAAGCATGTAAATATTTCAGAGCTGCACGGTCTAGAAATCTCTTTTCTGTGCCTATGAAGTCCTCAGGCTTCAAAGGTAGAACAAAAACGAAACTGTCAGGTGATTTTCTTCTGATCTATAGTCTGTGTTGTGCTTTGGTAGGATGTTGAAGTCAAATGGGTTGAATATCAGAATATGGTGAACTACCTCATGCAGTGGATCAGGCACCATGTCACAATAATGTCTGACAGAACATTTCCCAACAATCCTGTGGAGCTGAAGGTGAGATGTGGCATCTTAAACTCCTTACTGGAATGAAACTTCATCACACTTATTTGCTTGAGCATGCTTAGAATGAAATGGTTGTTGATTTATACAGTCAAATCAACTGTAGAACAGAAGCATCGTATCAATATAGGTTTTTATTAAATAGTTTTAAGGTGACCTTTGGTGGCTTTCTGACATGCAACTTAAAAACATTAGAGATGGGGTAGGGCGGCTTTATAGATATATTTTATAAATCATCCTTAAGAGCTCTTTATATAGTTTAGTGAGCTAGATTTAATTCTTCAGAAAGAGAAAGGAAAATGTTATCACTCGTTCCTCACAGAATATTTTGGATAATCCAGAATAAAAAAGAAATGATATATGTGTTGTGCAAATTCCATCACTTGAACCACATTTTAGAAGTAGAGCAGTTGTTTGGGTTTTCTTGAAGATGCCATGTTAAGACTCATTTGAAAATCTAATTGGAAAGTAGAAGAATTACATTGCTGACATATGAACGATCAAAAGCAAATCTTCTCTTGTTGCCGATGATTTTTAACACAACTGAAGCAAAAAAAAAATAAATTAAAACATAAGCTTACAAGGAATGTTAGAAGAAGATTTAGGGAGTAAGGTTATATTCACTGTGTTTGCTGTAAATAAAAGTTAAAGGGTTTTTTTTTTTTTTTGTTTCTGTAGGCACTTTATAATCAATATTTACAGTTTAAAGAAACAGAAATTCCACCTAAGGAGACAGATAAATTAAAAATTAAACGTCTATATAGACTGCTGGAGGTAAGTTTTAACATGCATTGAAATATATAAAAGTTCTCTTCTAGTGGCTTAAAATAACAAGTATGTCTGAATTTTTAAGGTCTGGATAGAATTTGGACGCATCAAACTTCCTCAAGGCTATCATCCAAATGATATAGAAAAAGAATGGGGAAAGCTTATTATTGCCATGCTGGAAAGAGAGAAGACTCTTCGGCCTGAAGTGGAGAGGTATGCTAGTGAATGTTTGGCAGGATTGGTTAATATATTTTATGTTCTTTTTCCCATAATTTTTTTCTTCCATGATAACATCCCTGTTATTTTTCAATTTCTGTTGAGTAATTCTGCTCTTTTTAAAGCCTGAATTTCTTTGTCTGCTTTATAGGAGCAGGTCCAGGTGAAAATACCTTGGATAGGTTCAGAAATTCTTAGAGAATAGTCTCTGTGTCTCAGAGATCACAGCATTGAAATACCACGTTTCTTCTGGTGTAGTCAGAGCAAGGTTGATACCACTTCATTGCCTTACTTGGACTGTTTTTCATAAAACACACCCTCGTCCTTCACATAAAATGTGAATTTTACTTGATGCACCACGTCGTGGCTAATGTCTAGGTCTGCTAATTTTTTAAAGTTGATTGATTGTACTGAAGAGCGCACAAAGTGTTTTGATGTGCAAAATGCATTGCAGCCTTCCATGGTAGTAGAATTGATGATGCTGTTTTGTACACCACTAATAATATACCAAACACACTTAACATCTTAACGCAGCCCTATTAGAACATCTAAGGTTTTTAAAGGTGCATCTTTTGAGTTCAGTGCTAGAAACAGAGACTACCGTTCATTAATTAAAACCCCCTCCAGATAAATAGAAACACACATGAACTCCTTCCCATGTTTCAGGTTTGGTGAACAAATTTAATGTATACTGATAGTCATAGCAAACAAGTGACCTTGATGTGTTCTAATACTGAGGTATTGAAATTTGGCAAGCAACAAAAACTTTGCCTCCAAGTCTGGTGAACACATTTGAAAATGTCAACACAGATAAACAGCATGTGGCCAGATTGGTGTGTGGAATCAGAGTGAATGTGCGTGAGGAGTGTGCCAAACAGTTCCAGTTTGCAAAACCAGCAGAGTGAAAACATCACAGGGATGTGTCTGTGCTTCTGCTGTACTCTTCTGCTTGAACACAGTCATCATATGTTGTGGGTGAGAGGTTTTCAAGAGGTGCTAAAAGCAGGAGGTGAATTACTGAAAAAATTACCCAAAGCTTGTATTCTGAGTTAAAATATCAATTCAAGGGCGTAGTGATCAGATTTTTCTTTTTTGTTCTGTGGTCAAAATAGTAAGAAGTAATTAGCTTTGAGTATGGAAGAAGTTAAAGGGAAATTTGCAGGACAGATTGGTAGAACGGGGCAGTTAGTAAACATGCATACTTGGACAGTAGAGTAATGATGGTGGGTTGGATGGTGTACAGGTGTCTAAAATTAACTAGTGAGAGCTGATTAACTGTGATGTTCTTACAGTTTTAATGTGCAGTTCCATTTGAAGGAGAAGGAATCAGCCCAGACTGAATTTCTATACCATACAGAGGAGCGAGGAGTTGTAACTTCAGTCCTTTTTGAAACTTCTCTAGAGTCTGAGGAACACCTTAAAGATTTTTTTTAAGTTCTTATTTGGCTTACAGACACTTAGTGACACTTAGATAAAATATTTGGCACATCTGTTTCCTAGAGACGCCCTAATACTGCTGCCTAGTCTGTACTTGCAAACCTTTAATGCAAGCTTAGGGAAGCCAAAAGCGAGGTGGCATGCATAGCCCCAGGTGCAATCTTTTGAAGAGCTGGCAGAATATTAATTGCTGGGTTTTGAATATGCATACTGAAGCCTATTTAAAGAAGGAGTGCTAGGTATTTCAAAAGCCACTGGTAAAATTTCATCCCTAGAAGCTGCACATTTTGTAGGAGTTCCATTTTTTCCATTTTTCAGCAAATATAAACAGCCAAAGAGCCGTGCTCTGGATGTCAAGATGAACAGCAGTAGTTACAGCTATCATAGCAGCGATTCACTGTTTAGCAACAGTACCAGTGTTCAAACCAGCGTTGACTCTAATGAAAATTTCCTTTCTGTTAATCGTGGTCCCACGATGATTAAATCTTGTATAAGCTTTGGTAATGCCACCTTAGAAGGAAGCAGGTAACTTGACATCTGTATTTCTGCTTTGTGTATGATACTGTTTGTTTATTTTAATTTATGTGTGTATAGTAAGTATAATTAACAGAGTTATTTTTTGAAAATTTTCTGGTATCACTTAGGTTGGAAATGCTGCAGCAGATTGCAAACAGAATTCAGCGGGACAGCCGAAGCTGTGAGGACAAACTGATACTTGCCCGGAATGCTCTGCAGGCTGTAAGTCAGCTGCTGATTTTACTTGTCCATGTTCATACACTTGCTGCAGTATTGTGGCTACTTAAAAAAAAGAAAAAACAAAGCACAGTAGTTAGGATTTTTGAATACATAATTAGTAATTGATGCTTTTATTTTTGTTGTACTGTTATCATTCATTTAGCATTTCTTCAAGAAATTACCAAAAATTGCCTAGAATGAGTTCTGTTAGTTAAAGCTCTTTGCAATTACTTTACAATTAGAAAAAAAGTTTTACAAAAGCATTTAGATATTTTGCAGTTCATCTCTCTTTTACTAGCTGCAGGGCTCAACGGCTTTCTTTTATTTATTCAGGACACCAAACGACTAGAATCGGGGCTTCAGTTTCAGCATGAAGCAGAAATAGCTGGGTATCTTCTTGAATCTGAGAACCTTCTCCGCCAGCAAGTGATTGATGCCCAAATTCTTATTGATGGAAAGTACTATCAGGCAGACCAGCTTGTACAGAGGTACTTTACAACGTATTTATATAAATAAATTATCAAATTTAGACTATGGACATCATTTTAAAATCATGTCTGTGGATAAACTTCGGTCTATGACTTAGTACCCAAATAATAGTTGCTGGGTATGATTGTGGGCACATTGCCCGCAAACAAAAGATGAGAACCTGTTTGTTCATCTCTGAAAATAAAGTCACTCACCGGAACATGATTTAAACCCTTGTGTTATCTGATATCTGCGTGTAAAGATGTTAGCTTATTTTGTTGCAGCTAAAATGGATTCAGAATTCACAGTCTTTGATTTTAAAAATAGAGGTGAGATTTCTGGTGATAGCTGTAGGTGTCTTAGCAGGTGGGGTAACATTAGCTTGCGTATGTTTGTTCAGTCCTAGCAGAAAGATACAATTAAGCAGTGTAATGTAATTCTATGAAGAAATGGCTTCACAGTTTGTTGGGATTTGTTCTGGATTGTGTGAGGTGTAGCAGCTATTTAACAGCAAACTGTGAGTGTTTGACCTGTTACAACATGTTGTGACTTGCACACTTTCTGCTTTGCTGAATTCTTCCCTGGTACTGTGTATGGTGCATGCTAATGCTGCTGATTTTCTGGGTTATTGTCTGCTTTCTGCATATACTATCTATTAATAGAAGACAAAGGTGGCATAGCCAGCTTATTTATGAATGTTCAAATACAACTAAAAGCGTAAAAGATTATTGGGATTCATACTACTATTCAGTTGAGCATGATAAAACTATATAAACGTTCATGAAAAATATTTTGTTTTTATTTACTTTCTTAAATTTTATTTTAATAGGGTTGCAAAACTTCGTGATGAACTGATGGCCATACGAACAGAATGTTCTTCTCTATACAGCAAGGGACATGCACTGACAGCAGAACAGACAAAGCTGATGATATCAGGAATAACTGAAAGCTTAAACTCAGGATTTACAACAAACCTAACTCCTGAATTAAATGCTGCAATGACTCAAGGTTTAACACCTAGTTTGACTTCTTCCAGTTTGACATCTGGCCTCTCATCAGGTCTTACTTCCAGGTTGACACCAGCCATGACTCCTGCTTACACACCAGGCATCCCACCGCGGTTAATTCAGAGCTATGTAACAGGAGTAGATGGTGGAACTCTGCAAACACTCAAACTTACGCAAATCAGAAAACCTCTTATGAAATCAGCTTTTGTGGACCAGAATTTAACAGAAGAAGAAGTGAACATGAAATTTGTCCAGGACCTATTGAACTGGGTAGAAGAAATGCAGGTAGCAATCTTAACAGAAACATCTGCTTCTAATTACTACATTTACTGCTTGTAGATCATGGCTAACTTTTCCTTCTTCTTTGTAAGGTGCAACTAGATCGAGTGGAATGGGGTTCAGATTTACCAAGTGTTGAAAGCCATTTAGAAAATCACAAAAATGTTCACAAAGCTATTGAGGAGTTTGAAGCCAGCCTTAAAGAAGCGAAAATCAGTGAGGTATGGCACCATACTCCTCATTTCCTCAGTTATTTGCTTGCTGAGTGATTCATAATGTAACGTTGAATTATAGAGTTGTGCTTTGGTTTTACTTACTTTTGCTCCTGATCTCTAGATGACATATTGTGAAATCAGGAGGTCTAGTGGTTGAAAATGACTTACCATGTCTAACTGTTTCCTTGTCTTTTGACCTCATATACCAAATACAGATCCAAATGACTGCCCCTCTGAAACTCAGTTATGCAGAAAAATTGCACAAACTGGAAAGTCAGTATTCAAAACTCTTGGTAAGTTTGTCATACATTTTTGATGTTCAGCTTTTCAGTGTACATATCATCTGTGAAAAGAGCTGAGTTTTAAATTCTGATTTTTTTTTCTTTTTAATAAAGAACACATCAAGAAATCAGGAAAGGCATCTAGATACTCTTCACGATTTTGTGTCTCGTGCTACTAGAGAGCTGATATGGCTGAATGAAAAAGAAGAGGAGGAGGTTGCATATGACTGGAGTGAAAGAAACCCCAATATAACAAGAAAAAAGGAATACCATGCAGTATGTATTGCCAGTATAATCCAGAGAGAAAAGTTAAGTCATCTTTAACAATTGAACAAATTTCTAAAATTTTGTTTTGCTTTTTTTTTTTTTGTCTGAAAAAAGGAATTAATGAGAGAACTCGATCAAAAAGAAGAAGTTATTAAGTCAGTACAAGAAATAGCTGAACAGTTACTTCTTGAAAATCACCCAGCCAGGCTAACCATTGAGGTAAGTTAGTTTAAAGAAACGCACAAAAAAGAAAACAATTTTGTGATTTTAGTGTAGATTTTGTGATTTAATAGATTGTAGTGAGAAAGAAGGGAAGCACTTCCAGGATATTAAGCAACCAGATCCCAATAATTAGGACTTTATTTCTTGTTCAGTGTCTCTACTGTATTCCCATCTTCCAGTTTCCAAAACTTGTAAGCATTTCTGTAAGATGATGGTTATGTTTTACATTATGTAGATCAAGTCCCACTGAATTCTAAAATTCAGACTTCAGAAGTTGATCTGTACAGATATTTCTCCTGCTGGGCATGCAGCTTCCACAGTCACTGATGCAAATTGCCGTGGCAGGCTGAGGGCACAGAACAGTCCTTACGTGGTTTCCATTCTGTTGGACTGAAAGGAGTTTCAGCAGGGCATTTCTAGTTACTTATTGTATATATTGCTTCCTATTATGGTTTAAACTTGGTTTCATAAATTCTGTCAGTTAAGTTATGAAATTTATTTGGATATTAAAAAATCTGACCAGATGTTTAAATTACCACAGATTTGAATCAGACTCTAGGTAAACTGTTCACAGAAAATTTATTGTAGCTGTTGTAGGGTCATAACAAGTTTCCAAGGGAGAGTTCTGAATGTTTTCCTTATAGATTTCCAAGAAAAAAAATACAGACAGTGGGTAGTAAAAATAGAAATAAAACAAACAAACAAACAAAAAAAGCCAACAAAGCAGTTTTATTATAAATAATGAAAAAACAGAGAGGATAGATTTTTATAATTCTTCAGCTCAGTGAATTCACAAATTTACTGCTGCGTACATTGGAAATAGATGAAGAAACTTCCTCCTCCCTGTTTTTACCTAGAATAATAAGCACTTTTTAATTTAACATTTGTATTTACGTTCCTTGAAAGTATATGCTATTATTAATGAGCACTTATCAGTAAAATACACTTAATATATGAATAAATTAAAAATGCATATTATGAAACAAGTCTGTCACAGTGTTGTTACATAGTCTGTTTTACAGTGAGGTTGTCCTGAGGAGTGGTAGAAGGTCTGTTCCTGAAGATTTTCAAGGCAAGGCTGGATGAGGCCCTGGGCAGCCTGATCTAGCTGTGAATGTCCCTATTCATTGCAGGGGAGTTGGACTAGATGACCCTTAAAGGTCCCTTCCAACTCTAAGGACTCTGTGATTCCATATACAGTGTGTAATGTCTGCAATAATCCTATACTGGGACATTAAAAGAGTCCTAAATCTGATGTCTTCTGTGCAGAAGAATATATGCATTAATGAATCAGTTTGAGATTCATTGAAACCAATGCAAAATCTTTGAATTCCCTGAGAATGGTACTCAACCCCGACTTTCAGCTGCTTTTGTTAAGTCAACAGTTCCCTCTGCTGGTGAATGTTAGAGCAGTGCCTTGCTGGAGACAGCACCCTGTAGGGTGGCATCATTCAAATAAGGCTGCACAAAATTATATGCTGCAGCTGATCTTCATTTATTATTTTTGTGTACTCAGACTAGAGAAACCTGAGGAAATGTAGGGCTTTGTTTGGCTAAGTCCTGATTGTGCCCAAGGATGGCCCTACCCTCTTGAAGCGAGTTTTCTGGTGTTTCACTATGGAGTAAAGACATGTGTTTTTTTTTTCTCACTTCTAATAGGATTTTCTCTCATTGCAGCTTATTATTCTTGAGTAACGACAGTTAGATGCCTGTGTTTGCAATATTATCTTTATGTTTTCTAAATTCTGTTGATATATATATGTTCTAATTTTCATATCCTTATGTAAAATCTCTCTGTCTCCCTTAAAGGCCTACAGAGCTGCAATGCAGACACAGTGGAGCTGGATTCTTCAGCTCTGTCACTGTGTTGAACAACATTTGAGAGAAAATGCTGCATATTTTGAGGTAAAGAGGTCAATAAAAATGTGAAATCTTTTAAGTTGTGACCACAGTCAAAAAGTTTCATTTTTACTGAAAACACTATGTGTTCTCTCACAGTAGCTATAGAATGGAAATTGAGCATGTACAGTCATGAGATGATGAACCATATCTTCACAGTGTTACCACTTCATTGTAATTATATCACTTCACAACAGATGTAAATCTGTCTAGTCTTTTTTCATAGTTCCATAACTGCTAGCAGAGAATCTGAGAATGAAGCCATGCTCTGCTCATGTCTGACAGAACTACGGTCAATAAAGCTTTTGTGGATGGATGTAGAGTAGAGGGTTGTTAATGATGGCCAACGTAGAACGTATCCCAAGTTGTTCTTCCAGGAGCACATGAACAGAAGTGGAACATACAGTAAATAAAAATTATTAGGTTGTTGGAAAATAACCCAGCTGTTTTTCACATCCTAGTTTTTCAGTGATGCCAAAGAGGCCATGGAGTATTTAAAGAATTTGAAAGATGCCATATACCGAAAATACAGTTGTGACAGATCAAGCAGCCTTCATAGGCTGGAAGACCTTGTCCAGGAGTCTATGGTAAGAACTCAGTGATCTTGTTAATGTGAGCTACAATTAAACAAGATATGTATGGATTATAGGTGGATTTAAAAAAAAATAAAATCTTTGCTGTAAAATTATTACTTTAAAGGCAGGGAATAAGAAAATGAGATTTATGGTTTAGAACTTAAGTAATTTTATCTGTCCGTGTCTAATGGTTGTTTTTCTTACCTTTAAATACAATTTAGTCTTTATCTTTGCAGTATCAGATATTGTGGTAAACCAATGACTTCAGAATGATACTTTGTTCTTGTAAAATGGGTTACATTTAAGAAACCTAGTGAAAGAAGTCAGAAAAGCTTAGCAGGATCACTGTATTCTGGCCATTCCTTACTATGTTTTCTTTTCTTAACTGTTCTAGGAAGAAAAGGAGCAACTCCTGCAGTATAAGAGCACAGTAGCAGGCCTTGTGGGGAGAGCAAAGGCGATAATTCAGCTGAAGCCAAGGAACCCTGACTGTGTACTGAAAACAACCATCCCAATTAAAGCCATCTGTGACTACAGACAAATTGAGGTTAGAAACTTGAATGTCCTCAAATCAATTACAGATGTGAAAATTCAGCTGAAGTTTCATTAATTACCATCTTCCTGGAGAACACTGGGCTCTAAATATCTTCCACCCTAATGAACAAGAGCAAATCCTTGTGTTGAGCTTTGTTTTGGTTATTCTGTTGCTTATTTAGTGGCACCATTTACAAAAGAGCTTTGTAAAACTATTCTGTAATGCTTAGATCATTAAATTACTACGCTTTTCTTTTAACTCTAGATAACTATTTACAAGGATGATGAGTGTATATTAGCAAACAACTCCCATCGTGCTAAATGGAAAGTCATTAGCCCAAGTGGTAATGAGGCCATGGTTCCATCTGTATGCTTTAGTGTTCCTCCACCAAACAAGGAAGCAATAGATACAGCTAACAGGTAAAGGCAAAGTAAAACCTGCTTTAAAATATGTTTAATACAAATATTTTTGTTTCTTTATGTAGAGAAACAACAGTCCTTTGGGTTAGAGCCGAGGAAACAGTTGCTTTAAATCTTTTTTCAATATGAAACTTGGGTTAAACTGCCTTTTTTTTTTTTTTTTTTTTTTTTTTCTTTTTCCCTTTTCCTATGTTACTCCAGTATAAAACATGTTTTCTCACCTTAAATTGGACTTTTTTATGCTTCAGGATTGAACAGCAGTTTCAGAACGTTTTGGCCCTTTGGCATGAGTCGCATGTAAACATGAAGAGTGTGGTTTCCTGGCATTACCTAACAAATGAAATTGAAGCAGTTAGAGCTGGCAATGTTGCCTCGGTATGTATTATGTCTACCAAGGGACTTTTAGACATTTACCAGGATATAGGCTACAATTTCTGGAAATACTGTATGATAAATTTACACTTATCCTCATCTTCTGGAAATAGCTGACAGCGCACCACTGTGAAACGTTCTGCCTTGATCTGAGCAGCCTTAACAGACATTACATGAGGAAGGTGGAGAGAGATTGTATCATGAAAATTACCTGTAGCCTTACTATACTAATCTCTCTACTTTCTTATTGTCATTAGAGGGATGGGATCTGTTGAAAGTAATCAAACAGTGATTAAATCTGAATTTTGTTTTGGAAGACTCTACCTTTCTGCATTTATGTTGCAGGTATTTGGGAGGTGATCTTCCCTAGTGAAACCTCCCATTAATTCATTACGCTGCAATTTCTTACTGCGAATGTTGCATTTAGCCTTTCAAGCTGAAGGCAGTTGAATACTCATTCCTCTCTAATCATTTATTTCATCCTTATATATATATCTGTAATTTGAAATTCTAAATTGATAAATAGGATTAATTTGTCAGATATATAGATCAAAATACTGTTCTGTCTAGCTAAAACAATGCGATATCACCAAATTATATGCTGTTGAATATACAGCATGAATACTATAGGGGTTTGTTATACAGCACTGGTATATATCTATTTTCAAACTGTTGCAGTAATATTTGTAATACCCAAAATGACTTTTTAAATCCACTCTTCCCACCATTGCTGTTGGGGAAAAAGGAACCTGAAATAATAGCAAATGTGATTCCTCTGACTTGCTGGCTGCCTGTTTGTTGCTATGTGACATAGATGGAGAGACTGTGTCTGATGTAAGATTGGCTTAAGAGCCAGTCACTGGCTTTAAATACAGAAAAGGATTCTGTTTTGCATGTAATCTACCGAATGTTCATCTGATACCTGTCAAGTGGACCACAGCCCAGGAATGACAAGCTTTCAGGACCACCATCTTATAACTTCTACTGCCCTAATAATTGGTTATTAATTCTTTTTGATATGAAGTGTTGCAGACAACTGCGTGAGTGAGGCATCATTGCTGACCATGCCTTGGGTTTATGATCTGTTACAGATAAAAACAATGCTGCCAGGTGAACATCAGCAGGTTCTGAGCAATTTGCAGTCCCGCTTTGATGATTTTGTGGAAGATAGCCAGGAGTCCAAAATCTTTACAAGCTCTGATACTGCACAACTGGAAAGGGAAGTTAATATTTGCAAGCAATACTATCAAGAGCTTCTGAAGTCTGCAGAAAGAGGTAAGATGCCCTTACGTATGAGATTGCAGTTCTTCATAAATTTAAGCTCTAGAGAATTACTATTGTTGGTATTAATCATGTTTTGTTGTTTTTTTTTTTTTGAGTGGATAAAGAGCCATTGTTTTAACAGTGTGTACAACTGCACTGTATATAAGATCTAAATTTTTGTTTACTTTGTATTTATTTATTTACATAAAAATATTGAAGTGTTAACATAGGTGGTACAAAAATGTACCCCCAAGATTTTTTTATTTTTTTTTTCACTCCAGTAAACTGCTCAGTAAGGTTTTCCTTGCTGTTTCTGGTTGTTTGAATACAAACTGACAATTTGGTTAAGTTCGTAACAGAATTAGATCATTTTTAATGCAAGTAAATTATTTGTTTAGCTCCACAGACTGCCCATAGTTACTGTTCTCTCAACTGTTCTAAAATACAACAAGCACAAAAAGCTTAAAATATTTGTTCTGATTTACTGTCAAGTATCTGATGAATTACAGGAATGCAATAGTTTAAAACCAATTGGTGCATTAGCATAGTTCCCTGTACTTAAGGAACGACTTGCTGTCCTGTCCCTCTGAAAGAGTAGATTCAAAAAATACTCCCTGACATTTCCTGTAGTATCACACCTGATGTGTCTGACTAAAAGAATCAGGCACTGAATGTGTTAGCACTGTCTGTGTAAGGGAAGAATGATCAATGATGTATGCTAATTTCTGAAGTGTGAGGAGGTGATCCAATGCTAGCTAAAATTCTGAAGCACCTAAAATGTTTTATAGCCAGAATTCTTATGAAAATTGGTGGCTTTTCAGTTGTTCATAAAAAGTCCTGCAGAATGATGGCTTTTTAAAGACTTTTGAGAGAAGACAGGGAGAAATTGACAAGGTGACTTTGTTTGATAAAATTTGCCTTGTTTCTTTCAACAGAGGAGCATGAAGAATCTGTTTACAATCTGTACATCTCCGAAGTCAGAAATATCAGGCTCCGGCTGGAGACCTGTGAGGAGCGGTTAATCCGACAGATCCGGACCCCAATGGAAAGAGATGATCTACATGAAAGCGTCTTTAGGATTTCAGAGCAAGAGGTGAGACTTTAAGAAAATCTGTATTAAATAGTAAGAGTTACCTAGGAAGTTGAGTATGCATTATATCGATATAGAATAAAAACATTGTCCATCACCTTTCGTTTTACAGAAGCTGAAGAAGGAGCTGGATCGACTGAAGGATGACCTGGGAGTCATCACAGATAAATGCGAAGAGTTCTTCAGTCAGGCTGCTGGTTCACCTTCAGTTCCCACCCTGCGCTCTGAACTCAGCGTTGTTATTCAGAATATGAACCAAGTTTATTCCATGTCTTCCATTTACATAGATAAGTAAGTAGTTGGTCATTTCCCATCACACATACTTTAGTTTGTAGTTTTCTCTTCAAAACAAAGATATTAGTAGGAATAATATCTGATCAAGGAAAAGAGAGTTAACATGATTTTAACGTTGTGTAAGAGTACTCCATTACATGAAATGACTGACAAACACAGGCATGCTGACTGTTCTTATTATTTGTTACTGTTTTTCAGGTTAAAAACTGTGAATTTGGTGCTGAAGAATACTCAAGGTGCAGAATCATTAGTAAAACTCTACGAGACTAAGTTGTGTGAAGAAGAGGCAGTAACTGCTGACAAAACCAACATTGAAAATCTTATGGGTACATTAAAGGTAAGAGTTGACTTTTCCTGGGCAAAGCAAACAGTAGGAAATAATCCGTCTCGTAACACTTATTCTAATTAAGCATAAAATGCATAAAAATACATAGTTTATCAAAAGGTGGCTTGTGCATTTGGAGGAAAGTGTGTATTAGCACCGATAACTCAGAAAAACCTCTCGAGAGCATTAGGAATTAAATAGTTGTATGTGCATGCTTGTAATTTGGTAATGACTTGCAGTGACTGAACTTCCAAGAGGGTCAGTTATTATTACTGCAGTAAGACTTTTTCTGTCTCTGCAAAAGTAATGTGTGCTTAAGGTAACATAAATAAATTATGTGAATGTGGCCTCAACAACTTTCTTGCTGCTGCTGTGGTATGGTAATTGGGGTTTCCTATGAAATTTAGCATTTATCTTTGAGGAAGACTAAGACTGAAGGTCGGAATTGTTCATATGTTGCATATAGCTTATTTCAATATTGCAAATGATAAGTAATGATGAGTAATGTTTTTTGTTGTTGTTGTTAGAGTGACTGGCATCTACCTTTTTTATTTTTTTGAAAGCAGTAATTTATCAGATAAGTATGTTAATTTGCTAGTTGTGTTTGATTCTTTTGTTGCTCAGATCTATTTTGCAGTTCATAGCTAATTAGTTGCTTCAGACCCATTCCAGTGTCTGAGCAACCAGGTGTGTTGGCTCATTCATAGCACTGTAATTTAGGAATAGTTTACAAATTCTCATTTACTATGTTCTAGCAATGGAGATCTGAAGTAGACGAGAAAAGAGAAGTATTCCATGCCTTAGAGGATGAGCTGCAGAAGGCAAAGATGATCAGCGATCAGATGTTTAAAATGCACAAGGAACGTGATCTTGACTTTGACTGGCATAAGGAAAAAGTTGATCAGTTAGCCGAGAGGTGGCAAAATATTCATTCTCAGATTGAAAATAGGTTAGTATAACTTTCTGTTAAAATCTGTTAATGTTTTCTGCTGCACTTACTGCTTTTTTATGGAAAATAGTAAAAAAAAATGGATGTTAATACAGGTTAGCGTAGTTTTCAGCAGTATTTCTAAAACATGCTAAGATCAAGGATTCTTATCTTTTCTATGCTGTTGACGTTACTGTCCATCTTTTCCATGGGAAATACTTCTGCCTATTTAGCACAAAAAGACTAATAGAATATTGAAACTTTATTTAGTTTCTTACAATTTACTGAGATGCAGTAGAGAGAAGGTGTTATGTTTTCTTTCCAAAAAAAAGCCCACAGAAATTGCTTGCTCTCCTATCAAAATGCTGTCAGTTTGTCCATGTAATTAATTCTGACAGGCAAAAGTCATGAGCTGATTCATCAGTTATGATTGGGTTGATGTTTATTTACTTTTAATGACTCAAGTGCTAAGTCTGGAAGCCATTAGCTTCCATTGTCTTCTGTGATGATTTTGTCATAACTACCAAATTAAAAATTTTTGGCAGCATGCACATATTTTTCTTTTGGTGTGCAATTGATTTCATGCAGTCTCCATATACAAATGCAATGCTGCTCTAAATTAACTTAATCAGTATTATTACCATGATGATATTGGAGAATAGTGCTCAAATGCACAACCTTCACAAGTTTAGATACTGCAGGACACACATTTTAGTAATTCTGAAGGAGGTGTCCATACATGACATTTCTAGAATCACTTTTCCCTTCAATCTCTACATTTTTGTCTCCTTTATGGTATCAAGAAGTTAAAGAAGGCTTTAATACACAGCCTGAATTTATTTCCATTAAAATCTACTTCAATTTGTCGTTATAAATAACCTGAGTGGGAGCATCAAATACAGTGCTGTTTACTTAAAACTTCACGCAATAACCTTTCACACTTTTGTCCTCCTTTTCTAAGGGGTGAATATCTACTCAGGTATAATACTGAGATTATTCATTTGAGTTAGCTAACTTAGTTGGCTCTGTTTAGCATTGCTAGAAATTCAAAGACAGATGGGGGAAAAACTGACTGATTTAAAGATGATTGGAAGAGAATGGCTGGCTTAAAATCAACTCAGATTTTTCATCATCTGATACTATGACAGAATTGAAATGATAAAACATTAGCTTCACAAGATACTAAAGTTTCCGTATTTCATCATAAGGCAATCATAAAACAAACGCTGTCCTTGCAGGGCTGTGTTCTGAATAGTACGTGCTGAATAATTGCTGTTAATACTTAGAAACTTCTGATATAAATAGGACAGATTGTGGTTGTTGCAGCATCTAGTGGTAAACAAACTGCTTTCTGCAAATGCTCACTCTTCTGCTTGCTAACAGCTTGACACTGATGATCATTACATGGAAATTATGTACAAATCTTGGCTGATCCTTCCTTACTTTCATAATTATTAGCATAAAGCTGAATGTGAAGCCTGAGCAATGTTGTAGCCTTTGCTTGCTCTTTTCTTACTCTATTTTTGGCATCTTGAGAACAACGTTACTGCAATTTGAAGTAATTAAAATCATCCTATAAAAAGTTTTGAAGCATGTTTATCCATAAATATGCAGTATTTTGGATTAGTCCTATTTATGCAAAATTTGAAGAACCATGAATGTAGAGTGTCAGTAATTCTCATTAGAATGGAAGCCGATTTCAAGAAATACAGAGTAGTTTTTGTCAGATGAAAAATGTGATTTATAAAGGGACTTAGCCAAGAAGACTGTGTGCTTTAGTGCCTGAGGATGTCTAAAGTCTTAGTTTTAGAGTAACTGCTGTTGTTTTGTGGGAGGCAGGGTATAGTGAACTGCTACTGAACTCCATCACAGCTTTTTGTCATTTTGATTCAGGTACTCTCACTTAGAATTACTTACGGTTGCAAAGCCATCTATCTGACAGCTTGCTTAGGGATTCCTGTGCTCGCAGCATTTCAAGCAATTTAGCTCGCTATTGAAAAATATGTGCCGGTTTTTTTCCAGAGTGGGATTTCTCTTGGGTGTCACTTAAGACAAATAAAAACATTCATCAAGCTTTTCCTAACATTTGAGAAGTTAATTCACTGTTCAGTTAGTGTTATTTTAGGATGCTTATAGCAGAGCTAAGTATGTTTATAAGCAGAGCAGAGCTAGAGCCTTTAAAGCTATTTTTGGTTTACTGTTGTACTTCTTGTCTTTCACATTCATTTTCACTCCGGCATTTTTGTAAAATAAAATCAGGTTACGTGACTTAGAAGGTATTAATAAATCTCTGAAGTACTACAAAGATACTTACAATTCATTGGACACTTGGATTCAGCAAGTGGAAGATACTCAGCGTAAGATTCAAGAAATCCGTCCTGAAAATAGCAAAGCATTGGCTAAACAGCTGAACCAACATAAGGTATGGAAGCCATCTCACTGTAGGAGTGCACTGCTGCAATGACTGAACTCAAATATCAGTTGAACCCAATGGTATCAGTTTTTTCTTGATGTAATAAGCTTATAAATCCCTCAGAGTTTATTGTCAACATTCCAAATTACCAGCTTCCATGTTCTCCTGTTCACAGTGCAGCTAACATTATTAATATACCACTCACTAATTGTTACCGTTCTATAGTCAGACTAATTTTGGTTCTCTGATGTTCACAAAAATAGCAAATGAAGTGGTATATCCTCCTTTATTTTGAAGTTTGCTCACAAGGTATTAAGCTTGACAGGATTTCCTTCACTTTTGTACTCTATACCAAACAAGGCTGAGACATGGGCTTAAGCATGTAATTACTTTTATCCACTTGAAATGTACATATTACATGATTTATAGTAAGATAAAGTAGCAATAATGATAACAGCAATCATAAGCATCACTTTTTAAGATGAGGATGTGGATTCATATTTTACAGATGCTGGTTTCTGAGATTGAAATGAAACAAAGCAAAATAGACGAATGCCAGAAATATGCAGAACAGTACTCAGCTGCTGTGAAGGTAATAAATACTGATATACTTAGAATCCTCATTTTCTGTCATTATCGTGTGGAATGCTGACCATTTTGTGTATTTTATGTTTTTATAGGACTATGAGTTGCAGACTATGACTTACAGAGCTATGGTTGATTCCCAACAAAAATCTCCAGTGAAACGACGAAGAATGCAAAGCTCATCAGACTTCATTATTCAAGAGGTAAATTGGTTTCTTCTGACAGGAATATTTTCTTCTTGAAAATATTTCTTCTTTGGAAAGTTTTTTTCCTTAAAATTGAGTAAATAGAATTATATTATTTAGAATTCATTAATGAGTGAACAGAGTAACTCAATCAAGATCTTTTTGTCTGTAGCTAAATGCTGTGACAAATATTCTATTGAGCATTATGCAGAATTTAGATAATTTTAGTGCTACTGTTGAATAAAAGTCTGCAGATTATTTAAAAAATCGTCTGAGAAATGAGCTTCTGGAAAGCCTGTTAATAATAATTACCTTTGGACTGAGTCTTGATCACAGTAAACAGGGGAAGCTTTAGTCCTTGCTATAATAAAATGTACTGATTCTGGGTTTCAACTGAGGCAATTCCATCCCTCAGCCTTATATGAATGGGAAATGTGAATCTGTCTCCCAGCTGTTAGAGGGAAATAGTGAATGGCACTACTTGTCTCCTCTCTTAATGTGTTCTTACAGAGAAAAAGAATTGAATTACTATTAAGTCAAAACATTATCATCTATTTTTTTTTTGCTTATGGATCTCCTTGTAGATCCCTGTAATTTATTTGTATGAGTGTACCCTGTTGATTGCTTTCAACTGTGCAATAGAAACAAAGACCTTGGAATGGAAATCAGGGTTTTGGAATAAAAATCCATGACTTTCAAACCAAAATCAAGATAGGTTCCAGGGGAGCTATTAACTCTTTAAAGGTCAGTTCTAGGAGATGTCTTTTATGTGGCATTCAGTGTGTTTTCCTCTCTCTTCTTGTCTTCCCCATTTGCTTCTCTGCAGTTCATGGATTTACGAACTCGTTATACTGCCTTAGTGACTTTGATGACACAGTACATCAAGTTTGCAGGTGACTCTCTGAAAAGACTGGAAGAGGAAGAGGTAAGTCATCCCCTAAAAACCAACCAAGCAAAAAGAGCAGCTAGGCAAATGAAGAGCAATATGTCTGCTGGACTTATTCACAATGGTAGTAGTAGATGCAAATTACTGGAATTCCTTAAATGCTGTGCCTTATGCAGGAATGTCCTATAATTAGTTGTGTCTATATTAAATATAGTCCTAGAGTACAAATGTCAATTAGTTTTTACAGAAAAAAGCATAGTTCTTTCTTAAAGGAAAACGCAGTTCTTCTCCTGGCTTTTTCTTCCTGCCATTTCTAGCTTTTGAATGCCTCTGAACAAACTGTTAACACTAAGAGCATGCATCTTTGTCCATCAAAAAGTTATAGAGAATGCAAATGAAAATAGATAACCTGTTTTGATAGATAGCCTTTATAACTGAGAATTTATCCTAACAAATAATACTAACCGTATCATGGATAAAAAGTTGAAGAACAAGAACTGAAACAAGGACCAAGATTCGTGTGAATGCTTGCCAAGAGCTAATAGAGTCTTTTGAACTCCTTTGAGTTTCAGTCTGCTCTGAAACCCCAGAACTTTTTTCCAAAATCAAACATTCTCCACCCAAATCCTGTCCTACCCCAAGTTCTTCTAAATTTCTGATTATTTCTTTGAAGATAACCTAAACAGATTCCCAGTCTCACAGTGATTTGCTGAGTTTTTCTTTATGATCAGGGTAGCAAATTAGAACATGAAAAATCCTTTTCAGAGGAAAAGTAATGATATTCTTTTCCTGGAATCAAACCTCTGAAATCTGTGATTGTCTCAAGATCTTCTTCCATGACAGTCTTTCTTTCTAACTCTCAGTAATGGCATTAAGATAGCTCAGAATAGAGAAGAGTAAGATCACTTGCAATCTCTGTTTAATTCACGTGCTGTCATGCTCAGAACTTACCAGACGAGAGTGAACTCCAGCAACCTGTGAAGTCAGCTGAAGTCTTTGAATGTTTGGGATGTAACGAAGTGGAAAGTACGCCTAATGAAAGCACAGTGGATGTGGAATATATGCAAAAAGATAACTCTCCCAGGAAACCTAAACACACAGAAAATACACAGGAAATTCAGAGAAGAAAATTAGACAGAACTGATAAAAACAAAACTGATAGAACTTTAAAACAGTTTTTAAGTGTCAGTGATCAAGAAAGTAGCGTTAATGGCAACAGAGAATATAAGCTATGTACAGAGCAAGACAATGTAATGGTGTTTGGTGATCAAAGTAAGGAAGATGATAGAAAAGACTGTTTTCTTTCAGCTGAGACCTATGTGAGAGGAAACAATAATCCTAATCAGCAGATTGTTAGTGGAGAGAGACTGAAAATAGAGGGAGAAACAAATAAGTTATCTGAACTGGATGAAGTACATGAAAACAAAGAAAGAAAAAGATCAAGAAAAGCACAGAGTGATCCAAATTTAGATACAGAATTGTTGGGAAATGCACAGGAATTAAATACACCATCAGAAATGATTTCTGGAGGAGGGAATTATTTTCCAGAACATAGATTAGGTAAAAAACTTTTGTGTTGGGAAGAGACAGTTAGTGAGAAGAAAATATCACAGGGTAAGATGTATGGCTTGGACACCATAAATATAAAAAGGAAGGAACTGAGTGGAGAGAATGAGTTAGCACAGGATGAGAAATACAAAGATCTATGGCTAGTTGCAGAAATGGAAAGTAAAGATAAAGGTCAAAGCACAGGCATACCTGGAAAAAACACTGAAGTCCAAAAAGCATTCTATGAAAAAACAGTAAGCAAAATCTCCCTTGAAAAAAGAGAGAAGCCAAAGAAAAAAGACAGTGGTAATGAAGATAAATGGCGCCCAACTATAATTAAGGTACCAGAATTTTCATGTGATGCAAATGGCACAAATAGGCAAAATTAAATTAAGAATGATTCTAAACCGATCTAAATCAACAGTTGAATCTCAAATATGTCCAGATCAAATGAGTTAAAGTTGATTGAACATAATTTAAATAATCAGTATTCTAATGATATAATAATTTTTGTGGATTTAAGATGATTTTTGTTTCAGTTTTCATAAATTTATCTATATGTTCATTTGGTATTACTATTTAATTGCCATCCTTTTCTCCACCCAGCTAATGCTCAGCCTTAATCTTAATTAGAAGTAATGGAACCTAACAGAATTTAGTTTGTGTCCGTATACTTTTGTCTGTTTCAAGCATAATACATTAGATTTTATGCCTGTGAGAGCATGTAAAGAGATTGGGTAAAAAAATCAATGTGTTGTGTTGGCTGGGTTCTGTTCAAAATTGTCTATGTGATAGATCAGGGGAAATATAGAGTGAAACTGAAGAAGCTGCCTTTGCATTAGCCTTTTAGGAAATACATATGTCATGTAAAAACAATAAAATAAAATCAGGTAGGTAATCTGGTAGATTTGAGCTAAGATAATGTTTTGTTTATTTGAAGATATTGCTGTAATTCCCTTTCAAACCATGTTTGTGTGATCATAGGAATTAGGTTATGTTCTTACCTCATGTTAGCCGTGCTTGGTACCTAATACCATGATAGTGCTAATGAAAGTGAGATTTGTATGGTTTCAACTGTATTCCTACTGGTGAATGTACATCTGCTTATTAGAGCTTGCCTTCACCTGCCAGCATGTGAAGTCTACCATCTCTCTGATTTTCATGAGGATTTTCTTAGTTACTATGTTTATGTTCTAACTGTGTCTGTACTGCAGAGCAGCTGTGCTCCTGGTCCCCTGGCAGAGACAGTGAAGGTGTATGGAGCACACTACAGGAAATAGATTTATTGGAGAATAGTTCCCTTTCTGGTCATGATGCATCTTGATTCTGTCTCTAAATGCTGTTTCTTTCCTTGGAGGTGATTTCCAGATTTCTCTTGTGTTATTTTTGCTTGCGAGCGTAAGAAGCTTCTTCCATCTCACACTGAACTGATCCAAAAGTGGTAGTTTCTCCTTGGGAATTCTTGCACATGGTGTTTATCTCACTGTTTACCTATTTGGAGAAAAAAAATGCATGCAAGCTGTTTGATTCTGCTAACAGCTAAGAGGCATCAGATTGAAGTGAGTGGCTTTAGGACTTCTTCATTATGTGGATGTCTTTAAGAAGGGTTTCATATTTGGCTAATGGTAACTTCCTGAACATTACTGTATCAAGAGAAGGTGATGGTGGTGGGAACTGCTACCTTCTGGACGTACCATGTATATAAGAGTAAGTATTATCCATTCTGCTTTTCGAAGAGCCTAATGTTCCATACGCCGTATTACAGAAGCTGCGTTATAACTTAATTTATTTTTCTACAGATTTTAAGGAATAAGGAGGCATCAGTGCGTGAGGCATATTCAGATCTAATGGCACAGAAAAATAGCACAACTGATGAGAACAGAAAACTCATGGGAAAGGTAAAAGCACTTGAGGAGATGCTGGAGAATGTGAAGAAACAAAAAATCCAAGTGGAACAGGAGCTCCCCAAACTGAGGGAAGCTGCAGAAAATGAACGGAAGAAGCAGCAAAAGGATATGGAAGAGATCTGTCTTCAAAAGACCAAGGCTGAGCAAGAAGCAAAACAGTGTCGTATGGATCTAGAGAACGTTGAGAAAGAGAAAGCAGATGCAAAGCACGAGTTGGAGTGTGTAAGGCAGCTCATCTTTCAGGCAGAGACACAAAGAAATATATTGGAAGAAAATCTTCGAGCTTTTCGAAACCAAATAGAAGAAAGCACCTTTACCAGAAGAAATCTTGAAGAACATTTAAGAAGAAAAGATACTAATCTTCATGATTTAGAGCAGCAAAAAAAAACCCTCATGCAGGAGCTGAAGCAAAAAACAGAAGGAGAGGAGAAACTTATGAAACTGATAAAGCAAATGGAGGAAGATCTTGAGTTTAAAGGGTATCTATCAGAAATAAACCTGCAAGAAAAAGAGAAGACTGAAACCAAAAGGAAAGTTGTTGGAGGCAGGTACACTGTGACTAGAGAAACTTCCCTGCCAACTTACACAGCTGGGCAAGGCAGCCAGTGTAGGATTGATTCTGAAATTACAAGTTTCCAGAAGAAACAAGAAGCAAAAAAAGTAGAAGAGCTTAAGCATAAGGTGGATGAACTAATCCTTGCTAACAAAAAAGCTGATAAAACCATAAAAGACCTCAAATATGAACTAAATGAAATCGAGCTTCAGAAATCATCAACAGAAGAAAAGTCTCGTTTATTAAAAGAAAAATTAGATGAAGCCAATAGTGAACTTAAATGCCTAAAAATCAAATTGGAGGAAAAAGACCAAGTAGAGCAAAGCTATCTGCAACAGCTGAAAGAACTTGACAAGCAACTACATAGAACCACAAGTAAAGCTGAAGAGGTAATGCAAGAAGCTATAGATCTTAAGCAAATTAAGATGAACTATCAGGAGGAACTGAAATCTGTTCAGCAGGAAAAGATACAGCTAAAAAGAGAAGTAGAGGAATTAAGTAGATCACAGGCAAAAGCTGAAATCACTATCAAACATTTAAATTCACAAATCAGTTCTCTTCAAAAAGAGACACTGGAAGCTGAACACAGAGTGCAGTCATGCAAAGGAGAAGCAAATTATCTTCAAGACCAGTATAAGAAAATTCAGGAGCAATTGCTTCATAAAACAAGAAGAGAAGAAGAAAACCTGCAGGAAATTCAGATGCTAAAGAATGAATTAACCAAGAGCAATCAGATGTCGGAAACATTGAAACGAAAGATAGAGGATCTTAATAAATGGAATACTGAAACAAAACTACGGATGAAGCAAATTCAATCCGAGTCAGAGAAGATGACTTTGGAAAAACAAAGTATTCAGAGGAAAAATGATGCATTAAAAACCCTAGCAGATGGTTTCAAAGAGCAACTGCGTACAACAAATGAACAACTGCACAAACAAACCATAATGGAGCAAGAATTCATATGTAAGATCAAAAGCCTAGAAGATGATCTTGGTAAAACAAAAGACTTAGTTAGTGAATATAAACAGAAATCTGATAAACAAAATGCTTCTGCCCTAACCGCTGACCTAGAGATTAAAAATCTAAATGCCCAACTGTGTGCTCTAACCACAGAAAAGAGAGTGAATGAGCAGAAAATACAGCTGCAAGAAGTTCATATACAAGAGCTAAGTAGTAAACTAAAAAAATTACAGGATGAACTGCATCAGAAGACTCTGGATGAACAAATGGCACGCAAGAAAATGATTCTGTTTCAGGAAGAGTCAATCAAATTTAAGCACTCGGCAGAGGAATTTAGGAAAAAAGTAGAAAAATTACTGGAATCTCATAGCATCACAGAAAAGGACATTTCTGGCATAAAATTAGAGTGTGTTGCTCTTCAACAGGAAAAACATTTGGCTGAGGAAAGCATCATGCTGTACAAGAGACAGATTGAAGATCTGCAAGAAAGGCTTAAAAAATGTCAAGAACAACTACAACAAGGAAAGCATGCTGAAATGGACTATCATCAGAAGTGCAGGAAACTTGAGGAAGAGTTGGAAGTGCAGAAGCACCTGGTTGAGGATGTGAAACAGAAGATGGACCTGCAGGTCAAGGAAAGTGAACATAGGTTTCTTTTGTTTCAGAATGAACTTCAACAGGACAATAAAATCAAAGATTGTGGATTTAAAATGAGCTGTGAGAGAAGAGGAAATGAATTGAATTACCTGAATGACAGCTCATCTAGGGAATCTGAACAGCATCCTTCACATGTAAGACCTTGTTCACCTTTGTTAAGGCAGAAACAAGAGAGAACAAGTTTTAAATCTGATCAAATAGAAGAAAATACACTGTATGTGAGTGCTGATGATACAATACCAAGGGAGGTGCAGTTCCAGATGTCAAGAATAAATCAATCACTAGAAGATGCAAGATCACAATCCTATACAGAGTTTGTTTCTCAAACAAGTACGCAGTTCCAGATAACCTTTGATAAATCAAGTGAAATCACTGGAATATCTGAAAGAGACAAATTGAGAAACAGGAACCTACACAGTTCCAGACAAACAAGTAGGCCTGGAGAAGACATGAAACTTGAATTAGGATTAGTAAAAGTGCATCCCTTGGAGGTATACAATAAATTTTGTGAGGGTTTGCCTTCCTAGTGGTGGCTCTTACTATTCTATTTTTTTTATTTATGCTCTATCACTATTCTTTGTTCTCTCTCATGTTTCTTATGCTCATACGTTGGTGAAGGGGACCTCTTCATTTTCACTTTGTTGCTCAGCTTTTCGTTAAACCGTTGTAGCAGGCTTGTTAATATCCAGGAAACACATTATTTTATGTGGTTTGTTGGAAATAAGATTTCGCATACACCATTGTGTCATCATTGGTCAAAATGAGCTTTGCTTAACAGTGCTAAGTTCATCTAATAACAACAAACCTTGATGCTTAATCTAATCCTATTCTGATTGCTGAATAAACATTTGAAATGATGAATGCATTCTAAATCTCTAGCTATTTATATTTCTGTGCTGTTCAATGCTGATAACAGATCTCCTTTCTAATATATTCAGGTTTTCCCTTTTGTTTCTCTGGTGGTGGATTTAGAACTGAATTATGTGCAGCAAAGTTTTGCAGATCTATTTCTCACTGTGTTAAAAAATTCCTATTTACAGATAGCGAAGAACAAGCAGTATGACATGCATGTTGAAGTTACAACATTAAAACAAGAGAATGACAAGACATTTGGTAATGAAGAGAGAATGTTTGAGGGATACAAAACATCTGAAGGGTTTAGGAGAGAAGACTTTTCAAAGATGAATTCTTTCTTAGGAGAAGAGATTTTGAGAACTGTTGATATTGCTACTCAGTTGGAATGTTTTCCAGAAGAATATGATGATATTAAATTTCAAGGTCTTCGACGTGATGTAACTGCCAGACAATTGATTGAAGTTAAACTTCTAGACAGGCTTACTGTTGAGCATCTCCATTCAGGGCAGAAAACTATTGAGGAGGTTCAGAAAAGTCTTGAAAAATTTTTAACTAAACCTACAGCTATAGCTGGAGTGTACCTTGAATCCAGCAAAGAAATACTGTCTTTTTCTTTAGCAACAAAGAGAAGAATCATAGGGAAGGCAGTGGCATTAGCATTTTTAGAGGCCCAAGCAGCTACTGGTTTCATCATTGATCCTACAACAGGTCAGAAATTCTCTGTTGATGATTCAGTTGTTAGAGGGCTTGTAGATAGTGAATTCAAGAGTAGACTGCATGAAGCAGAAAAAGCTGTTTTGGGATATTGCTGTTCTGGTAAAGTGGTATCTGTGTACCAAGCTATGGAAGCTCGACTTCTAGAAAGAAAAAAGGGTAAAAATATCCTTGAAGCTCAAATTGCAACTGGGGGGGTTATTGACCCCATAAGAAGTGTTCGTGTACCTCCAGAAACTGCAGTGCAGCTTGGCTTGCTTAATAATACGATTCTGAAGTTTTTGCATGAACCTTCTAGTAATGTGAAATGTTTTCATAATCCAAACAACAGGAAAGCTATGTACTACTGTGATTTGCTAAAAATGTGCTTGTTCAGTGTTAGCAGTAATTGTTTACTGCTTCCAATTGGTGAAAGGAGAATAAGCAGCCCATCGGCAGAGAAAAGTCATAGAATTTCTGTAGTAGACATCAAAACAGGAGCTGAAATGACTTCCTATGAGGCTTATAAAAAAAAAAGTGTTGATAAAGCTACGTATCTTGAGCTTTCAAAGCAGGAGTTTGATTGGAAGGAGTCTACGTGTTTTGATTCAGATGGGAGTTCTTTTATTTTGCTTACAGACCATAAAACTGGTGTGCAGTTTAATATTGAGGACGCCATCAATCAGGGTAGAATTGACAGAGCATTAGTCAATAAATACAAAGAGGGCTTAATCACAGTTAGTGAGTTGGGAGATATTTTACTTAGCAGTTCACAACCAAAGAAAGACCTAAACAGTCCTATCGCAGGATTTTGGCTTTCTGAAACCAATGAAAGAATTCCAGTTTTAAAAGCCTCACGCAGAAATCTGGTAGATAGAGTTACAGCCCTCAGATGTCTTGAAGCTCAGGTCAGCACAGGAGGCATAATTGATCCATTCACTGGGAAAAAGTACAGTGTTTCAGAAGCTTTGCAAAGGGAATTAATTGATGATGGTTGTGCCAAGCAGATTCAGCAATGTGAACTAATCTTTACAGGGATCATTCACCCTGTAAGGAATACAGTTATGTCAGCTGTTGAAGCTATGAGTACAAATGCCCTAGACAAGGAAATGGGTATGCGCTGCCTGGAGTATCAGTACCTGACTGGTGGGTTGATAGATCCAAAATCTCATTCCAGATTGACAATGGAAGATGGGATTAAGTGTGGTGTTATTGATGCCATCACAGCTACAAAGGTGAAAGATGAAGATTTGTATGTTAAAGTTATCACATGCCCCAAAACAAAGAAGAAGCTAACCTACAAAGAGGCTTTAGAGAGTGCTGTTTTTGATTGCCACACTGGGCTACGATTGTTAGAAGCAGCTCAGCCCATGAAAACAGGAATTTCTAGTCTGTACTATGCTTCGTAATAGAGATGATAGTACTTATTTGGGGCCTGATTTAAAATCGATTCAAGTTAAGGAAAAGGTCTACAATGACTTCTATGAAAGTTGTAGATTATGTTGTCTGATGGAGTTGCTTTGAAACTAATTAGTTTAAACAGCTAATTAGTATACACTGGTAACCTAGAATTAGGTATTACTTGCTATAAAGTGTAAATCTTTAGGTAAAGTAAGGCAAATTAGTAATGTCAAAAAGCAGAGTGTGTTCAGGGTGTATCTGAAGGCTTTATCAGATGTTGCCTTCATTTAGGCATTATAAACTGGAAGTTATAAATCAGTGAAGCTACTGTATATGTGAAATGCATACATTTAGGTGAGACGAGTCAGATTCTTCCATTAAAAACTGAAGAGTGCCCATTTTGTGAGTGAAGACAATGCAGTATTTCATACAACTCAATTACTTCATTTAGTATTACAAATCAGTTTGCAAATGTAATTTATTGTACAAGGGTGGCAAAACAGTGTACAAGAGTTAAATCTGCAATTCAGTAAGCAAGCAAATATTTTTTCTCACACTGATATTTTATTAATTTAATGGGCTACTCACATCATAAAATTTCATATCCTGTTCTTTTTTTTTTCCTACACTTCAGGTAACTTAACAGTATTTTTTTATACTTTAATAGGCAAATGAATTACAGTTGCATGTCCAGTTAAAAAAAAATCCATTGAAATAAAATATTTTCATTTTCACTTGTTGCACATGGAAGGGCTTAGATGTGTTTTCTAAGTATTGCTAAACTTCAAACTACTGACATATTGTGTTACTATGAAAAACATATGTATTTTCCTATGCAGAGAAATACAATTTTACTTTTATTGTCCTTATTTCTGTGGACATAGAAACAATGTATTCTTCTGAGCTGTAATTTAGTAATCCATGTCTATAGATTGCTGATACTGATATCCTATGCTGGCTGTAGATATCCACTCCTGAGGGTAATGCAAAGGCAGCAATTCAGAGATGCTTTATATGCAAATGTTGTTTAGGTTTCATCTGCTGAGTAATTGCCTGTGCTTTTTCTTTATATCAATCATTGTATAATGAATGTACATGTGTATGAATAAGCATTTCTTGATTAGGAATCTTTTGAGGAATTGTTCTGTTAATGTCAATAACAATGTGGCATTTTTGTTCCTACATCAAAGTGTCACAGTAATGCATGTGGTAATAATAAAAGGAAATCACTTTAAGGGTATGTGGTAATACTGCCATTTTGGTAGAACTGTGTTTCTATTGATAAGAATGTTAAATATTCCAACAACTTACATTTACACGTGTTTTACGATTTGTGATGCTCATCAGAGGTCAATGGAAGAAGAAAAAAAAGAACATGTTGAGAAGGCTGGGGATTTACTGAAATGGGTGTCAAACCTCAGCAAGACACTCAGCAAAGAAGGAGGAGAAAAGGCTGAAAAAACAGATTTGCCTAAGCAGCAGGTACACAGATGTCTTTTAGTAAAATAACACTTCCCCGTTTTGGCTTTTTGCGTTTATTGAAATGACAGAATATTCCATAAGTATTGTTTTATTCTCCATATCGCCATCCACATTTTACTAAAATGTAATTTTGTGTTTGGCTGTGAATGGAGGATTGGATAAATACTCAGGGATACAAATGTTACTCAGGAACGAGTAGAAGCTGCCTTTTGCATCGCAAGTGTACAGTGCAAAATGTCAATTTAGAGAAGCTGTGCTCTGCACACCACAATTTGACTGTTGTAAACGAACAGTACAGCAGTAGTAGTTCTGCTGCCTGCTCCTGCAGTAGTTCAGTCAATCAGCCTGGTGACTTCTACCCTGACACCAAGAGCCAAGTTTCTTCTCATTTTCTATTAAAAAGTTATTTCAGGTGTTCTTACAGGATGGCTTATGAGACAGTAGTTGAAAGTTTTTGAACAGATGCACATTCCTCTTCAAATCTGCTTCCTTAGGGCATACAGAGGGCGTTAGTGGGGCCCTTTTTAATACCACACTATTCCACAGGCTGCTGAAGGGGCCCATCTTGCACCCGTTTTTTTGGCAGATCTATTATTGTTGTGTGTATAGTTGTTAGTCTGACTGTGAATTTCCATCTCTGAAGTTTCATATAATTTCTAGTAGTTTCCTTGCTAGCTTTGTCATGCAAAATAGCTTAGTGACCTGAAAGGATTTCCAGAAATAAAGGCCTGCCTGCCCACTGAGCAGCAGAAAAACAGAGCGGTGTCTTTTCCACATCCTTCAGAAGTAGTTTGGCTGGTCAGTTAACCCAAACTCAATTTTGGCACATCTTTCAAGCAACTTGATCCTGTGTTCTTATTTTGGACATTGGCAGTGGTGTCAAAGCTGCAGAGTTTGAACTTGCTGTCAGACAGCCCTGCAGCTGCCACCGGTGCTAACACAATGCTTGTTTGTAGATGATGTGCTCCATAGTATAAAAGAGCAGATATATTTGGGGGACCAGTGCTAGTTCTGTAACTGGCAGAAAACATTCAGTATTGGCTTTTTTTTGCTTCTCCTGTTGATGATAGTGGTGAAAGCCTTTGTTAGTGTTGGGCCAGTGCCATGCTCCTTGGAGCATCTAAGCCTACCACGACAGCTACATTGGCATCTTCCCAGTGCAGCTTGAGCCCTCAAGAAGTAACATGCAAGTTAGTTGTCTTGGCTTCCTCTTGCCACCTGCAGGCAGCTATTTCCTGAGGGTGTTTCCATTACAGCCTGTGAGATAGTGGGCACCATCCAGAGATGCCTAGTTTTGTATTCACTGTCTGACATGGATGCCTCGACACGTTTGGTACAAACCTGATAGCTAATTTTTATAGTTTTGTTGTTGTTGTTGTTTTATTTTGATAGCTGATGTTAGCTGAAACACATTTCATACATACACTTGGGGGTGTTCTGAGGGGTAGCCATTGGGAACGGGGGTGGAGAAGCTGCTGCCAGTAGTGACATAGCATATACAGCAGTCATAGTGATGCCAGTACCCTGAGGAAAGGGAAACTCATGTCTTCTCATGTTCAGCATGCTATGCTTGCTGTCCGTGTTTTTGTCCAAGCAGCACGAACTGTGGGACTGTGGCTTGCTGGTAGTGAATGCAAAGACATACTGTGTTCAAAACCTACTGATCGAGACAGAATTGTTGTGTCCCAGCCCACATGAACCTACGTTCCCAGGCACCTTCGCAGAGTTGACTTAGCACCTGCGTTGAATTTACCCCTGCCTTGTTAACAAAACCCTTGCCGCCCCTTCCCCCCACCTTTCCCTTTGTTTAACCAAAATCAAAGGTAGTGCTTTTGTCTGAAGAACTGCAGGCAGTTTCTCAGAAAAATTAAAAAATTAAATTATTGCAAGTTGTTCTGCCAGAACTAGAGCTTGAGTGGGAATGACACAAATGACAGAGGGAGAATTTTAATAAACAATTCATTTTTTTCTGAGTATCTAAATTTGCATTTATCTGTCAATGAATTTCATGAAGTTTGAGGCCTTCTGATATGCTTTGTAAAAGGTTACTCTCTCTTATTGTGGTGTGCAATTTCTTGAGCATGGCCGTTATATACGTATCTTTGTGAATTTACTTTAAACTTTGCCAGATACTCAGTGGTTTTAAATGATTAAATTTTAAACAATTAACATTTGAAATAAATTCAGTTTGGCTCACCAAATTGTTTTCTAACTCAGTTTATTTTACCAAAAGACCTAGTGCAATGATTTATCCAATAATAAATGAATTTCACAATAAATAACATAGGTCTAAGAATAGCTTCTTTCTCTTCTCTTTAATTTCAAGTTCCTACACTACTGAGTTCTGTCACACTTAGAAACATTGTGCTGTTTGTTTGCTTTTCTTTTTATATTTGTGCATAGTTAAATCTTGAACACAGGTTGTCTATTTTTCAGATTTCCCTTGAAGAAATGTCAGCTAAGAAAGAACAAATAGCTGAAGCTCTGCAGACTACTCAGGCATTTTTAGCTAAACACAGTGACAAGTAAGGCATGCTTTTATTTTTCAAATAAATTAATGGAATCAGTACATGCTGTTTGCTTACAAAGAAAGCATATTCACATGTTCCAATTATACTTCACGTACACATGTGTCAGATTTTGTTGTTATTGTTTTGTTTTTTAATAAAACTTTGTCAACCATTCTGGTTAAAGGTTGATTAAGTTTTGTTTATTTCAGGAGCTTGATTAGGTTTACGTACCTCTGGTCAACTTACAGGGTGCAAGATCATCATTGACATTTGAAGTAAAAATAATTAACAAATTAAAAGTAAATCAATATTTCAATTTTATATCTCAAATTTGTTTCATTTTCATCTAAAGTTATTTAGAAGGGTCTGTGACAGAACAAGGGGAAATGATCTCAAACTAAAAGAGTGGAGATTTTGAAAAATGAAAAAAGTTTTTTACAGTAAGAGTGATGAGGCTTTGGAACAGGTTGCTCAGAGATGTGGTTGTTGCCCCATCCCTGGGGGCATTCAAGGTTAGGCTGGACCAGGCTCTGAGCAACTCTGAGCAGGTGTCCCTGTTCATTGCAAGGAAGTTGTACCAGCTGACCTTTAAAGGTCCCTTCTAACTTAAATGATTCCGTGAATCTTTGATTTTAATACACTAGCAAATTGCTGAGGTACTTCATGACTACTTGCTACCCATCTTCACTGTTGATAAGTTGGCAAAGGAACATGCAAATGATAAAAGCTTTTGCTATCATTCCAAGTAAATTGTAGATTAGTTTAACCTTTTTTAAAATCTGAGTAGCTATAAACAGTTATAAACTTTTTTTTAAGTAAAGATTGGCAGACTACAAATTATTTAAGAGACCTCCTCATTTTTTTTGTTCGTTTGTCTGTTTCTTTTTTTAATAGAATGACAGATGAAGAGAGAGGTGAAATGGAAAAACAAGTCAAATCCCTCCAGGAGAGCTACAGTTTGTTAGCCAATGAAGCTGTGAAGCAGCTGCAGGAAGCACACTATTTGGATGATGAAAAGATGGAAGAAAAGGTAGCAAGATGGAAACGCGGATATCAGGGTCTTTTGAGTTTTACTGCATGGTTTTGAAATCATATGTGATGGGTAAAAAATGAAGCTGTAATTAACAGTGTGTCAAGGATTTTAAGGTTTAACTGACAAAGTTTTGTGTATTGGTTATGAAATACTGTGTGTTATCTTACCTGTGCATATGAATACTCCACTCATCAGGTTTTTTTGTGAAGAGTCTTGATAATGTGTGCCTTGCATGAAGAAAGATAAACATTCATTGCTTAACTCTTCTCATAAAAGCCATTCTTTGACTGCTATATAAGTCTGTGTCTGCTGCAGAAAGGACACCATAAAGTAACATGTTAATGTCTTCCATATATCCTTCAGAAGTGTCCTCAGAAGAAATCTACTTTCAGTTTTTCTTAAAATTTATCTGGATATAAAAATGAAAGTGCATAATAATGTTAGTGACCCTGAGACACTGTATCCATTTGCTAATAGATCTCAATCTTAAATATGGATTTTTGAAAAAATGTTGCATATGAATTTTCTCGTTTTGAGGCAGTGTCTGTTTAATTACTTTAAATAATGTTGCCAAACTGACTTCATGCTTTCCATGCAAACTAAAAGCATTATTTGGTGCTAGAATATCTGATTCCATAATGTTGGATGTATATACAGGAGTGCTGTATGCTGTAAACATGAATAGCATGGTTGTTTTGAATCACATACTGTTTCTGAAGTTCTAACATTTCACAGACATTTAGAGCATGAAAATTTGCCTTTCAGGTAATATGTTCTATTTGCTCACTCTGCAATCATCTCTTCTATTGTCTTTCACTAACCCTATGTATGTATGCAAAGCATAGGTTTTTAATTCACAGATGCATGTTGATTTTAAATCTTTTATCACATCATGTGCTGTTCAATGACTGACATAGATCACTTGTGCGTTTGAGCTGCTAACATTCACAGCATTCTTCCAGTCCTGGTAAGTACAAGTTCTTATGCTTATCATGCATTCAGAAGCAAAAGTAAATTTGAAATTAGTCTAAAATAGTGATACTTGTTCTTTTGTATTTCTTTTTAGGTGCATAAAGTCATTGCTGGTATCATTGACCAAACGACTGGAGAAGTCCATTCTATTTTTCAGTCTATTCTAAAAGGTTTTATTGACTATGACACTGGAGTTAGGTTGCTTGAGAATCAGCTGATCCTTACTGGAATAATTTCTCCAGAATTAGGAATATGTTATGATTTGGAAGAAGCTAAAGCTTGTGCCCTAATTGATGATCAGACTCTATTGCAGTTACAGGAATTAAATAATGCAAAGAAGCTTATTTCAGAGTCAACATTATCAAATCTTCCAGTTATATCAGCTTTAGAACAAGGTCTAATTTCAGAACCTTTGGCTATTAAAATTCTTGAGAATCAGCTTTCAAGTGGGCACTTGATTTTGCCATCTACTGGAGAGCACCTGACTTTGCAGAATGCTTTCCAGAGAAACCTGATTTCTCCAGCATTATATGCAAAGCTTCTGGAAAGACAAGACACTTGTAAAGATCTCATAGACCCTAATTGCGCTGAAAAGATTTCCCTTGAGCAGATGCTTCATAGAAGCATAATACATGGTGAAACAGGGTTAAGACTCCTACCAGTGAAACCACAAGAAAAAGGTAGAATCATACTCAAATGTGGAAGGAAAATAACTATTTTGAGAGCAGCCCATGAAGGACTCATTGACAGGGAGACAATGTTTAGGCTGCTGGGGGCTCAGATAATATCTGGAGGTATAATTGACCCTGAGTCGGGGAAGCAAATGACTGTGGAAGAGGCCGTGAGTCAAGGGATTATAGGTCAGGACACTGCTTGTGGAATCTTCACACATCAGGTTCAAACGGGTGGAATCCTTTGTCCAAATTCTGGGCAACGCTTGACTGTTGATGAAGCCATACAATGCAATTTAATATCATCTACCAGTGCACTGCTGGTGTTAGAAGCACAGAGAGGCTTTGTTGGACTAATATGGCCTGACACAGGTGAAATATTCCCCATATCAACATCTTTGCACCAAGAAATGATAACAAGTGAGCTGGCATTCAAAATTCTAAGTGATAGGCAGAAAATAGCTGCACTTTACATTCCAGAAACTTGTGAAGTACTCAGTCTAGACAGGGCTGCACAGTCAGGGTTAATAGACATCAATACTGTATCTATTCTGAACAGTGTGACTTTACCGGATAAAATGCCCGGTGTAGAAGAATTAGAATCCTCCTGTAAAAATGCTGCAAAATGGTTATCATCATATGAAGTCATGTCATCTTTATTTCATGACTGTGAAGAGGAACAGGAAGATTCTGGTACAGAAGACCCTGCATGTCGTAATTCAGACCAAGCTAAGAAATTGTTCATATCTTATCTGATGGTGAATAGTTATATGGATGCAAACACTGGAGGAAGACTTCTGTTATATGATGGACAATTGCAGGAAGCCATCAATATGTTTCTGGAAGGGGATAGTTCTGCATACACTACTGATGTGTCAGAAACGGCTTTCAACAACAAACACATAAGTCCAAAAGGAATTAATCTAAAGTCAGCTGGCAATGTCCACTTCGGTAATATTATAGGCAGTGTTCAAGGTGGTCCTTCAGGTGCTGAAAATACTTCTGATGACAAGAAGTTAATTCAGTTTGGAGATTTGGAGAATTATACGTGTTCACAGAGAAAAGATACATGTAGATCAGATGTTTGCAGTGATACTGGTACTGAACAATCACAGTTTACTGTGGAGATGCTGCTAAATAAACCTGCAGAACTTAAAAATGTAGAAAGTAACACTCGAAATTTCAGTAACAGAAATGCACTCGAGAGTCTTTTGGAGGATTCTGAGTGGACACCATTAGAGGTGTATAAGCATAATGATGAGAAAGCAAATTCAAGAAACACTGAAGGAGTTTTTCCAAATGACTCAAATCTAAATCTTATGTCAGATACAGAAGAAGAAGAGGTTGTTATGACAGATAATCTGGGTAAGGAAAACAGAAATGATAAAACCTTATACAGTTCCTTGAGTGTGAATGACTTGTCAGATAATGAAATCTGGACAGACCTGGAAAAGACCTTCACAAAATACGAGCCTCATGTATTGCAACCTGACAGTTATAGAATGGCACTGGGTAATGTTGAGAAAGATGATTTTCAAGGAAGTTTTGGTTCATCCTTCAACACAGATACTGAATACAGAATTCCAGAAGAATCAGATAGTCAGTGTGGTGACACACTGCAATTTGAAGGTAATGGACACAGTGAACAACCTCCGCTGGACTACACTGATGTACATAATAGGCCATCTCTAGAGAGCTGTCCATGTAGACATCGCAGGCAGTCTTTGGATGGTAGTACTGATTTCCAGAGTAAACTATGTCTAGAAAACAGTAGAGAAATACAGTGGAGGCCTTTGTTGGAGGCCAGTACTGTTACACATGATGGACCACCTGAGGGGGTCATTGACAGCATGGCACAAAGCGTATCAGTAGAAGAAAACAATCTTGTGTTTGACAAGTTATTACCTGGAGACAGTAGTTCTGACTCATCACTAGAAGGGAGTGATAGCATCCCACAGGTTGAAAGTAGCTGCTCACAGCATGATTGTAGTGAGGCAGTCTCAGAAGAGGACAGCTCGCAGTTTGATGATGATGATGATGATGATGACGATGCCTATGAAACTCCTCAGGTTGATGATGATGACAGTGATTTCTATGGTACTCCACAATTTGATGACGATTCCTATGACACCCCTCAAGATGATGATGATTTTCGTACCTTACAGCTGGAGGATGATGATACACCAGAGCCAGAGAATGTTCCGTTAGGATTTCTAGAGGAGAGAGGTGGTCTGATAGCTCTGAGAGAAGAGAACAGCTCTTATGAGGAACTTCCAACTAATGCTGGAGAGAACATCCATTACATTAGAGATATAAATCAGACAGCTCTAACTGAGGGTGTTAATGTAGCTTCTACAAGTGCTGAAACTTTGGAAACAGCCCCTGAAGAGGAAAGGGAAAGAACAAGGAACTTTGAAGAGGAGCAAAAATTACCAGTTACTCTGGGCAGTGAAGAAAGTAGGGAGGGATGCTGTACTTCTTTTCAGAAGAGGTATGAAACAAAAACACAGCGAGACAGAAACGAAGAAGATGAAGTGAAAGCAGCAAGTGACTACTGTGAGTATGAATTGGAAGGAAAACAGGAGGAGGAAGACTATGATTATGACTATCTGGATTATGATAGTTATGATGACTCTGATACTGAGTCTGACAGTGAAGAAGAAATGGATACTTTTTATTCACATAATCAGTGTCAAAGCAGAGATGACCAGATGTTAATTCCTGCAGGGGACATAGAAAATAGAGAGGAAAATAATCAGAATATTGATGAGTATTGCTGTTCTTTAGGCCACAAGACAGAGTATAATTTGCAGTTCCAGTCTAATCATGGAAATGGAGAACTATCTTTGGGAAAATGTGAAACTGCATCAGATATCTGTGAGAAAAGATGCGTTGATACATATACAGGCAAAAAAGAAAGTGAACAAAAACCAGAAGATGAGTACGGAACTTTTCCCAAAAATGAAAACATGTCAGAAGATACTACTGAGGATATTCAGTCTGAAAATACCTTTGACACAAAATGTATATCCTGTAAGAGTGAAGAAAATAATAAAACACACTTTCTTGATGATACTATGATATCTGACATTAGAGTGACACCTTTCCTAATTACAAAGCAAGCTACTGGAGATGATGAAAATACTAAGACAGATTTGCTTCTATCAGAACACTTTATTCACAGCATGAACAAAAGCTGTAGTACTGTGCCAGTGTTACATTTAGATCATGGGCAAAGACAAAAAGAAGCAGTATTTGCAGAGGAAAAAGCATTAAGTGATGTGGCTGGTTTGGAACAACGAAAGGCGAGTTCATCCCAAAAGGAGAGTAAATTCCTCACAGATATGCATTATGCTAGTGATGATGTTAGTTCACTTTGTGACCGAGTACATCCAATTACCAACAAGAAGCATGGTGAAATAAGAAGAGATTTTGAAACTCTGGCAGAAAATGGAGTAAATATTAAAAAGGAGTGTGGTGTCATGGAGCTAAATAAAAGTCCCATTCATATGGAAAGTCTTGGGGAAATATTTGATGCATCAACAGTTAAAGCTGATACAGAAATTATTTCAAATAATGAGAAAGTAAATACTGGTCAAACTTGGCCTGACGTTGAAAGGGGTGTGATATCAGCTGAATTTAAGAGAGATTTTAATATTTCATCTTCTCTAGAACAATGTACAGCAAGCTTAAAAGGAAAAAACAATTCAGAATTGGATGAAACTGAATCCTGTTGCCTTAAGGACATAGAACAGGTGAAAAATAGTTTACAGAATGAAAAAGAATTTCTGCTCAATATGGAAGAAATACATTCAAGAGGATTTAACACTTACTCCTTCCCCCCAACTGTTTCAGTGAAGCCGAAGGAAATTAGCATGTCTAAAGAGACGTTGGTCTGTCAAAGCGACAGTGTTCTTAAAGACCTTTCAGAAAATAAGGACAGCAATGGTGATGAATTTACGCTCATAAAAGCAGGTGCCTCAGGAAGCACTGACGATGCAAAAGAATCTGGGGATGAGATTGAAGCTCTACCTTCTGGGAATCATACACATACCACTGATTTTTCTTCTGCAATTTTGAGCAGCACAGAGGCTGACTGGAATAATGTTGCCCAGAAAGAATCTGAAGCACTGAAAAACACAAAGGGAGAAAAGTTCATGGCCAGCGAGACTTCTTCCTTTGAAAATGGTTTCAAAAAGCAATTATGCGTGGAATCATTACAGAACAAAGTGGGACCTTCCAAAGATTTTCAAGTAAAGAAAGGTTTTTCACAGTCACCAGAAATGCCTGACACACTAATGGAAGACTTAAATAATATATTACAAAGGAAATTAAAATTGGGACATACTTACTGCAAGGAGGAAGGTGAACCACTACGTTACTCTGATACCAAAATTCTAATGCAGAATGTACTTAGAATGGTTGGAAGCACCCAGCTTGGAAGCAGCATGTTCAGTGAGTCACAACTCAAGCAAACAAGCAGTACTGTTAGAGAGGCATTAATGGATAACACACCGTGCACAGACACAAAGGACAGTGATGCACTTTCATTGCTTTGGCCTGATTGCAGAAGTCCTGATCTTCTTCGCGATATTCTGCAGCGGGAATTCTGTAACCAGAAGATGAGTGATCCAGATGAAATGAAGAGTGAAATAGAACAAGAGGTGAAAACTCCTACCGCTAATCTTACGGCTTCTGAACTTATGAAAATTTTCAAAATGTCATCTGGAGATGAAAGTAAGAGGAAATTAGAGGAGCTGATAAGTAGTTTGCTTACGAGCTCACAGGGTGCTGACATCACCACAGCACATGAAGGTAAAAGCAAAGTAGGTAGGCTTTGTGCTCTTTTCTCAACAGAACAGTCAGAGTTTGGATCAGAAATTCCTAAAGAGAAAACATTGGCAGATGACACAGCTGATGCTTGGAAAAGTGACCAGGAGCATGAGAAGACAGACAGCCTCTTCAGAGGCTTTACTGGGCCTGCTTACATGACAAAAACACTCCTGGATGACAATTCCACTAGCAAGGTACGTAACAACAGCTGGTATGTGCTGTGTGCCCTGTGTCAAAGGAATCACATGAATCTTTCCAATTGGTGGAGACAATAATTAAACTGGAAAAATAATTTCAAAAATAAATGATTTTAAACGATTAAAATTAGAATTAAAAGAAATTTTATTGCCTATTTTTAAATTGTCAGTTTCAAAAACCTTATTGTTTATTGTTAAAACCCATTTTCAGGTTGATGGAGAACAGGAATGTTTGAAGTTAAGAGACAAAATGCAAGAGCATTTGGCAGTGCTTCAAGAGGTGAAAAGACACCTAGAAAACCAGAAACCTATTAGTAGTAACCTGGAAGTACTAAAAGAACAATTGCAGCAACTAGAGGTCAGTAAAGTATTCTTTATGCTTGTACTTCAGTGATGTAGCCAGGAGAAGACCTGAGATGGGGTGAGGAGAAAAAAGAGTGAATTTGAATTTAATTAAGTAAACCAGATATAATGTCTTTCTTGCTTATTAGCTTAATGCATTTTGAATATATGTTCTCTTTGTAGTCATTTGAATCAGGATTGGCTGCCTTTGCAATTATCCTAAAAAAGGACATGAAGTTGACAGAAGAATTCTTAAAGTTTCATCACAAAGATATTCCTGAAGCGAAACTTAAAGAGCTAAAGATAAGCTATGACTATTTGGAGGAAGCATTTTTGATGGTCTGTGATACGTCTTCAAAACGAGCAAAACAAATAGTCTGTTCTGTTGACTTGGAAATGGTATGTTTTTATCAGTGTACATTTGTATGTTTTGTCTTACTTTTCTTAAGGTAATTCGGCTAACAATTTAAAAATTTTCTTTTAAATCTGTATATAAAGTACATGCATGATTTCATTTAGTGTGAAATGTGTGAAAACGTGACAGGATTCCACATAAATAAATGAATATACAACTTCCCTTTCCTAGTCTAAGCTTGCAGAATTGCACCAGCAACTTCTAAGCAAACTCCAGACATTTTCAGACTGGATCACAGAACACAGTAAAATCATGAATGACTTCAAAGTGAATACCAATGACATAGAAGATATGAAGCAAAGCTTAAAGCTACTCAAAGTAAGTATTCTTTGTGGCAGATGTTGGTGCTTCTGGCAGCTGTTACTGTGTGGTATGAACTACTAGCTAGTATTTGTATAGCTGCTTATAAACCTGGGAGACGATTACTTGATGATCCACGTACTGTTGATTTGCTTTTTCTCCTTAGAATTTTTGGACATTTTGACTTCCTGAGAAAAGTATCAGTTCTGCTTACATTTGTTATAATAAATCTCACCCTTCTTGGTAATCTAGTTGATGTTACAGATATTTCAATTATTAATATTAAATCTTTCAAAACATCTTTATTCATAAGATCCATGTTCTTTGCTGAAGTTTCATTAATTTTAATTAACTGTAATTAACTTGTGAGAAGAGGAGAAAAGATAATAAATAATCCCCACAACCTCTTAATTACCCACTTGAGTGAAGTGAGCTGTGAAAAACAAACCAGATGAATTTTTAGCAATGTTCATACACCTCTGTGTGTAAATGTAAAAAAAAAAACGTCATTTTACTGCACTTTAATCGTGTTCCAGTTTGTGTTGTGTTATCATAGGGGCTGCAAGGAGTGCAGCTGTGGGCATAATTTGATACACTGCTGGAAATAAAGTTTTTCATTGTGGAGTTAAAAATGAGAATACACTCAAGTAAATATTTTAACATTTTTAGGTTAGACCTAGCACCTAGGAAACTTAAACCACGCCTGCCATTTCATCAGTGTATATTCACCATAAATTCTCTATTGTTGAAGGGCAGCCAGTTTTCAGACATGCATTAGAAGGCAAAAGAAAGAATAGAGGTTTCCAAGGTCATTTTATTTATTATATGCTCATGGACTGTGCCAAAGGCAAACCATACACCAATTCACATCCCTTGATGGAATGTGCCAGAATGATTCTGACACAGGTTTGATTTACTGTGCCTGAAGTGTCTCTCGAAAGCACTTTGGAACAGGAGCTAAGTGCAGAAAGTAGTGACTGTGTGTTTTATTTGTGCTGAATTTGTCTTCCTTGTTATTCATTCCCTTGTCTTTACTTACAGAACACTGCTGCAGAGGTTGCTCGTACAAAAATGCAACTGGAGTCCACTGCATTTGAAGTTCAGTTCTTCATTTCTGAACACGCCCAGGATCTTTCTCCCAGTCAGAGCAAACAGCTTCTGAGGCTCTTAAATACCATTCAGAAATCTTTTCAGGAAGTGCAGGAAACTGTAACATCTCAAGTGGAGAGTTTAGAAACTGAGTTACAGGCAGCGCAAGAGCTGGGTGACCAGAAGGTTTGCTTTTCTGTGTAAATGTGTGCTGTTTTTGTGTATGGGTGAGGAATTTTAATACCAGCAGGCAGTATTAACTGTATTCCTACCTTCTCAGTTTCACTTCAGATACATTCACTGTTCTACAAAGATTGATCTAGTGTGGCCCCATCTTGAACACTGGATGCAGGTTTGGGTGCCACAATATAAGTACGTAAAACTGTTAGAGAGCATCCTCAGGAATGTTACAAAGATGGTGAAGGGTCTCAAGGGCAAGGTATACGAGGAGTGCTGAGGGGAGGCCTGATGGCAGCTGCAGCTCCTCACAGGGAGCCAAGGGGCAGCGCTGAGCTCCGCTCTGTGTGACAGCGACAGGGCCTGAGGGAACGGCATGGAGCTGCATCAGGGAGGGCAGCTGGGGGTGAGGGACAGGGCTGCACCAGAGGTGGTGGGCATGGAACGGGCTGCACAGGGCTGTGGGAACGGCCCCAAGCTGCCGTAGTTTAAGGAGTGTTTGGACAGTGCTCACAGACATTGGGTTTGAAGTTTTGGGTGGTCCTGTGTAGAGCTGGGAGCTGATGATCCTTGTGAGTCCCCTTCCAACTCAGGATATTCTATGATTCTATGAAGTGTGAAGAGTTGTCATTTTTCTCTTTCATTGTTACAGTGACAGTTCACAGGAAATATATGTTAGGTTAGGACAGGTACAGTTTCAGACATTAGGATCCGTTCTTTTACGTATTGTCCAAATAAACCAGTGAACTCTTTGTGCTCTTCTGGCTGCAGCTATATTAATCATCAAGTTTACTATCCCACCACTGCTTATCACTTCTATCCTTCTGACAGTTTTCTTTTCCTCTGACTTGCAATGTCATCTGCTTGTGTGATCATTTTCTAGGTATTTATGGTGAAGTGCCAGATTTTAAAATCTTTTTTATCATAGCTTGTTTTGGCTGAGACAGGTTAGAGGGATAGAAATAAGAGTGAATCAGATTTCTGATTGTAGAGGTGGACTTTGGAAAAACCACGAGTCAAGTTGGTACAATTACCTCTTGAACTGGCATAGCTGCAGCTGGCAAACATTGCCACATTTGTTTTGATAGTAAAAGAACGGTAGGATGCTGCTGTATGACTGCATCTTCTCCTCTGTTGTAGAAGCACTGTGAAGACTCAGAGTTGCCACCTCATTCCCCAGCTTGTGCATAATGAAAGGTGTTTTTTCAGCATTCGGAGGGCTTCGAGTTATTTTACTGTTTGAAGAACATTTGCTTCCACTGTACTTTGTCAAAGAAATATAAAATTGAGTAGAGGAAAGACATAGATATTTTTGTAGGATGTGATAACAGTAATGTTCTTGCATGTCTTGTTCTTTTCTACTGCTTAAGAAGTCAGCATTTTCTATTCAGGTAACATATGCATATCAAAAAGAGCTAACTCACGATCACAACTAACCTCTGTTTTGATATCATTTTGCAGAATTAATAGTGTTTACCACAGGTTTCAAGCGGCTAAAGAGACTGGACTTTCACTCCTGTCGTTTGGAGATTTCATCTTTCACATATGTGCATGGCCAGACTTCTCTTGGGCAATTCCATCAAACATGGTCTCTTTTACTTACAACATATTTGAGGTTTATCCATAACTTCTATATGTTCATCTTGCTATTTGTACCACTGCTATCATGTTTACAGCATACTTTTGAAAAGATTGCTTTGCAATATTGATGTTCAAAGGTTAATTGCTATTTGAATGTCTATTAGTTCATATAGCAGGAAAGTTTTTGTTTTATTGTTCAATTGTATTTGCCTCTAATATAGGATGTGGCTGAACGACAGCAAGAATGCAAAGAGAAACTGCAGGAAATATGTGATATGCTGACACAGACTGAAAATCGACTCATTGGACAACAAGAGTCTCTTGTTATTGGAGACAGCAAGGCTGAGCTAGAGCAGTACCAGACGAGACAGGAGGTGTGTGCAATTCTATTATATATATCTGTAGTTATGTATATAAAAGAAAGATGAGTGCAGAAGAGAGTGACTAGGCTCCTTTGTTGAATAACAAGACTATCGAGAGAGTAACATAGATTTGTTTGACCTACCAAAGGTGAAGTCTTAATGGTGTGCCTTTAAACTGCTGCTCATGAATATGCTCCAGTATGAACCAGTGGGATGTAAGAAACTTGGAAGACGCTAGAATAGGGTGTGTTTACTAGATATTTCAAGAAGCACTCAGGTGGCAGTATAAATCTGTTACATGAATCTTCATCTTATGATTTTTTTTCCCTGAAATGTGATAAGATTACAATTTATCATTCTAAAATAATATAACTAGGTTTTTAAATGCTATCATGGAGTGTTTACACCCTCTTAAAGTATTTTGAGGAATTAAATGCAAGGCTTTGGTTACAGTTCTGTTTTTTTCTAGCAATGCTTTCAATCTTGTAGATGTTTTATGTACCAGAGTCCTTTCAGTTTGTTTGCTTTCCTATAAGGACCTTGGCTTTTAGCCAGTCTATAAGCTTTTCCTCTGACCTGAGTGACACTAACTCTGATTTTGATAGTTTTAAGACAGAAGGACTTGGCACTTTTCTTCATCCTCCTTCTCCTAGTAGTGGCTTTCAGTAATTACAGGATAGAGCTCCAAATCAAGATTAGTAAAGATTTAAATTTTCTGATTCATCTTGCCTTACCTTACTTATCTTCAAAGAAACTCACCTAGTTGGTATAAGATCTCTATAATCTGTGGAAAAACATAGATACCTCAGGGCACCTGTTAACTTAACTGTCTGAAGAAATTAGAACCTAAATGGGTGTATTCTTGGGAGAGAAGAAATAATATAGCATATTTCTTTTTTTTTTCTTAAATAAATATCAATATTGTGATTGTCTAACAGACTAATATTCAGACTTCTGGATAGGAGTGTAAGCAATCTGAGTTCCAAATTGTAGTTTTCTTTCTTTCTTTCCTTTCGTTCTTTCGTTCCTTCCGTTCCTTTTGTTCCTTTCTCTTCTTTCTTTCCTTTCTTTCCTTTCTTTCTCTTCTTTCTTTTCTTTCGGCCTTTCCTTTCTTTTCTTTCTCTTCTTTCTTTCCTTTCTTTCTCTTTTTAAATTTCTAAGCTGTTCTTGAAAGAGATAAGGACAGAATGATCTGCATCAACACTGTCAGATGTTGGACTGAATATTTTCTAATACTTCCATAAGCTGTTCAGTAATACTGCATTTATTCTGTGCGGTTAAAAAAGAGCAGCTTGCCCTCAAAACAGAGGAAGTTGTAATAAGGTTAATCAGAAAGATGTGGATTCATCTTTGGATTCTTTTTTCTCAAAAGGAGATACAAAAAGACATGAGAGCAAGTGCCCAGACATTGGCAGAGATTGTGAAAAATACTGAAAACTTCTTAAAAGAAAACGGAGGAAAGTTGTCGCAAGAGGACAAGGCTGTTCTTGAACAGAAACTGAATGAAGCAAAGACCAAGTGTTTGCTCCTTAGCCAAAAGGCAGAAGAATCTAAAAAAGAACTGGATAAAGCTATGACAACAGCAATTAAGCAGGAGACAGAAAAGGTTATTCGTACTTTTATTCGAACTTCTAATGTATTTTAGGGGATTCGTTTTTCAATTTGCTATTGATATACTGAGGAGAAATAAAGTGTTTCATTTGGGTGACTAAGAAACTGCTGTTCTATTTTTTTTATGAAATAAGCAGTAAAATGCATGCCATTCAACACATTTTTACTGCTGATGTGTTTTAAATAGACTGTTTGCATATGCTATTATATAGTGCCTGAAGATTTCTGAACTGAAACTGTAATTTCATTGTAGGTTGCAGCCATAGAACAGCTGGAAGAAAGTAAAAATACAATAGAAAACCTCTTAGACTGGTTATCAAATGTGGATAAAGAAGCAGAGCATGGCAGGAAATTTAAGCAAGCAATAGAACAGAATGGAACACACTTTGAAGAGGGAGATGTGAAGGTTTTGGAAGGAGAGGAGGATGATGTCAATGGTAATCTGCTGGAAATTCAACAAGGCATTGAAACTCAGGTGGATGGACTAGTGAAAAGCACAGACGATAATCTGAATCAACAGTATCAGAAAGTCAAGGTACTGCTTCTGGATTTACTCCCAGGTTGTTTGCTAAGTGTGTCAGTCTTCATTCAACAAGAGTTGAATATCCTTTCTTTAATAGACTTTGGAATGGAAGATGGGAAGTTAGTGATACGGTGATAGGATTTTCAGTAGTCAGAATGTATTGCAAATTTGTCAGTTCTTCAATGTTACCGTGATCATTTACTGCAAAATAAGAAAAAGCATATTTTTAAAAGCAAATTTTGAAAATCCTGATGGTGAGTCTATTATTCTTAAGTTTTACAGAGAGATATTTATACAGGACAGTCAAGTTTTTATTACTGCTACAAGGAAAGAAGATGCAAAAAGCAACAACATAGATTTATACTTTTTATGAAGCTTTTTCAAAAATCGTTGTAATGGCCAAATATAATCCCCTGCTTGTGGATACTGATTTCCAACAGTTGCAGATAACAGTTTGGCAAACACTATTTAAAGGCTTCAGAAGGACGAATTACATCAAACCACAGTGCAGCATTTTAAAAACAGGTTTTCCAGATAAATTAATCGGAGGCAGCTTATGGCCTTTATTAATTTACATTTTAGCAACCAAGAACTTTTGTGTGGTTTGGTGTGGTTTGGTGGATGTGTAGATAAACTGATACTGCTGATTGCTGGTACCAGTTTGAACTTTCTTTCCTGTTTTTTTTTTTGTTTTTTTTTTTTCAATAACATTTTTTCTTTTTCAGAATGATTTTATTTTTTGTTTGCTTGTTTCTTTGTTTGCTCCTGTGCCCAATGCCTACTGGGTTTTTATCCAGTATAGAATAGGGGAGAGTCATACCAGTCCATTGTACATAATTATTTTACGTAGGAATTGAGAACCTTTAAGACAAAATTTTTTGGAAGAATCAATGTGAAATGTGGATTTTATTTAGCATAGGAGTAGTTCCTATGTCATGTTATTTTAGATGTTTTTGAAACAATTTACATGCACAGAATGTTTCTTGATCTTTAATGTCAAAAGGCTCTGTTTTATGATCAAGTATATTTGATAAGAATCAGTGCTCTTGGAATTTAAAAATAAAGCTTTGTGTAAGAATTTTTTGTTCTCTCAGAATAGAACAAGGAAATATCTATACTCTTTTCAGTGCTTATGCTTTTGTTCCTTTTGGTCTATTTATTTGAAATGGAACTACAGTATATTTTAAGTGAAGTGGAACACTTCCGATTTAAAAAGTTGCCTACCTTTGGGTATTTTATTTAGTGAATTCTATTTTGTGACAGAGAACAAGGAAAATGTTGATTACATTAAGCATGTCATCCCAAGTATAAAACAATAAATAAATTATTGAGCATATATCCTCATATTTCCTAGTTCCAGTGACATCTGAATACTGAACAGAGTATATATGGAGTATGGACTGTGTGTTTGGCTAAAATTACCACTGGCTGTCTCTTCAAATTTTGGAGCTGCAGAGAAATCTTGTGACCAGCAGTCAAGTGTTCTCTCAAATTACTCAAAAATGTTTTAAAATAAATAGCAGGAAAATTAGAAAAGCTACTTTTCGTTTTGATGGACTTCTTTTTACTCATCATTTCTAAGCAAGATTCAGCAGAGATTTCAGGACGGTTCTTGTGTAATGAAATCAGTTGACAAAGGACTGGTCATGTATTCTTTCAACTTTTTCTTGCAGGCTCAACATGAGAAAATTATTTCACAGCAGCAGGCTGTCATAATAGCAACTCAGTCTGCTCAGGCACTACTCGAGAAGCAAGGACACTACCTTTCTCCTGAAGAAAAAGAGAAGATGCAGCGGAACATGAAAGAGCTGAAGGCTCAGTATGAGACTGCTTTAGCTGAATCAGAACGGAAGATGAAGATGACTCATTCTCTGAGGGAAGAACTTGAGAAATTTGATAGAGACTATAGTGAATTTGAAACCTGGCTGCAGCAGGCAGAACAGGAGCTTGACAACTTGGAGGCTGGTGCTTCTGACTTCAGTGGTATTATGGTCAAATTGAAAAGGCAGAAGAGTTTTTCAGAAGACGTTATATCTCACAAGGGTGATTTACGGTATATTACAATTTCTGGACAAAGAGTTTTGGATGCTGCAAGGTCATGTAGCAAAAGAGATGGTGTCAAGGTTGACAAAGATGGTATTGATACTTCGGCTACTTATGCTGAAGTGCAAAATAAACTGGATAGCGCTTCAGATCGTTTTAAATCTCTCTACACTAAGGTAAGTTTTATTTACACAGAATAGGAAAGACTACAGTGATTTTGGCGACTTGTATAAAGAGGGGTTAATTAATGAAACAAATTACTGTGGGAAATTTTAAATTCTTTGCTTCTTAACTAAGAATTCCTCTGGAATTAACAAAATTCCTCTGGAAAAACATATCCACAAGAGGCTTTTTCAAAGTTCTGCTTTAGTCTAGTGCTAATGGTTGAAGTTTTCTTCCTTGTTTTTAGTTTGAGTGTGAATTTAAAGATATAATTGTGATTTTTTTTTTTAAGAACTTACTATTATCCATGTAAAAGACCTATCTCAGTAACTTTATTTGTGATCTCACTTGGGTTGACTTGCCAAATTCTTCCCTTCACATATACACATTTAGCATAGACGTTACAGAGGTGCCTTAAGTATTTGACAATAAATATGCAGAACAAAATCAACACAAAATAGATTTGTCTTAGTAAATCAAGAACTTGAAGCTCGGAATTTGAAAGTGAGACCTTCCAAGTTTTGTGAAATCTTTCAAGTTGTAGATTGTTTTTACAAATATATTTTTTATATCTAATATATGTATATATGTGTGAGTTTATATGCTTGCATCTTGAATCTAAAAGCTGTTCTTTAATTGCTTATGTGAGTGAGTTACATATTTGCCCAGCAGATGGTGATCAAGTACCAAATGTAAATATTGAAATACAATGTACCTTAGGTTCAAAATAGAAATATTTAAAATAACTTTTTAAATATTATTTAAAATAGCTGTTTATAAATATTATGACTTGATATGGTCAGATTTTAAGTGTGAAAAGACTGAAATAGTTCCACTGGCCTTTTCATGTGATATTTCACCATGTATATTTTAGGAGCATACTAAAATATAGGACTTATAGGAGGAGCTATATCATTTTGGATTTACAGGGCAAATATTATGAAAACAAAAAGCTGTTCTCCGTATTTTAATGAACATACGCTACCAATTCTAGTGAAATTTATGCCTTTTTCTGAATATATTTTTGGTGTCACAATGCTGATAAACAATCTTTAATTTGGAGGATCAAGTTTTCCTGAAGCTCACCCTATTCTAGTACAGTGGGTTAGAGTACAGTTTGCTGTTTTTGGTGCATTGATCCGAAATCACTCTTGAGAAGCACGAACTAGAGGGAACTGTCCAGCCTGCCCAGCTGTCTTAGCTTAGTTTAGAGATCAGTTAGTCAGTGGAATAATGGCAGGAAAAAAACATGCACTATTTCAGGATGTGAGAATATTATTTTGAGATTGTTATGAAATACAACGCAGAGTTTAACGCCTGGATATTTCCATGTTTGTTTTCTACTCTTTTAGTGTAGCATCCTTGGAAATAACCTTAAAGACTTGGCAGATAAATACCAGCATTATGAAGATGCTTCATCTGGACTTCTGTCAGGTCTCCAGGCCTCTGAAGTAGCTGTGAACAAACAACTATCTGAGCCAATTGCTGTGGATCCCAAAAATCTCCAAAGACAACTGGAAGAAACCAAGGTGAAAAGCTTTAAAAAACAGAAGCAGTTCTGTCCTAAAAGGAACTGCTTTTTGTCAGAAAAAAATGGATTATCTAATATAATCCAAGTGGCTGCAGGCCAAATTCTTGTCTTGCAAGTCTACAGGCTACGTTTGTAGTTCTCAATCTGTCTAGAATGTTATCTGAATAGAACTAGAGTGAAAATAAAATGGGAGACCAAAATACCACTAGCAGTGATGAAAGCTAGATGTATTTTGTAACACTTAGCAAACAAGAGGTAAAATCTGGTAAGATTTTGAACTAATAAATGATTTAGCAATTCCAGTTTGCTGTGAGGATAGGGCTTGTGACTGAGTTCCTGATGAACAAAGGCCATTTGTTGTCTCTGACCCTTTTTTTCTATTCACATTTCTGTTTTGCATCATTATCCCCAGTAAGGGATCACACCAGATCAGCAGTGTGCGATCTATTTGCCTCCTCCAGTTATACGCAGTGCTACATCTCCCATTAAGAATGGATATAACGTAATTTGCAATGCACACAAAAACTGTTTTGTTTTGTTTTGTTTTTTTCCCACTGAAAGACTAACTCACAACTTTATGTAAATCCTGGCATAGGCAAGACAGGATGGTGATGGAGCTCATGAAGTTAAAACACTAGTTAGGCACTGTAGGTTTAGAGGAGGCTTTAGGAACCAAAGAATGTGATGGCTTGTATAAAGTTACGTACCGTCTGTCATTTTTAGACTGACTTTTACATTTTCATAAACACATTCAATTATCTGTACCATAATTCAAATGCAAATTCCTTTTTCATTTCTCAGTAAGCAAAGCTATTATTCAGACATTTCATCTCTGTTTTACATGTGTTACATGGAAGGTCTGTGCAGGTCTGGTATGTTTGCTGCTGATAAACAATAGTCAGTGCCTCTTGGAAGGTGGATGCTTTCACCATTTTGTTTAGAAGAGTCTGAAAAGCAGTACATTGACTACACAGAATCTTTCAAACCTTCAAATCTTTCAAACTGGTATTGCCCAACTCTTTGATATATGTGATACATCAGAGGAGACAAATCATAGTGATTATGTAAGACTTCAGAAAACCACAAATGAAAGTGTTAATTTTGGACTTTTAACATTGAAACAGTCGAGGTTCACTTGTGCTACCAAGCGCTAGAAAAGTAGAAATAATGCCAATTACAATTTGAAGCTCCATTTAACTTTTGTCCCTTATGCCAGGAGGAATTATATCCCTTATAATGCCAATTTTCATGCAAGCAATACAAAAGGCATGAGTATTGGGTTTCTTTTGTGAAAAGCCTATGTGGATTACCTGCCACACAAAAGAGCACTCCAGGAATATAAGTAGGGAAGAATGGAGAGGGTACAAAGTGTCAAAAGATTGAAAGCAAGAGAAAAAAAAGGAGACTGAAGAAAGAAAGCCAATTAATGAAAGCAAAACAGAGTATTTCTACAGAAGTCAGGTGTTGCAAATTAAAGCTGTCCCTTCCAGCCAACACATGCAGCAGATAATCCAGCTACACACAGGCCTTGGCAGTATGGTGGAGTCTAATCTTTTTATGGGGATTAGCTGTTCTTCAAAATAATCTTCAGTGACTGTGGTGTAAGCTTGCTTGCTTTCCATCAGCATACAAGGTTTTCTGGTATGTCTTGTTTTTTGTTGGTATTTTATTTATTTATTTATTTATTTATTTACAAGTACATATATTATTCAAGCGTAAGGAAAATTCCTCTTCTTTATCTCAATTTTATTCTATGAGTGGGGTATGTTTTGCTGTGTATATTGATGCTGAATTCACTGATATGACTTCATTGTCCTGGCGTGGCAGATGGGATTGAATTGTATGTTTGTAGTGATAGCATGTGTCAGAAAAAAATGAGAGGTCACTTCCTTTTGAGCTTCTACAATATTCAAGTGATTCAAGACAAAGATTTATCACATACACTAACACAGGGTCCTGAAATAATTCAGAGGCTATTTACACTGAAGTACGTTTATACTCTGAAGAGTAAAAGCCACTTTCAGAAGTTCTTTCAGTTTCTCTGCTGACTGAACCGAGCCTCTAAGTCAGGTATCCTCTAAACTTACGTTAGAGAGAAAATCTAGTTGAAACTGAGTGTTTCTGGCTCCAGGAGGCTTTGAAACTGTGAAGTTGATGACTTTGTTTTATCAGCCTGATCCTTTGTCAGTATAACTGATGTTGGGTGGGTGATTACTACTGCTGACAATGTTTTTCTCCTTGTTCACTGATGCTGAGTTGAAAAATACGTTTATTTTTCTTTTGGATATCATTTGAGTTAGTGCAGTGTTTTCAAGTAATCAAAAGATGCATCTTCAAAATGCAAAATACAAGAAAATCATTTGAGTATTGTGGAACAGAAGATAAAAATGATGGCTAATAAACTAAAACATGGTCCAGAAGACCAAGATTAATATTTTCATTATAGAGAAGTCACACATTATGTTAGTTTATTCCCAGCACACATTTAGACTGTATGGCATATCTCAAGCCTTGCATGTGTAACTTTTAGCTATATTCAACAGTGTAATTAACAATTACGGAATTTTACAGGTTCTTCAAGGACAAGTGTCTAATCACCAAATTGCTGTAGAAAAACTTAAAAAAGCTGCTGAAGTGCTTTTGGATTCAAGGAAAGAGTTGGCATCAGACAAAGAGGAGATTCAGAAAACACTGGGTAAAATGCTTATTTTTCTTAATGCTTATTTATATCACTTATGTCTACATGCAGGTATTAGAAGAAAGAAAATGCAGTTTCCACATCTGTGTCACTGCTCAAGTACATTTTTTGTTGAACTACAAGCTGTTGCAACACCATAACTTCATTGTTGCTCTGTTTCCTCTGCTTTTCACTTAAAATGCATCATTTTGTTTTTTACTTTTTTTTTTTTTTTTTTTTCTTCAGAGAGAAAGATTGTGCTTAATTCCTATGTTTAAGATTACCAAGTCAAGCACTTAGTATTTTGCTGAGGAACATGAGTGCTCCACTGGGTAGGGGTATATTCATGTTCAAGGAAAACATTTCCAAACAATTACTTCAAATTTGCTTAGCCAAACCTCCTTCACATTTCAAGTATCTTTATGTGGTGGGCTGACCTTGGTTAGTTGCATGATGTCCTGCACAGTCACTTAGTCACTCTCCCTCCTCAACAGGATGAGAAGGACTGTGAGGAAAAGCTCATGGGCTGAGATGAAGACAGGGAGATCACTTACTAATTACTGTCACAGGCAAAACAGACAACTTCAATTTATTGCTAACTGGATAATAGATTCAGATGCTGAAAAACAAATTCAAAAAAAGTAAAGCACCTTTCTGCCACCTGCCTTCTTCCTTGGCTCACTTTAACTCCTTCATTCCCAATTCCACTACCCCCTCACCAAGCAGTGAAGGGGAGTAAGAAATGGAGGCTGTGGTCAGCCAGTAACTGTTCCACTCTGCTGGTCTGTTGTCCTCGCAATTTCCTCCTGTTCCAGCCTGGAGCCTCTCTATAGGCCACAGTCCTTCAGGGGAGACCTGCTCCAGTGTGGACAGTCCATAGGTCTCAGTTCCTTCAGGAAACATCTACCTGATCCTCCTTGGGGTCTCCCACAGGCTGCGGTTTGGATGGGCTCCGTGATTGTGGACCGTTTAGGAAAACCTATTTAGCTCCAGCAATAAAGTAGGAGACATAGCTGTAGAGTAACTGTTTTACTTGCTGTTTTATTTCTTGGGAACTGTCAGCTGTCATAAGCTGGAGCTGCATGGTGTCTTGGCTGAACTGTGTGACACGTGGGAACCAGGTTCCAAAAATTTGGGAGCATAGCTGTGAGCTGCTCTTTCATTTTACTTGTGCACTGAGCTTCTTGGCTGTACTTGATTCTGGTCTTTCCTCATGCATTTCTACTGAATACAGCTAGTGGTTTTACTTGCTTCTGATACAGGTAACTTTTGACTCACATTTACCTGTAAGAACTAATAAAATGAGTTAAAAGTTTAGTTTGGCTAACAGAAACATTTGAAATGTATTTTCTCTTTATCAGATGATATAGTGGAGAGATATGACAATTTATCCAAGTCTGTGAATGAAAGGAATGAGAAGCTCCAAATAACATTGACTCGATCCCTAAGTGTGCAGGATGGCTTGGATGAAATGCTGGATTGGATGGAAGGTGTTGAAAAGAGCCTTGAAGAACAAGATCAAGTGCCTTTGAATTCTGCTGCTATTCAAGATATCATTAGTAAAAGCATTGTAAGTAGCATACTTTGAAAGAAATTTTTTGTATTAAGATTTCAAGAAATAATCAAAATATTACATTGTCATCCTTAATGGATTCAAAATACCTAGTGAAAGATACTGTTGCATTAGCTGAAACTATACATAAAAATATTTGTAACTGAAACAGATGTATGCTGTTGGTTCAGCTGAACTAATTTGTTGCTCCATATGGTGAACCAGTTCTACTTTTAAAATTTATCTATAAGCAATACAGAGCAGTTTTTCACTTGTTTCAGATGCTAGAACAAGACATTGCTGGTCGTCAAAGCAGTATAAACACTATGAATGACAAAGTGAAGAAGTTCATGGAAACAGCAGATCCATCCACTGCATCCTCACTGCAAGCCAAAATGAGTGAACTTGCTGGACGTTTTTCTGCAGCAAGTAAGAAGCATAAAGAAAAACTTATGAAAATGGAGGAGTTGAAGACTAAAGTGGAATTATTTGAAGATCTGTCAGAGAAACTCCAGTCATTCCTAGATGAGAAAAACCAGGCTCTCAGTGAGACTGAGGCACCAAGAAAGGATGTTAGTGAAGTGTCTCAGTACATGCAGGTACTGTGCCATTCCATTTGTATAGTGTGTGCATATCTATCTAGTCTTGCTCCTTTAAGTGATAGAACAATAAGTAAGACATGCTTGTTTCATAGCTTCAATTGCTTGGCTAAAGTAACAAATTTAATTCTGGACAACTGATTGCATAATCTAACATGAAGAATATACTTGTGTTTTGCAGGAGGCTAGTATAGAATTAGCAAAACATAAGAAAGACCTGGAAGTTTTGCAGAACCTTCTTGAAGAACTGTCTTTACACGCTCTTCCTGGGGATAAAGCATTGGTACTAGAAAAAGTAAACGCTTTGTCAAAAAAATTCAGAGAGATAGAGGAGACTGTAAAGGAAAAGTAAGTCAAACAATTATTGAAATGTTTCCACCTTTTAGGCTAATAAATGTTGTTACTGATAGTGACCACTATCCTTTTGTGTGCAATTCAAGAGATTTTGGAGGATTTTTCATTAAAAAAAAAAAAAGAGCAATTCAGTATAGAAATACTTCAGTAGCTACTTCATCTGTCTCAGGCTGTCTAAATTACGGAGAAGTAGCTTTTTCCAAATTTCATGAATATGTTGTGAGTCCTGTAAGTACTAAGGAAGCTGTTTTACTTTTCTCCTTCTCTGATAGAATAAAAATTCTTCTTTGTGCAAATTAATTTCATATACTGTTTGGAATCAGGCTGCAAAGAAAAACTGAGGAAATTACTATAGCATCCATTTACCTGTATAGCAAAACTGGATTTTCCACATTCTAATAATATTTGTAAAATTATTGATTTTTTGGTCTAAAAAATTTCAGATTCTGTCAAAACTGTAATCTCTAAACCAGGCTTGCTTCCAAAGCAGTTGAAATCTTCATTCAGATCATTTGGGATGCAAAGTGAAGTATTAAAACTTCATTAAAGTATGACATGAAAATTCCTTTCCTGATCATAGTGACAACGCTAGCTTTAGACATCCTCCCTAGACACCAAGAGGGAAAGAGTGCATGTAGAAGCTATTAAATAGGTCCTGATTTATGAAAATACTTGGAGATCTTTCTTCAAAATCCGAAATGATGCAGTGAAGACATTTCTTAGATGTCTTGTTATTTTACTAAGGTATCAAAATGCTGTGTGCTAGTGATATGAATTGTGTTATGAGTTTCCTTGTGTTACGAGTTTTTACTCACAACTCCCACCAGTATCTTTTTCAATGCTTGTTTTGCTTTTATCAATTACACAGTCATCTGTGTGTTTATTTTGCTACTTGTTCTTGTGAGTCAGTGCCTTGTGTCGGTTTATCTGATCAGGATTGATCTGATGTATGATTGAAGTACGATTTTTTGCTTTCTTTTTGCACGCTACTGGGTATGATTAGTTCACCAGCACTACTGACATATTGCTTTAGGATCAAGTCACGTTCAGGTAGAAGATGAGTAAATTACAAGTGCTGTGACAAGAGGTTGTCTCTCCATGATACCTCTAACTTGTCAATGCTTGTAAATATCTAATGGGTGAATGGGGCCGGGCTCATTTTAATGGTGCCTAATGACATAACAAGGGTCAGTGGGCACAAACTGGAACACAGAAAGTTCCATAAAAACGTAAGGAAAAAAACATAAAAACATGAGGAAAATCTTTACTTTGAGGTTGACAACGCACTGAAACAGGTTGCCCATACAGGTTGTGGAGTCTCCTTCTCTGGAAATATTCAAAACCCATCTGGATGCTTTCTGGTGTAACCTACTGTAAGGAACCTGCTTTAGCAGGGGATTAGACAAAATGATCTCCAGAGGCCCCTTCCAGCCCCTATGATTCTGTAATTCTGTCAAATATCACAAAGATGGATGTGTTCTCTTCTTGCAGAAAACTCACAGATCTGTCTCTGTACTCCTTGCAGCTAGTTTTGAGGTTATCACTAAGTACAGGAATAGCAATATCAGATTTAGCAATATCTGTTGATTTAATTATCGGAAGGAATGCTGTCATTCAGTGCTCAATTTCTTTTGTTGTCTTTAATTGTCTAGAGAAGAGGATGTATCATCTTGTCAGAAAGAAATTGATACTTTTGAGCTACTTGTAGAATCTTTAAAGAAATGGATAAAAGAGACGACAGAACGAATACCTGCTGCACAGCCCTCCCTGAATACGGAAGAGTTAAAGAAGCCTTTGGAAGATACATTGGTATGACACTGTAATATGACAAGAAAAATACAGTCAAAGGAAAGAGGGCATCTGTTAGGAACGAAAGAACAGACAGAAGTTATAAGCAGTCACAGTAATTGGACTTGCAGTCTGCATTTACATTAACATTTCCTTTGCATGTTTGGGTGTACTTGTGGTGGGCTGATCTTAGCTGGCTGCCAAGTCCCCACCCAGAGGCACTCATTCCCTGTCCTCTGCAGGACAGGGGGAGAAAATACAATGGGTCTCAGGTCAGGGTAAGGAAGGGGGATCACTCACCAGTTACTGTCGTTGGCAACAAAATCTGTAATTGTGGAAGATTGATTGCCAGTTTAGAACAGTGTAGGAAGGTGAGATAGAAAAACAAAATTAAAACACTGTCCCTCTGTATAACTCCTTATTTCCTAAGCTCAACTTCATTCTATCACTTCTTGCTTTTCACTCTTCTCTGCCCCAAGTGGTGCAGTGAGAATGGAGAGAGAGGGTTGTTAGTAACTCTTTGTCATTTCTTCTTTCTTACTCTCTTCCTGTACTCCAGAGTAGGGTCCAATTTCCATGAGTTACAGTACTTCCTAGCTCCTGTATAGACTCCCCATGGTCTTTTAGGGACCACGCACCTGTAGTGGCAGAAGGTCCTCCAAGCACCACAGTGTGAATAACATGTTACACCATGGGTTTTAGGCCAGCCGGTCTGGTTCACGCATTTTTTTCTTACTCTGGCCTCTCAAAGCTGCAGCACATTTTGGTTCCCCTGTTCTTAAATATAACAGAAACTGATTAGGCTCAGTCTGGGACATCTTGGAGCTGGCTGTAACAGGCTGTGTACAACATGGGGCAATGCCTGGCCTGTTCTACCAGCGGCTTCCCCTAAATCCCTCATATTACCCAAGGCTTGCCAGATAAACCCAATACAGTGCTACAGGATATTCCCAAGTAACATTTCTTTTCTCAGCACTAAGCACTTTGTCTGAATTCAGTTTTGTAATGAACAACTGATTATTTTTCTTAAACAGAATTTAAAAGATGAGTGGACATTAAAAGCAACTGAGCTGCAGAAAATGAACAGCAGAGGAACACTGTTATGTAATCTGATTAGTGCTGTGACTTCTCCTGCAAAACTGAGAGCAGTTGCAAAATCAGGTATGCACTCATATAATCAGGTAAGCCTAACATTTATGGAGTTTTTTAATCCCTTAAGAAAAAAAAAAAAGAACGACTGCACCCTTTGGCTAAGTTTCTGAATATTATGGCTTAGAAGAAATCAGTTAGCCATGTCTGTTCTGACCACTGTTTGCTGTGATTCTCATTTCAGCTAAATCTAACTGTTGTAATAATTTTGTACACATTCTGATTGCTTTACATTGCCAAAATAGAGTAAAAGCATTTTGATGTACATGACTGACAAGTCTTGATCCTAGGAAATTTTTGATTATGAAAAACTGACTTAATCTGATTGGTGTTTACATATCTCCAAATCTGCAAGTAGGACAAATATAAACCTTACCTTTGTAAACAATAACATACCTGTACGTTTTTGCTCGCAGGGATATGTTTTTCATAGCTAGTCCATGTGACATCAAGCAAGCACACAATTGTTTGCACAATCATAGAGTTTTTGTTAGAAGGGTGGTGCTATCTCAGTATGACAGCATAATTAATGTTAGTTTATAAATTAGTTGAAACAACAGCGTGAAAAGGAATCAATTCCTTATTCCAGAGTGAGGAATTCCTAGACCAAAATGGCTTCCAGTATGGATTTTTTACCAACTCCTATTTACCAATAAACACATTTTTAAAAATAGCAAATCTATTTCCATGAAATTTCTGTACTGTACATTAATCTGTTTTACAAAATCTAGCAAGTCTGCTAATTCAAGCCATAAGCTAAAGCATGTGGAATCTAACCATGTTTTCAGTCACTTCTTTAATTTATTTCCAGACCTTGTCAATTCAAATATATTAGCCTTCATTGGTCATTTGCAAAGGAGACTGGGAGGACAGGGACTGCCAGTTGATACCTATTTAGCAAGAGAGAGCACTTTCTTTTTTGTATTTCTTTGTAGTAGCTACTGCTGGTTTCATCCTTGTTTGAATTTGGAATAAAAATCTTCAAAGAATGTTTTGGAATCATACATAGGATATTTAGGCTTTTTCCTCTGCTCCTCTCTCTCTACCTCTATACATACAGATAGAAAAATAGCATATAGGAGCAGGTATAATCATCCAGATAAAAATGTTTGCCCACCTAGACAAGAGATGTACTGTGTATCTTTAATCACAGTTGTAAATACCAGAGTCCAGCTAGTAGAGCATGAAGATTTACAAGGCTCTAGCTAGGGGCTGTGACTTTTCTTATCTGTTTATTTTCTCTTGCTATCCTCTGGCTGCCACTAATGTGATCCTCACTGTCCAGGCTGTATTGTGGGATGGATCCACAGCCTTCTTCAAGGCAACCATTACTCTTTCCCTGTTAACTGCCCATCTGAGAATACATAGGTGTGGGAGAGCAGGAAGTTGTTCCCTGACTGCTCTTTACGCAGTGACTTTGTCTTCCAGTTCTGTGGTCTGACAGCATTTCTCAAAGGTTACGCAGTCCTGGATCCAGAGACTTTGAAATGCTGTTCAATTAGTGAGAGTGGCAGGACTTCACATTAACAATAAGGTTTCCACATCACCTTCCCTGGAACAGCATGGAACATGTTGAAGCTCATGATGAGATAGGCATTTGTTATGTTGACATCCTGAGTGTTTTGTGCAGTGGTACAGTACTGCTGAAAGTGGGTAAAGGAGTTAAATCAGCTGTGTCTTTGGTTATGGTTTCTGCAGTGACCACTTCAGTCTTCTTTGCTGCTTAGCGTTCAGTGGTTTCCTTACAGTTTCAGTGTGAGACAGTGCCACTCACCAGAGCATGATCATGGTTGGGAAAAAATCTGTAAGTAGTGGGGAACAGATTCCTTTTTGGGAGGAGAAACTGACGTTAGCCATATGGGTATAAGTAGGCCTCACTGCTAGGGTAAAGACCTTTGTCCATGATATTCACAGTATTGTAAGCTGTGACACTGCTCATACATCATATGTATGCATACTTACATGTGCATGCATGTACACACCTGTACACTATGCATGTGCTGTGAATGTATGATACCATTTATGGTGGGCTGAAGCAGGTCAAAACAAAAAAACAGCCTTAAGAAATATAAAGCTAAATAAAATATTTATTGCAAGATTAGCATGCAGGTGTTTCTTCAGATATTACAAGAAGGACTATATATCGTTGTTCTGAAGAGGAAATGTAATGCTGGACTTTTGGTGGGAAAAGGGCCAGATAAGGATATGACTTAGTCCCTCTTGATCAGTAGGTGGCACAGTGTTGAATGGTGAAGGAGGAGCTCCAGGAACTCAGGATTTTCTGAAAAACAAAGGTGAGTAATCACTAAGTAAAAATTCCAGGATGTGACAAAGAAGTGTGTTTGTGAACTACTGTTCAACATGTAAATATTTTGAAAATGGTGCATGCAGAGTGTTGCAGCAGGCTTTACTAGACAAATTTAATATCATCTTTGCATACGGGAATTATATTGACTACTAAGATGGTACTAAAATTAATTTTAAAAAGAGCTGCCTTCAGTATTTCCTTTGAAAAAAGATCACATCTTTGTTTTCTGAATCAATATGAACTTACGTAAGAATGTAGAGTGATAACTATTTTAATATAACATATAGCTTTTGAAAAAATTATTACTCTGTAGTGAGATGAAACTTTTTAACACCAGTTAACATACATGACATGAACACATACATACATGTACGTATACAAATACACTCATTTTTCATATGCTTGTATCACTGTGTGTGCCCAGCTCCTGTTCAGAAACAAAGGAACTTATGTACCATGTCCCACATCTGCAATGTTGGTTTTTCTAAACTACAGTCTGCTTTGTACACAGTCTGTCTCCTAAAGCTATCTCAGTGATAACACACCTTTATAACACTGCTTGCCTATGAGCAGGATACGACTGTAGTGATGTTAGGCTGTCATACTGGTATCTGTAAGGCAGTCCAGTATGTTTAACTTTCTGTTGAAGAATTGAAAATAGTTGCTTGAAATACCAAAATAACAACAGGTAGGAAGAGTGTAAGATACTTGTCTACCCGCCTGTGTTAGAGTAATGACTCCTGTGAAAAGAGAAGCTCTTACAAACAGAAATGTATATTAGGTCATTCAGATGCACTGTTAGAACGTTTAGAGTGAAGAACTAATCCTAACATGTTCAGAAGCTTTTGCCTTGAGGGACTATTAGCTGGTGTAAAGCCGAGTACTGTTTAGAAATTCTTGAATTCTAAGTACTGTTTGAAGTACTCGTGGTCTCTACTATAGTCTTTGTTCATCTCTCCTCTTACAGAACTGACAAGTGTTCAACAAGCCATGTCCGATGTAAATCATAGTTACGAAGATTTGGGAGTTTCTTTGAAGAAGAAGATTTCAGAACTAGAAAGTATGCTTTCAAAAATGCAAAACATTCAAGAAGAATCAACTTCAGTGATGCAGTGGTTACAAAAAATGGACAAAACTGCATCAGATTGGGAAGCTGCTCCAACTGACAGTGAAGCTGTTAAAGCCCAAGTTGAACAACATAAGGTACTTATGTGTCTTTAAAAAATATTCTTTATTGCAATTATTGGGGCAATTCCATTTGAACAGTTCATATCTCAGCATAATTTAATGTTGCGGAGAGCATTTTAATGATCCCAGTAAACATGCCAGTCAAGCTTTGAGAAAATCTGGCAGACTTTGTCAGTGGAGTAAAAGAAATGCTGGGTCAAAGAGAAGGAATTTTGTTCTTAAAAAATAATAATAATTGTGATGTTCAATTTAGATAGGTAAGAGTATATTGATTATGCAATGTACTCTTTTGATATCTGTAGTGATTTAGATATGTTTACTGGATTGTGGATAAGATTACGTGTCTATCTGTCCAAAAGCTGTTTCTGCAGCTGCTGGTTCCCTGACACTCCACAGATCTCCTGGATTCTGCAGCTGCAGAGGCCTAGGTCTGTTCCAAGGCAGCATTTCTCTTCAGCAACCAAGCCATGCATGCTAAATCATACAGCTGCACAAAAATCTCCTCCTCCCCTTTTAACTGATATGAGAAAACCATTAAATCAGCTGGAAGCTTCTGACCAGTTTGAGCATTAGAAATATGTGCTTGTAGCAGTGAAAGACAGTATTTCTGTATGTAAACGTTTGTCTATAAAGTGAAATGTAATAGGTAGCTGTTGAAGGGAAAACTTCTTTCCTTGTCTGTAATTGTGGGTAAATAAGGACAGAATTTGATGAAGCTGAGGTATATTTTTTTATACTTGCTTGTCCACCCTCAAAAATGAACCTGAATTGCTACTGATATTCCTTGAGTTTGATGTTCCTCAAACTTGGCAACATTTCAGCCCTGAAACTCATACTGTAAGTAGAAAAACCGTTGCTCCTTTATTTGTAATGAAGACTATTCAAGGCTAACAAGACCATCTTACTCCACTGTGGTAATAGAAGAGTATTCATAGTCAATTGGAAAACTGAGTGATTCAGCAAGAGACATCCTTTTGATGCAATTGGACCTTTTCCTTAGAGTTCTAAATTAAGCACAGATTTGTTCAGTGTTTTTGAATGGGATTTTTTAGGGATAGCTAAAATGCAACTCCACAGTGCTAGGTCTAGCAGTTCTATGTTCATATAAGTGACCTTCGCCAGGCATTCACTTCCATCTGTAAGAACTGCATGAAGTGTTCTTAAGGAACTGCTGGGACATCTCAGTCCTACTGCTAGGTTTGCTCTTAAACTATGGTGCTCTCTTAATGCTGTTCTAGCAGTAGATCTGTGACAGCAGAACTTTCAGTGAGCTGCTCTGTATGGATGCCTCGTTGGAGTGTTTCTGCTTTGAACTTTACCATGCATTAGTCAGTTGGCATTCTCTGCAAGAGCAGTTTTTAACCATGTATATGATGAGACCTAATGGGTCTTATCTGTTTGAATTCTTCTAATTCTGTCACTCATTCAAACTAAACAGTAATATTATTAACATAATCTATATAGATCAGGTCATTTATTCCGAAGAACATGAAGAGCCAATGTGTGCCATTAGAAAGGATTTCTACACTCATAGCAGAAAAGCAGTATGTAAGCACTAGACATCTGTGGTTTATTTTCATGCTTGGTATCTCAGTATCATGGACTTCAAAAATAACTTTCAGTTCATCTTTAATCTCTTTTTTTTTTTACTGCTTGATTTTGCAGCTATTTGAAACTGAATTAAAGCAAAGTGAGAATAAAGTGCAGGAACTGAAGGACAAAGTGACAGAGCTATTGGAGAAGAACCCCAACTCTCCTGAAGCACCTAAGTGGAGACAAGTGTTGGATAAAATAGGTACTTGAGTAAATTCATAGAACACAGACTCATTTGGAAGTCATTTTCTTACTAGTCTTTTTATGTTGTAGCAATAATTAGTTCTTTTATTATCTTACTCCCTCCTATGCCTTCTATGGAAGTAACTCCCATTTCAAGAGGATAGATTTGGAATAACTCCACTGAAATTGGCCATCTTTGAATTTATATAGGTGAAATATAGCTAAGCAAGGTACACCTCGAATCCATGTCTTATAGGGATTTATCTTTTTCAGGCAGCGTATGGCCCAGTTACAAAGTGTGGTACTAACAAAAGAAGTCACAACAGTTTTCATTTAAAAACACTTCGAGTTGTTGAAAATGTTCTGCATGCTTTTGTTCCCATGCACCTAGTAGCGATTTTTTGGCTTTTTGTTATTTTGGGGTTTTTTTTGCCATTTTCTAAAGCTGACTTCATAAATTTTGCCATTAAAAAAAAAAAAAAAAGGGAAATGATCATGTGTGTACAATAGATTTTGAGATAAATCAGTGTGTAATTGTCATGAGCTTTTGAAAGGAAACTAATGCAGAATGAACAAGGATCACAGACAGTGAAATGGCACAAGAAAATGAAAATAACACACACACAGTTCAGAGACACTGTTAGCAAAACATCAAAGCTGAGTCAGCAAGCACTGGCAATATCATAAAGTGAGGTGAGAAGTTCCAAGGCATGAGACTCAATGGCTGCTCTGGAAGCCACTTGCTACAAGTGGAAGAGCTCACAGTTTGACCTAGGTAAACTTAAGTTCACACTCTGCTCTTGAAATATCTACAAAGAAGTATCCTCATTGCCTGTCATAGATACCTGGTTTGGAAGTCTAAATTAAGCAGTTATTCTCCACAGGCTCCCAGTGCAGCTATTTGAAAGAGATGTGCTCTTTCAGAGGGCAGTTTAGAGCAGAAGCCTAAATTAAGTTTTATGCTCAGCCTTGGAAAGGTATCTTTTTCTTTATATCACTAAAAAGGAAGGATAATCAACCTAGATCAGGTACCTAAGTTGTAGGTGAGAGTACAGCCTTTTGGTTTTTATGTCTTTTCAAATCAAAGGCTAAATTTGGTGGTATTTCATCTAGTAATAACTGTCATCTAATTTTACTGCATGCTCTATATTCATCGTTCTAAAAATGCTGCATGTGGCAGTGTTGAACTGCAGACCTTTATCCAAATGTATATAGTTCTGACTGCTAGAAGATGAATTTGCTGCATCACTGCAATAAGGCATCTGGAGTTAATCAGCAAGAAGCCTTATTAGAGAGCTCTGTTTATGTTTTGTATATAGTCTGCTGTCTGGCAGCCCATCTGCTAAAACATGCATGCAATATGTCAACATTATATTGTTAGACTCCAAGTGGAAAGAGCTCAATCAAGTTACATCTGAGAGACAACAAAAACTGGAAGAGTCTTCAAATTACCTGACCCAGTTCCAGACAGCAGAAGCTCAGTTAAAGCACTGGCTTGTAGAAAAGGAGCTAATGGTCAGTGTGCTGGGACCACTATCAATTGACCCCAATATGCTGAATACACAAAAGCAACAGGTTCAGGTGAGTAAGGATAGCCAACACGCATCGATGATTTCAGTTTATTCTGTGTTTTTGTTTGTTTGTTTGTGGGGTGTGGGTTCTTGTGTTTTGTTTGTTTCTTTTTTTACATTTGCTTATCAGTAAGTATCAGCTTGATTCATACCTGACTACAGTGACTACAAGAAAAAATTGCTGGGAGACTGAAGAAAGATCAGAACAGCTACAGGAAAAAATAGTCAGGACTTACCTTTGAGAAGTTACTGATCCTCAGATGTATTTTCTTTTTTAACCATCCTGTGATTTCTCTGTTGTCTAATGAAAGCATTCCTGGGAAGTTTTATTAATTTGTGTGTGTATGTAATATTTTGTGGTTGGTCCTCAAATGCAGTCTGTGATGTAGAGCTGGCTTTTTGAAATTTTGTTCTCTTGACTGCACCAGTAGCTAATAAAAAAAAAGAGTAAAAAGAAACAACTGAAATGTAGTATTGTGAGTAGATATGGAACCACAAGTGTGAAAAATAGAAGAAAAATATAAAGTAGAGTAGTTCGTTTACAGAAACAGCAAACCACAGAAAAAAATAAACAAACATTGAATTAGTTGCAGCAACTATAAGTTTTAATTTCAAATATTTATATTGCTGCCAGTTGATCTTGAATGTGGTGAGAAATGACATTCTTATTTTTAAAAAAAACATTATTCAAGTTGGTATATCCATATTGATTAAAACAAACTGTTTAAAACATGAAATGTTTTCTAATACTATGTGAAAATGACTTAAAAGTGTTTTGTAAATGCTTCAGAAACTTAGAAAGCTGGCATAAGATTATCATGTATTACTTAACAATCCTCAGAAGTTAAACCTCATTGACTTAAAAGAAAGGGTTTGGAACCCTCTGTAAACTAAGACTGTGATATTTGTCCCTTCTTCTGCACGCACTTCTGACTTGTCAAAAAATAAAATACTAGGAACCAGTGATATCAACTTTAAAGGTCTTACAGTACACAGTCAGTCATTTTGTGAATTATCCAAATATTCTCTGTAGTGTAAGGATCCACTGCAATAGTATGTCACAGTGCACCTTCTTTGAAGTTCTGTCTTCAGACAAATATCAAAACTGTCTAGGAAACGACACTTCTTGAATCTAAACAGTGATTATTTTACTTGGTACAATTACTTAATTATGGTAATATTAACAAAAATCGTTGTTTATGTGTATCTCCTGATTCAATTTCCATTAGATGATGTGCAAATTAACATAGAGTTTTTAGTTCTTTGATGGAAACACTTGGAAACAACATTCAGTAGATGTGTAGAAGATGCAGTTATTTCACTGGCTTTTTTATACTCAGATTAATTCTGTAAGGGAGCTTAGCTACAACAGATTCTACAGAGTTTTTGTCAGAAGCGTTTTGCTTCTTTTTCATGAAATAAGTTCTTCTTAAAATTTTCTTTATTCTCAGATTCTGCTCCAAGAGTTTGACACCAGAAAGCCACAATATGAGCAGCTAACTGTGGCTGGTGAGGGGATTCTGAAGAGACCTGGTGAACATCCCCCCTCACATGAAATTGTAAAAGAGCAGCTGGCAGCTGTGGCACAAAAATGGGACAACCTAACTGGCCAACTGAGTAACAGATGTGACCGAATTGATCAAGCTATAGTGAAAAGCACGGAGTATCAAAGCCTACTCAGAAGTCTGTCTGATAAGCTAAGTGCCTTGGATAGCAAACTGAGCAGCAGCCTGGCTGTGAGTACACAACCTGATGCTGTGAAACAACAACTGGAGATTGCTAAAGAAATGAAGAAGGAAATAGAACAGGAAATGAAGAGTGTAAATGCAGCTCAAGTTCTTTGTGAAGAGCTCTCAACACTGGTTGGAGAAGAGTATTTGAAAGCAGAACTTACAAGGCAGTTAGATGGTATCCTCAAATCATTTAAGGATATTGAGCAAAAATCAGGTTAGTATTTGTTTTAAAAGGAAAATAATTAGGGCATAAAATAAAGCGTCATTTTAACATTTGTCTTTAATGTCAGTAGTAAGATGTTGAGTGAGCTGACTCTAATACTAGCTGTCTATCAGTCCAAAAGTATGTTAGAACTTAGGAGAATGTCTCCATGCTTTGAAAAGGCAGAAATGATATGTCACCATATACAACTGTTTCTGTTGATTTGTTCCTTTGTTGACACAATACTTCAGATCTCTAGCGAGCAGTTATGGCAAGAGTTTAAAATAATGAAAGTGTTGCTCTCCTCATCTTTGCCTTCAGGTACATCCTTACTCAGTTAGGATACTAAAATAGATGCTGTTCACTGAACTACTTACTGCATAGGTGCACAGAATCAGCTAAAATTGTAATTTTTAGGCAAGCACCAGTGAACGGCTTGACAAAAGGTAGTGGTAATTATATAATACTGCCTGTGGCAGAGCTGCATTGGTTGTGTGCAGCATCTTCTATTCTGTGAACAACAGAACTGAGTAAGAAATAGAGTGCAAGCAATATTATATTTTTTTCTCCCAAGCTGCCTTAATTTTAGCTTTTTAATTTCCTCAGGTCACAAGGAACTTCAAAGGATCTCCCTAAAAACAAACAGCACCTTCAGGCCATGAGTTAGGCACTACTAGGCCATACTGCTTGATTTTCTCTGTGTGTTCACTTTATAATATCGTAAAACACAACTGCAGTTGTGTTGCCTGAATAGGACTTGGGTAGACCCCATCTAGCTAAGCTCACCTGACTTGATTCGTGCCCAGATGCCTTTGTTGCTACACTGTAGCACAGATACAAGACTATCCCTTGCAAGAAACTTGATTGCTTTGAAGTTAAACACTAACATGCTGAGAGACTGCCTTCCACTAATGAACATTCATAATAAAATCAGTATTAATTATTATTTCTTTGTTGAATACTAGCTGTTTCTGATAATAAGCCTCTATGCTGTCTTATCTGTAGATAATCATGTTCAGCAGCTTCAGTCAGCATATACCACTTCTCATCAGTTCCAGCAAAGATCTAAGGACTTTCAGGCCTGGCTAGATGGAAAGAAAGAAGAGCTGAAGCAGGCTTGCCCTATATCAGCCAAACTTGAGACCTTGCAGTCCCTAATTGAAGAACAGAAAGATTTTATGAAGACCCTGACCAATGAGATTAGTTCATATGAAAAAATTGTTGCAGAAGGAGAAAGTATATTACAGAAGACTCAAGGAGCTGATAAAGCAGCTTTACAGGCTCAAATTGCCACACTCAGAAGTAATTGGGATGAAATGGATAAGCAGATAAAAGAAAGGCAAGGTAAATTAACAGATTGTCTGGAGAAAGCACTCACATACAAGCAGCACGTAGAAAATTTGCAGCCGTGGATAGAAAAATGCCAAAGCAACCTGTCTGGATTAAAAGTCAGCATAAACCCTGTTGAAATAGAAAATTCTGTTGTTCAGGTGAGGGCCTGGCAGAAGGACCTGGATAAACACCATGGAATAGTGGAGCTACTGAATAATACTGCTGAAATTTTGCTCAGTGCAAGCCAAACAGATAAAGAAATCATTAAAGAAGAAACTAAGGTGCTGAATGAGAAAGTGAGTATGGTCACAGAACAATTACATAAGAAGAGAGAGTGCTTGGAAAATATGGCACAAAGGCTAAAAGAGCTTCAGGAATCATCCAGGGAAACAGAAAAGCAGCTTCAAAGTGCCAAAGAGCACCTGGAAGCTCACGATTCGCTTGGACCTCAGTCTTTCAGTAACAAACACCTGACAATGATGCAGGCGCAGCAGAAGGCTTTACAGGCTTTAAGGCCTCATGTTGATTTAGTAAGAAAGCTTGCCCAAGACCTGGTAGTAGAAGCTTCTGATTCAGCAGGTGTTTCTGACCTTTTGCTTCAAGCTGAATCTTTGGAGAAAGAATACACTGCAGTGAACCAGCAGGTTGAAGATAGGTGCTCCTTCTTGGAAACAAAACTTCAAGGAATTGGTCATTTCCAAAACAGCATCAGAGAGATGTTCTCTCAGTTTGCAGAGTTTGATGATGAACTTGATAGCATGGCTCCGGTCGGAAGAGATCTTGATGTACTGCAATCACAGAGGGAGGATATAAAACACTTCCTGAAAAAGTTGGAAGATCTTATAATGAATAATGAAAATGCTAATAAAAACTGTAAAATGATGCTAGCCACAGAAGCTGAAGCTTCTCCTGATCTTGTTGGTATAAAACGGGACTTGGAAGCATTAAATAAACAGTGCAACAAACTACTAGACAGAGCAAAAGCCAGGGAAGATCAAGTGGAAGGTACAATTAACCGTGTCGAGGAGTTTTACAGTAAGCTAAAAGAATTTTCCAGTCTGCTTGGGAGAGCTGAAGAACATGAGGAATCACAAGGTCCTGTTGGAATGGAAACAGAAACTATTAATCAGCAGCTGAATACATTCAAGGTAGGAACATTTCTTTCTTACTGCTGTCACTCATTTTACCACAACACAACTTTATTCAGTATCAGTGTGTAAATGGTTAAGTGCAGATCCTGGAGATGTCTTGTTTCTGTTCTACCCATATGCCTTTTATCTATTTTGAACAAGGTGCCTTGCAGCGATACTGGGTGTAAATTGTTATTATGCTTTGGTGCTGAAATGAAGCACAGATCTTGGCATATTTTAGGCTACAAAAGTGAATTTCCAGTGCTCACTGGAAAGATTTATAAATTACACAGGAGTAAGCAGTGTTTGAAAAAGATCGTAAATCTCCTAATGGCTGCACAGTAGCTCTCCATATTATGTGCTGCTTTGGATTCATTCCAATCTAATATCAATTCAGATGTTTTTGTGGCTTGGAAATTAGTTTGCAGTTAATCATAAAACAAGCTTCCATAACATGGTTTATCAAATCAGAAAGATCAGAAAGACAACCGTGTAAAAGAAGTAATGACATGCTTGGCCCAACAGAGGGTGCTTTTTGCTTGTTTAGACTAACCCACGTCGGAGTGGAAAACCGAACATTGAAACTTCAGCGTCGTTTCAGCTGAAAGTTACTATCAGTGAGAGTGATCTTTTAGAGTGTATAAATAGAGACAAAAATCTGGAACAAATGGTTACATTACAAGGAGATTCCATTAGATTGTCAGGATTAAAATTGTATGTCAATCTGTCACAACAAGTCTACCTTTATATAAAAGGGAAACAAATGTCTTTGTAAATAACAGAGCACCTTAGAAATGGGAAAACAACACAGCTAGTGCTGTTTCCTATGCATGGTGTCAGTGCTGTCTTTTGTAAGGATGATGAATAAGATGTCCAGCAATTGCAAACATCAGGAATGAGATCCTTGGCTGGTCTATGTGGGAACATAGTGTCTCCATAACCAAAGAGCTTGAAGATAAAAAAGACAAGAAAACCTGCATGCTTATATGCAGATGTGTGCTCTGTGATCGCATTTATTTTAGGTATTTGTAAACTGAGAAATGTGCTTTGCATTAAACAACTGTTTGAGGTCATGGAATTGCTTATGATTGAAAGCACAGTGCCATTAACCAGGAGGTGAAACATGATGAAAAGGTGAAGGGGATATTCAAAGAAGTGAACAGCAACTGCAGTAATAAAAAGCAGAGTGGGGAGCACTGGAAGAACAGAAGTAGGTAAGCAGGGAGAACAGAATAAGAAAATTTGTTATGTAAAGGCAGTAAGGAGGAGGGTAGGGTCCAAAGTTGCTCTCCTAGCACTCTGTGTGAGTTCTGCTGGTGCACATGGTGGCAAAATTACAGTAGGTGTACCTCTTCATACTCCAGCTCCTTCCAGAGAGCAGTTTTACCTGAGGCAGCACACTGTGGGGAGACTGGCTCCCAGCAGTCCTGCTCCACTCATGGTGCTTTGCTCGCAGGTTTGTGCGTGCACACAAACACACACACAACCTGAAAATGTGGCTTTGGCCACAAAACCACAGTCTAACCCCTTATGTCCTTAGCTTCTGCTGTCAAGCGCAATCAACTTCTGTTCCTCAGGAGTAAAGCAAAATGTTCTTTGTAGATAGATTTATTCACTGGTATCTTCATTCTCTTTGGGGAAGAATCTTGTGCTATGGGCCAGAGGTGGTTTTTGTGGTTGGACCAGTTTTTATGTGGAAGAGTAGAGCTTTCTTGGCATGACATGAAAATGCACAGTTATTTAAAAAAAAATAAACAGACTTTGAGTTGTATATTATGTATGTATATAGTTATATGCACGCATACATACTTGTTTTATTTATATTACTTCTTTGTGATGCACTTTTGCCAGTCAGGATAAAGTATTAAATTGAAGGTACTTACTGCCAGTGTTAGAATGTATTTATTTACAATGCAGATATAAAACTTGCTTTCTCTCAAGAAAAATCTCCAGTGGAGTTCATTTGCAAATAGGCTTCATTTGACTGTTACTTCACAAAGTACACCAGGAAGAGTATAATCACATGAAGAATTTGTCTCAATTAATGTAAAACACACAAAATTAATTACAAATTAATTCAGCTTTGTTAGACATTCTCCTCCCCAAAGATTTTATGGAATGCATATATTGGTATGAAGGAAAATTTCAGTAGATGAGATGTATTTGATTACACTGATTCTGTCTCCTTACTTGAAAAGTGAAATACAGATAATTCTACAGAAAAAACACAGCCCTCTGTTTGTGTAGCCACGTAGTGCCAGGATGTTTGCACATGGAGCAGTATTTGCAGCTAGGTTCTCTGGGAAAGAGAAAAACCCCCGAAACTGAATTGCTTTCTTTCTTGTAACCTTTGCTCAATTATTTTTAATACCGTAGAAGTTCTTCTTATCAAAAGCTACATAGAACTGTTAGAGATTTCATCAGTATGTAGTTCATTCGATTTGGGCTTTTATTTTCAAAATATAAGAGGTTGTTAAAAGTTGTTCGTTGTCTTCTAACTAGACTCTATAGGATTTTTTTAGCTAGCCTGAGTATTCCTACCAATTAGCTTGAACTAAGAGTTCAGTTGGTTTATGTTGGTTGTGTAGAGTGTCTGTCCTCCGGTTTTCACTTTGAGTGGAGATAATGTTGAGAAAATAATCAGAGGTTTCTCTATATGCTCAAATAAGAAATGGAAGGTATTGCACTTCCCAAAAACACCCTGATAGGTACCAACTTTCTACAGGTTTTACTACGGTTAGGGATGATGTTAGAAAGCATACTTAAAGAGCTTTTGTGAACTATTGCTTTTGAAAGTGACTGCTGCGTGTGAAAGCCTTCAGAGAATATGTTTAAAAAATGGTAAAATACCTTTTTAAATGTGAATAAAATCATTTTGTAGTGTAACAGATATGGACCTGTTGCAGTCACATGCTGACCCAATAACATGACAGAGCACCCTCTGCATTCAGTGAGGACCTGCTTGTGACTGGTATGGCTGGGAATAAGCACAGATGGCAGGATCTCAAAAATGCTTTACCCCCCTTTGACTGGTGTAGAACATGTTTTTAGCTTGAGAAGCCAGAGCTGAGTTTCTGTTTGGCATAATTTACAATGTTTTGGCTGCTCGAAGGAGCAGGCGGAATACGTGAGAAGGGAGAATTTGCCTCACGTGACTTAAATATTTTAATACGTTAGCTGACTGTATCAAAGCAGCGAGCAAACAAACAGTGTGGTGCTTTCGTATTTCCTGCATGAAGCCTCTCCTGCTCACTGCCGAACTGGGAGAGCTTCAGTTCTCTGTAGTTAATGCCCTGGCTAAGTTACGACACTGAGTGCCATATGCTGTCCTTACACCGGGGGCTGCGTTGTCGCTGTGCTGACAGCTCCGCACACTCAGGCGGCGGAGGTCTCCGTTCATTACGGGTTAATTTATGTCGCTGAACAGATTGCTTCTAGTGTACCGTCAATAAATGATCCTTGGGTCTCAAGCTGAGCACGTTGGCTCCCCAAAACGGAAAACGAGCCGGTTCGAGCGGCGTTGGTTGCGCTTCGCCGGGCCCCTCCGCTGCCCGCGCCCCCGCCCTGCCTTGTCCCGGCCCGGCCGCAGCGCCGAGGCCGCCCTGCGGGGGGCAGCGAGCAGCAGGGGCCGGGCACCTCCTCCCACCGCGGCCGAGCGGTGCGCGGAGGCCGGGCGGGGTGGGTGGCGGTAGCAGATGTTGCCTGAAGAATGAGAAAGGGCGTTCCTTCCAGCTCGGCGCTGGGAGGACGCCCGTCAGCTCGCGGGAAGCCGAGCGAGCTTATCGACTTGGCTGGATGCTACCCGCCGGCGTGCGCGGCCGGATCGCTTTTTCCTCGCCTTCTCGTTCGGCCGGGGAGGAGCGGGGAGCGCCGTGCCAGCCGCCGTTTGCAGCCGGGACCGGCCCAGCCCGCGCCGAGCCGAAGCCGCCGTGCCTTCGTGGGGGACGCCGCGGTTGTGTTTCGCCGCGGCTGCCTTAAACGGGAGTGCGGCTGTCCAGAACGGAGCGAGGAAAGCGCCGGGCCGGCCGCCTGGAACCTGACGCGGGGGAAATAACGGCTGAGTCGGCTGGGATGCTAGGAAACTATGTTTACCTATGGAACTCGTGAAGAGCTTGGGACGAGGAGGGAGTAAGCTGCCGCTCGGGTCGAGGTTGTTGATAGCTACTGCCAAAGAAGCGAAGGGCTGTTTTATTCTTCGTGCTTTGGATTTAACTTGTTTCTCCCCCAAGATTTTCTCAGTGCCTTGGTCTGAGCCGTGCGCAGGCACCGGGGGTCTGCCTTCCCGAGCTCTGGTACGATGCTTTATTTATAAAGGAGATGGAATTCTTGGACCCAGCTAAATGGATTACAGCTAATCAGTCACCTCCAAGAGATAATGTGCTGCCTTCGGTAATGCTCGCTCAATTGGAAGGCTTAATCTGCAGATTTAAGATACGCATTCTGACCTGAAGAAATAAGAGCGGCCTTCCATGGAGGGTTTTAAACATTTAAGCCACTGCTGGTTTTTGCTATACTCGGTTTCCCTGTGATATTGGAAGGTTTCTGTTCCTTTCTCACTCAAGCACTTTATGTTTTCAAGGGAAAAAGAAAAGAAAAAAACGAACTACCAGTAACACATCCAGGTAAAACTGCATTTAAACCAGTGCACTGATGACAACCTTAACCACCTCATAAGTTATCTTGTATGTTTTATATCTATGCATCCTGTGCTGAGGGCAAGTTTACTGTAGTTTTTTAGACAGACAGTGTTTTCTAAATGTTTCCCTCCTTTCTGAAAGCAGAAGGATTGTAGCATCTTGTGTGAACCCTTGCAAAATGGGGAAGCCACTTAGCAGGCCGGACTGTTTACGTCAGAATCCTCCGTGTGTGGGCAAAGGAGAAGAGGATGAAGACCTGAACATTGAGGACTGTTACGTCCCCCAGAGGTCCATCTATGACACCGTGCGGCTCAATGAGCAAATCGATTCAGGATCGAAGGGCAGCCTCTCCTCCAGACACTTCACGGACCGGACCTTACCCTACAGTCACCGAACACTGGATATCGGCACTCTGTGCTCCAATGGTGCCCTGACGTCCTCCAGTGCTTTTGAGCTCCGAAGCCGTGAGGCCAAGAAGTTAGATGAGAAAATGATCTTTGATGCTCTCAAGCTGAACGGCGATGTCATTCGAACGGGGGGATTGCCCAAAACGAAGTCTCACACAGAGAAAAAGGAGCACAGGCGGTCATGGAGAATGTTTGTCCCGCCCAACTTTTCAGATTACACAAATAAAAGTGAGTGCTCATTCAGTGAAACCGGTGACCTGTCAGATACAGCTAAATCAGGCAAATGCAAGTGGGGTACGAATTCTCTGACCTCAGAAGAAGATGATTCTGGTTTGTGCAGCCCTCCAACAGAAAGGGAAGAAAAACAAGATACGCTCTTAGCAGGGGAGCGAATGCAGGCACAGACTTTATCTTCTGCAGAAGACATCCAGGCAGTAGGTCAGCTCAGCCCATTCTTTCCAGCTCTTTGCAGAGAGCAGCAAGCCCCAGTGCTTGCAAGCAGCAGTGTTTTTGTCAGAGAGAGCTGCAGGCTGACTTCATGTGACATTGTGCCCTCTGGAAAAGTTAAACAAAGCAATTCACAGAAATGTGAGAGTGACCAGGAAGAGATGGGTGGAAAATACACTTACTTAGAAAGTTTCAGAAAGGAAACTCTGACACATGGCCATCCTCTTCAAGGTGATGGAGGAAGCATTTCCCTGAGTGAAAATGGAGTGGAAAATGGCTACAACATACGTGGAAAAATTAAAACGCAAGTCACAACAGTGGAGGGGAATGATGTGGATGGTACTCCTCCTCAATTAGATGGTTATTGTATGAACGTTGCTGTAAATAATAGTCACATGGATTTAGCAAAATACGAGATTTTATCTGATCCAGGGGATTTGAGTATAACAGATGCAGGCTCAAATGAAATGACATTTTCTGTTCAGCAGCTTGAATTAGATTGCACTGTAAACTGTCCAAAAGCTATCCCAGAGAGAAGTGAAAGCAATATCTGGACTACAGGCATACAAGAAACCTTAGATACAGTCTGCAATGGCCTATTGTCTAATAAGGTAATTAAAAAAAATCCATTTGTGAAATAGTTGTAATGTAACCTTAAACAAACTTGCTTATAGTCTTCTCCTACACTTGACTCTTGTTGGAAACGCTTTGTGTTTTATTAATTCAGCAGATGTAGTGGTCAGAGACACTCGTGCAGCACACACGAGATGTCCCAAATAGGTGTGGTGGTCAGTTTGGAAAATGAACGAGGGGCAATTTCTGACAGGGGTGATTATTTCCAGCTGTTCAGTGCATGGTTATTTATTGTCCAGATGGTGTCTGTTACTCTTAATTTGGAGAGCCTCACTGTGCACTGATGTTCGTGTTCAGTTGTTCAGTTCTTACACAGATTGTGGTTAAAGGCAATGCCATTCAAGGGCAGCTACAGCCCATTTATTCAGGGCTGAACTGCCTTACTCATAAAGGTATAAGCAACAGTATCAGATTGTTGTGGTTTCCAAGGCACGTAGATTAAAGGCTCACTGCATGTTCTGAAAGCCTTCCTTTGCATTTGCGTGCCTGAAAGTAGATCTGACGGCATGGCTGTGTTTTAGAGGCACTGGGTCTTACAGTGCTCTCAGAGTGGTGGGTAAGGTAGGAGCTTTGTAATAAGGAAAGGGTGTTTATCACGTCTGTAATTTCTTTCTTCCCTCTCTGGTTGAAATCTGAGATACTTCAAGCTTTGTTGCTAAGTTGTTTGGGTAAACTTTGGCCTCAGCAGTAATTGTAATTTATTTTAAGCTTCTCTTTGCAAAGAACTCTTGTCTTTTTAAGGGGCAGGTTATGGAGATCAGTCCTTTGTGGCAGGACATGGCTTTCAAAAGATGAGGCTTTATGGGACATAAAAGAATTTGTTGTTGGTTCAGTATAAAAAGATTATTTTGCCTTCTCTCTAAAGTAAAGAAAAATAGGAACGTTTTCCCTTTTCTGGGAGCAGCCAGCTGGTTGCATGCTGTAAGTTTTCATGTAACCACAGTCCTAGAGTTTTCAGGGCTTTTTCTTTTTTGTCCATAATAACAAAATTCTTATGGATGCTTAGTTGATTTTACACCCCCTTTCTTCTCCCCCCTTGCTTGGTGTAGCTTTGCCCTAGCTTCTAGATTGACTTGTCAAGCTCCTGGAAGCGTGCTTAGCCACCTGAGGGCTGCTGCTTGCAAAGAAATCACTTGCCATACTGTGTTCCGTGCAAAAGAGGAGTCATTGGTATGTTTGAAGTGATTCCTTTTCAGAATGCTGAGAAAGGTTGCTTTGAATGCGCTAAATGTACACCAAAACTGTTACTGAATGCTGCTATAGAAATAGAAGGATTTAGGGTCAAAAGTTGAGCATTCTTTAGCATTGTTTATTCATTGGTTATTTTTCACTGGCCTGTGTAATTAATTCAGGGGCTTTGGGCCATTTTCTGATCTCATTGACACTGGTTTCGTTTCAGCCTCATTCAGTTGAATACAAGTGGTGATTTACATTGCTGTTGCTAATGGTAATAATCTGGCTCTGAAAAGCCTCAAGTACCTGAAAAAGTAAAATAAAGCAAACAGAAAACTGTTCAAATTGTTGTTTGGGCACTGTCAAAGCCCTGGTGATTTGCAAGAATGTTTCTGAATTAAAACCATTCTCATGGGTGTCCTCTGTGACGATTTTTCAGGAACATCTGTACTGCTTCCTCATTTTATTATGCTTATATTCTCATAAAACCTCCCTTAAAATCATTCTTTCTTCTCTGTTTCTTTAACTTGAAAGTTTTACTTTTGTCCTAACTTGGCAAAAAATGCCCAGTTGTCTGTCTTGGTGTTTGCTTGTTTATGTAAGGATAACTTACAGTCCTTCTGTGCTTTTTTTTTTTTTTTTTTTTTGTATAGTTTATAGACAGATAATTGAACAGATAGATGCATTCCTCTGGTCTTCATATTTTTCCTTGTTGTGAAGATCTTCTCCCTCCCTTTCTTTCTCCCCTTTCTTCCTGTTTAGAGCTACTGATGGAAATGTATGTCATCCTACCTTAGTGGTGTACTGCATTTATTTTGTTTAGATGAGGTCTTTCATGTCGTTTGTTTGTTTGTTTGTTTGTTTTAAGGAAGGTTCTGGTAAGGAATGGTTTTCCTTTCTTTATCAGTCAGGAAATTCAGCACATACATATATACATATGTATTATTTTTACATAGTGTGATGCACAAGGTGAATTCTATTTTTCATGCGTGTCCTGGTTTTCCAACTGCAGGTATTCCAGAAAGAAGAAATTGAGCCCCTGCAGGTTAAACAACAGGAGGTGAACTGGTTGGGTCAAGGCCTTATTCAAAGTGCTGCTAAAAGCACCAACACAGAAAGCCTTGAACATGACCTTGAAGATGTTAACACCCGGTGGAAAACTCTTAATAAGAAGGTTATTATTTTGTATGCTCTTCTGCTTTTGTCATGTCCTATGTTTTCCTTACTTATTTACTTCTTTCAAAACACAGGAAATTAAATATTCAGTTATGTTATTTTATACAATAACTTCAGTAGTAATTCCAAGGATAAGATTTGTATCGCTAGTTGCCGGAGATACTAGCTGTCATTATAAAGTTCTGTCAAACTTTCTGTAGGTCTCTCATGGCTTTTCATTGAGGAAAGACTCCTCCAGGGCTCTGCATTCCTTTCTGCTTCAGCAGAACAGAGAAGTTTGATAACTCAGTGAAAGAGGCAAGAGTTATGACACATGGGAAAGGTAGCAATGTCATTTGTAGTCACCTGCTTTGGAGCACTCCCTTTTTGGTATTTTTTCACATTTCTTCACTGTTATATTTGTGTACACTGGCTATACATGCTCAGTGCAGGACACAGTGATTCAACCCAGCTTAGTGTGGCTAGTGGCACATTTCCTTTATAGTAAGTACCTTAAGTGTTGCCTGAAAGTTTGGAAGGTGCTACTGCTTTGGAAAACTCTGCTGTAGATTTTTTTTTTTTTCCTATGCTTTAAAGGCTTATCTTCCTGAAGTAGTTGCTGTTGAAAATGGCAGGGATGGGAAGTCCAAATAGCATTCAGTTTCTGCTGCTCTCTGTGTTCCCAAAAGAGTGATGCAGCAGAGCCACTGACACTTGTAATTCACCTATTTGTCCTATCCTTTCCTATGTCTTTTTTCCTTTGAAGGCGTTATTGCCCCTCAATTGCTTCTCAGGATTCCTGGCTCAGTCTTCTTGTAAGGAAAACGAAGAGCATAAGAAATACAAACATCCTGTCAGTGTAATTCATGTTACTGTAGCTAAATGAAACAGGAGTGTCTCTTGTAATGGACTACTAGAGCAGATTCGTTTACTCAGTCAACCTCTTTTTGGTGGATGACTGCAGAGATTAATGGTAAATTGTGCAATAGTGCTGTTACAAAAACCTATGAAAGTGAGTGTACATGGTAATGATATTGCCAAGTGTTAAGCAAAGGAAAAAAAATGTACAGTCAGATGCTCTACTTTCTTTCAGGTGGCCCAACGTGCAGCACAACTGCAGGAAGCCCTCCTTCACTGCGGGAGATTTCAGGATGCCCTTGAATCTCTGCTTAGTTGGCTCATTGATACAGAAGAACTTGTGGCTAATCAAAAGCCGCCATCTGCTGAATTCAAAGTTGTGAAGGCCCAAATACAAGAGCAGAAAGTAAGTAAAATATGTCCAGTCTCTTCCTTCTCACTGGAGAAATGAGAAGAAATCCTCCTGTCTGTCAAAGCAGAGATCTCTTCAAGTATACTGAGGTATATTTGACAGCCACCCATTTGGTACTCCAGAGTCTATCCAGCTGGGAGAAGTGCCCACCTTCTAGGAGCACAGGACAGAGTGAGACACTGCAATCTGAGCTCTAATTAGAATTATTAACATTCTCTTGGAAATAAATGTTAATGTCCATTGGAAAAGAAAATGATTTTACTAAACTAGATCAATGATTTCACTGTATCTCAAAGAAATAATGAGTAGGTTATATCACTGATTTTTGTATCTGTTTACACAATTGCCTTTGTGTTGCCAAATCTAGAAGGACATGTGTCTTTCTCATGAATGCTCCTACAAAATACATCAAATACTTTAAATTGCATGTTTTCTTAAGTGGTATTAGGCATAACTTGTTACCCTGTATATTTGCTCTTTGGGTTTGCCTCATGTTTTCACCCCAAGGAAACCTAAGAGGTCTTTTGGACTTGGGGAAGCTCTGCTGCTATTGAGAAATTAAAATGAGCATGTATGTGGAGCCAGGGAGGAGGAGTGCCTATATTTGATTAGCATTAGCATTAGTCACAACATCGCAATATAAGCATTGCTTTTTTTTTTTCTCTTTAAGAGTTTTTCAAGAAGTCTAGCTCCATCTGTTTTTACACTTGTAATGTTACAGTGTTCCTTAATAACTCCATATCTCATTGCTTTCTCTAGCTTCTCCAGAGGCTGTTGGATGACCGCAAGCCTACTGTTGAGGTAATCAAGCGTGAAGGGGAGAAAATTGCAGAGTCAGCAGAACCTGCTGATAAAGTGAAAATCTTGAAGCAGTTGAGTTTGCTGGATAGTCGATGGGATGCATTGCTCAGTAAAGCTGAAACAAGGTATTTCAAATTCTTTCATAGCTTTGAATAATACAGATATAGCATGTGATGGATGGTCAAAAGCAGTATGTGGAACTCCCTAACGTAAATATTTTAAGTAATATTATCCTTGTTAGTACATTACATTGCTGTATCTTGAAGTTGATGTAATAGGTCCTCTGAAGAAAAAAGTGGGAAGTAGGGACTTGAAAAGAGCGAAAGCTTGTAACAGAATCATAGCCTGGGATATAACAATTGGCTAGAATTAACTGCATATGTGTATTTTGTATTATACAGTTTATCTTTGTTGGTTCACTAGTTTCTTGATTTAAAAACCACATCTCCTGTTTTGCATAGAATCAAGTGTGGATTTGAGACTTAAATAATAACAGTGTTTCATTGGAACTTCAGAATCCTGACATGCTGCTACAAAGAGGTGGCATTTCTCCTTTTGCTGTTCAGTGTTATCCATATAATTAGTTTCTACAGGGTAGTAACCCTGGTGCTGCCAGTTGTTGATGTTCTTACTCAAGTTGCTAAGCTGCATTAATTCCGGAGAAAAAAGGACCACTGAAGTATGTACCTGTATTCTAGCAGTGCAGAAAACAGTCTGCTAGAGATTGCAGTCCAGTTCAAGTTCCAATTCAACAAGACACAATATCTACATATACACACACTTAGATATTTTTGAGTTGTCTGTGTATAAAATATATGGCAAGTCATGAACTGTAAAGCATCTGAAGACATCAGTGTTTAAAGGACTTTGCTGAATGTATTTTCTGGGTAGGGATTTTAAGAAGGACAGCCTCGTAGTAGGGAGAGAAGAGTATGCATAAGTGACCTGAAAAAAGATATGTAATTGAGAATGAGAAAGGATTTGGAAAGTTTAAGAAAATTGTTTTAAGTGAGCAGTAAAACTTTACAGTGAAGAGCAAATGGATGGATTGGGATTTGAGCAATTAGAGTAATATTAAATTCAGCTGTGTTGTCTTCTAGTTCTTCTGCTAGCCTCTATAGTTCCTTTACTCTGAATCTCTTGTTATTTCATACTGAAGATACAATTATTCAATTATTCAATTGGTAGAGTAAACCACTAATAGATAATTATTTCCTTTTTTTTCCTTTTTTTTTTTCTTTTTTTTTTTTTTAATTTATTGGAGGAATCTGAGTCATTGGTGGAATAAATGTTAATGTCATGTTTAATTTAATATTCTTTTCCCAATCTGGTGATACTTAATTAAAAATCAAATTGCAGCTTTTCCCAAGCTATCTATTAGTTGCAGGCTTGTCTCCATTTTCCTTTGCCAGTCTCTGGAAATGAGAAGATCTGAAGATCAGACCACAATTCTGAAAACTAAGTAGAGTATTTCTGTGAGCATTATATAGCTGACTGTGACAGGTCTGTAGGGTCTCCCTTGTTTGTAAGCCTAGGGAAGCATGTATAAGCATAGCTTTTACCTGTAATAAGATCCCCTGCTGAAAGACAATACTGTGATGTTTTTTATGTGCGGAAAAATATCTCTTAAAAGTCTTCTTGAGGGAAATTGTCTCAGCAGTGGCTGTAGAGAAGGCTTCCTGTAATCAGGAACTTTCTCTGAAATGTAATAATCTGAAACGGAAAGGTTTTAGATACTTCTTTTTTTTATTTTGGAGGTCAAGTCTTAGTGCTTTATTACCACTGTCTCATTAGTTTCAAATTAGAGTGAAGTAAAGCCACGTAGTTCTGTTCACATCATTGAACAAATGTTAGCAGATAATGTACAGTGCTGAGGAAGTGTGATCATATGTTCTGGTTCAGTAGAGTCTTTGCCTAACTATAAAAGGTGTAATCACAGAATCACAGAATTGCAGGGGTTGGAAGGGACCTCAAGAGATCATCCAGTCCAACACCGCTGCTAAAGCAGATGCCCTACAGTAGGCTCTTTCTCTTGGGATGTTTATAGGAACCGTCAGTTGGAAGGCATCTCAGTGGTAGCACAGCAGTTTCATGAAGCTCTGGAGCCATTGGTGGAGTGGCTGTCGGCCACAGAGAAGAGACTTGCAAATGCTGAACCCATTGGAACACAGGCTTCCAAACTGCAACAGCAGATTTCTCAGCATAAAGTAAGATATGAGCAACACATTTGCTCATGCCATTCTATTTAAACTCATCTGTGAAGTAAGCATAATTGGGAAAGCTCTTGTGGTGTACTTGTGTTTTACTACACTTTTTTTTTCCTGTGATTTGAGTTTTATTCATTTGTGTTGGCAGTACGTTCTTTTTAATTCAGTTTTTATTTAGTTCCACTTATATTTCTTTTATGTTTTTCTGATTTTCTTTTCCATTGTTTTTCATTATTTAAAAAAATATATAGGCCCTAGAAGATGATGTCCTAGCTCACAATAAGAGTTTGCTTCAGGCCATTAGCACTGGTCAGTCTCTAAAGACTATGAGCTCCAGGGAAGATAAAGATATGGTGCAGGAAAAGCTAGATTCTTCTCAGGCCCGATACATTGAGATTCAAGAGAAGAGCAACAGCAGGTCTGAACTTCTACAGCAAGCATACTGCAATGCTCAGATTTTTGGGGAGGACGAAGTTGAGTTGATGAACTGGCTGAATGAAGTCCATGATAAACTGAGCAAGTTGTCAGTCCAAGATTGCAACACAGAATTGCTTGAGAAACAGCACTCTGAACTACTGGTATTTTGATTTCTGTTCATTTATTATTTATTTTTATATGATTTATAATCCATATTTCATTTATTTTTCATTAATCTATTTTGTTTTAAATGGAAATATGCTTAATCCAAATAAAAATAGTGTTGTTTATTATGTTTGTGCTTACATAAGTGGCATTTTCTCTTAGGAGCTTCAGGAGGAGATTCTTCTCAGAAAACAAAATGTTGATTTGGCTATACAAAATGGTTTAGAGCTTCTCAAACAAACAACAGGTGAGAGCTTTTAGAAAAGTACAATTTGCCAGGCTTTTTTTTTTTTTTTTTTTTTTTTCTTGTAATGATAAGTGCTTATGAGAAGTTTTAAGTAAAATATGTAGATACTAGTAACAACCAATATGCTTGTTTGTTAAAGCACTTGTAGTTATCTATTTTAACAAAGGTATGAGATCAGAGTGGGTTATGTTTTGGAGCCAAATGTATTGTTAATGTTAGTGAGCAAAAGTTAGTTTATGCTTGTAGGGAATTTGGCCCTTGTTTTACTATTATTCTTAATGGAAAATTTAGTGAACCTGCATTCCATTCCTAATTTCAAGTTATGGACATTATTCTGGTTGGAGGGCTGTTTGGCTGTGGACACAGTCAGTTCCCTGGAGACATTCACAGAAGAACGAGATATTAGACTACCTTTTACTGCAAGAGGAAAGCTTTGTCCATTGGAGCCAATACTGTGGGAAAAGTTGCATTCCAGTTGTACGCCATCTGTCTGCTCTGTAGATCAACACCTGTCCAGATTTTCCAGCACCTCTAAAGTTCTTGAGCTCCTTAAGACATACATGTGGTTGAAGACAGGGAATCTTTCTCTGTTCCAAATTTAAACATTATGCATAATCTATAATGAAATCTGAATATAAATTTCAGGAGGTTGCTTTTATTTTAGCCTTTTGTTTTTAATGGATTGTAAAGAGAGTGTTCAGTTCAAGGAGTAGTGTAAAATATCAGTGTAATGGAAAATCTAGTTAGTATTCTTGACTTTTTTTCTTATTTCAGTAACTTCTGTTATTTTTTTATAACCTTTTAAGAACTATTGTGAATTTAAGGATGGATTTTTTTTAAAGAACATTTGCATTAAATGTTGAGTCAAAGTCTTCACTTTCTGATAGTTTAGTAAAACAATAAAAAAGGCAGAAGATAGATCGTAAACTGAGGTAAACTTCATAGCTTTGTAGACTTGGTGAGGGTAGAATAATTTACAGGAGGTAAGGATTTGCTCCGTCTCCTGTTTGGATCATTTTCTAAATTAAATACTGAGATTGCTGTGTTAGGTAGGGGCCAATGCTTAGGATTTTTTTTTTATTTTTAGGGAATTATGTTCACAAGAAATAATGTTCTTCTGGTATTTTAGGTGATGAAGTTATAATAATTCAAGATAAACTGGAAGGCATTAAAGTGAGATACAAAGACATTACAAAATTGAGTTCTGATGTGTCCAAGACCTTAGAGCAGGCCCTACAGCTTGCAGGTCAGCTGCACTCAACCCATGAAGAGCTCTGCAAATGGCTTGACAAAGTGGAAGTGGAGTTACTGTCGTATGAAACTCAAATACCACAGGGTGAAGAATTAAGCCAAGCACAAGAAAGACAAAAAGTAGGTTTTAGAGTCTGTGAATTATTGCTGTATGGTTTTTTGTGTTAACTTTTGGTTTGGCAGAAAACTGTTTTGTGAATAACTAATTTGGCATTAGATCAGCTGTAATTGTAGCAGTAGTTAAGAATCACGCTTACTTTCCAGAGTCATTTGTTATAATCCCATACAAAATTGGGTTTTGATTTATTTTTAGCTCAGCAGCACAATGTTTCTTTTTTGTTCAAGCAGCTACCTTACCCTGGGAAAACTCTAGACTTGTCAAACAAAGTTATTTTGGTTCTTTGGTTATGACATGGATATCATCCTGTAAAATATGAAAAAGACAGCATTTAAAATGCATTACTGATCTTGTTTAACAAAAAACACTTATTTAAAAAAAATAATATTGCAAGTTGGATGGTGAGGGCAGTGTTTTGAGTGGGAAAAAAATGAAAATATGTATTTCCTTCAAGTTATGTATGCACTATATTAATACACATTAACATTTAATATTTTAAGATGTTAATAAATTGAATTATTTGTTTGTAGATGTAGAAATGGATACAGAATCATCAGTGGGGCTTCCTGTACAGAAAAAGCTTGAAGGATTGTGTGATAATTTGACAGGAATATAACCCAATCATTTCTCATTTCAGAAATTGTTTGAATTCATATTTTGCTTCATTTCATGCTTTAGTGTTGATTTAGTTCCTTATGGTGTGACGGGTTGCAACTAGTATGTGTTAGTTTTATTTTATTTGTTCACTTCCTTAAGCACTCACAACTCATAAAATTTCAGAGAATTTCAAACTATCATATCAACTGGAGAAATGTTTTTAGTTACGTACTCTGCAGTAAGCTTAGACCCACCAACTTTTTTGTCAAGCAACTGACAAGTATCAAAAAGCTAGTACAACTGAGCTGAAAATAATTGTGCTCATTTATCCCTTTGGTGTGCCTGGAAAACATTTCAGATCTCTAGTCAGTAGTTTAGAGAATAAAAAAACATATGTAAACTGTGTGTGCGTGTTCAACTCATGCTGGCGCATTTACTTTAAATTACCTTTTTCAGGAGTTGAAAAAAGAAGCAAAAAACAACAAAGCCTTACTGGACACTCTCAATGAAGTCGGCAGTGCCTTCCTGGAACTGGTGCCATGGAGGGCTAGAGAGGGGCTTGACAAGATGATAACAGAGGACAACGAACGTTACAGATTAGTGAGTGACACAATCTCTCAGAAGGTGGATGAGATTGATGCCGCCATCCTGAGATCCCAGCAGGTACTGATAACCTGTTTTAGGGCTATAATAAGTGGCCTCTGGCAATGTGTACTTGAATAGAAGATATCCTTTAATAGCGTTACCAAACATTTCTTGTGCTCAGGCAGCAAAAGACCTGTTTGAATGGAATGTGACTCCACTGTAAAGATACGCATGCCAGAAGGTATGCTGTTGTAACCATATGACTTTCTGTTGATAAAAGCTTCAGTCTTGTAGCTAACATTACTATAACTGTCCCGTGGACTTTTCTTGAGTAACAACTGCATTGCCCTTACCTTTCACAGATCATGTTGAGTAAAATATGGCCCAGCTCCCCAGCCAGTTTTCCTGGATGCAGCACTGAAATCAATAATATTGCCACGCCTTCCAGCGTCAGTTGATTGTCTAGCTTCTCTGTATTTTTGACAGTTGAAAGCTGGATTATATTATCTAAAGTGTACTGCAAAGTTTAAATAACAGTTGCTTTTATGCATAGCTACAATGCTTTTCTTCTTGGGATACAAAACCTGAATTACTAAATGTGTGAAGCTTTCAAAACACACACAGATGCATGTATATGGGTACACTTGGAGAACTGACACTCCAATTATATTACTAAATGGACCCACTTTAAGGTCTATGTTTGTAAAAGCAAAATGGAACACAATTTTTCCACTGTCTGCCTACAATTCAGGCATAAAAATATTGGTGGAGATTTTTCTTTCTGCTAATAGTTCCCGTAAATAGTTATAATGGGACAAGGAGAAACCGTATGTGACGATTTCAAAGTTTGTTGGAAGCCAACTGAAAGAGGCTGGCAGTAACTCAGATCTCCTTATTAGTGAGGTTAAAAATAACTTCATGTTTAACTTTTTAAGGGGTTTGGTATGAGTATTATTTTGTCTCCTTGAAACAAATCCTCAGCAACAAAGGGTGATTTTCTATGAGTGAAAAGAGGAAAAAGGAAGGCAGGCAAGAATGCCAGGGGGTCCTCCATGGAGCTCCTGGACTTTAAGTACAAAAAGAAAGTCTATAAGGAGTGGAAGGAGAAACTGGTTACCTGGGAAGACTGCAAAGTTGTCCGAGCAGCCAGGGATCAGGCTAGGAAACCTAAAACCTAGATATAATTAAATCTAGCTAGGGACATAAAGGGGAACAAGAAGAAATTCTACAGGTATATCAGAGATACGATAAAAGGAAGGCTGGGAAAGATGTGGGCCCTCTCCTGCAGGAAACTGAAGACCTGGTCATGAGGGATACAGAGTAAGCTGAGGTGCTCAGTGACTTCTTTGCCTTAGTCTTCACCAGCAAGGGCTCTAGCCACACCTCACAAGCTGCAGAAAACAAAGGTAAGAATTTGGAGAAAGACATCTGCCTGCTGCTAGAGAACATCAGGCTTGAGAGCATCTAAAGAACCTGAAGGTGCACAAGTCCATGGGACTTGATGAGATCTATCCATGGGTTCTAAGAGAACTGGCAGATGAAGTTGCCAAGCTGCTTTGCAAGAGCTGGCAGTCTGGTGAAGTTCCCACTGGAAAAGGGAAAACACAACTCCCATTTTCAAGGTTAGGAAGAAGAGAAGATCAGGGAACTATAGGCCAATCAGATCTAGCACAATCATGGAGCAGATCCTCCTGAAGACCCTAAGAAGGTACATGGAAAATAAAGACAAGGTGATTGGTGGTAACCAACATGGCTTCACCAAGGGCAAGTTTATGCCTGACAAACTTGACCTTTTATGATGGAGGTATAGTGCCACTGGATAAAGGAAGATCAACTGATTTCATCTTGCTGGACTTGTGCAAAGTATTTGACACTGTCCCGCATGACATCCTAATCACTAAATTGGACAAAAAGAGTATTTGATGGATGAACAACTTGCTGGATAAATAATGAGCTGGATGGTCACACTCAGAGAGTCGTGGTCAACGGCTCAATGTCCAAATGGAAACCAGTGACGTGTAGTGTTCCTCAGGGATTGGTGTTGGGACTGGTGTTATTAAACATCTTTCTAGGCCTAGATTCATAGAATTCTAATAGATTCTATGAAACAGGAGAATGTTTGCTCTCCTTCAAGTCTCTGAATTATGTTTCATCACCTAACACCAATTCAGCACATCTAAGTCCAGGCCAGAAGAGTCCAGAGATGCTGCTCCACTACCTAGCCTTGAAAGGACATATTGCACTAGAGTCCTGAATACCCCTAACCTTCACTTGAGCCCACCACAGTATGCTCCTATACACTATATCCTATGATTAAGGGGCTTAAGATGCTTCAGTATAAGGATAAGCTGCTTTCCATTCAGCTCAAAGATAGACTATGCATAATGAAAAAATATTTTTGGAGGAGCTAATGCTTTGTGAGCTTACCCTGAAGCAACTTGTTCAAGTGACTGTTCTATTAAAAAGTTTTGATTGAAGGGCACATCCACCAAGAATGCGAGAGTTCAGTGGAAGTAGCATGGTTTTTGTGATAGACATTAATGGGCCAAGGAGACAAATGCATTAAGCTGTGTGAACTGTTCAGTACATGGTTTCATGCTGTTAATGAGGTTGAATGCTTAATATAATGTGAATACCCCTAAATGGATAGAAATATGCAAGAGAGAAATTTCTACTGCATGTTCTCATTTGTTGATACTGAAGGTATTGGTCAGTATCTTTCTCTAGTGCAAAAAGTGCAATATAGAAGGTCATATTTTGTAGTTGCTTTTCTTGTTCTTTGCACTAAAGCAGTCACAGAGAGTGCTTTATAAAGCATTCATAGAGAAAATCACAGTGTCATCATATTCACAAGCCATCCTTCCTAGTTAGAAGTACTTCAACGAAACATGGTTGGTTAAACCAGGTAGGAATAAAACAGACTTTTTTTATAGTGACTCAAGCAATGTTCAAGGCTGAAAAATAATTCTGCTATGCATTATTGAGAAAAATATCTTTGAATTTTGGATGCAAAGGGAGCTGGTTTTGTATTTCATATTCCTCAATGTTATACGCACACATCATAAGTTACAAATCCTACAACCTTAGTAAATGAGGCTTAGAGTTCTAATGTAGCTCAGCACTGTGGAACCTAGACTTTTCCAGTGCCGTGCCTTGATTTTATTATTTCCACTAAATGTTTGCTCAATATTAGTGACATACCCATGGATATTTGGTATTAGGAAGTCACAGACTGGTTGTACCTCTGACATATTTGACATCATGTTCATTTCCTTAAGTTGGGTTATAAGTAGATGGGCTTCCAAAGAACTGGGATTAAATACTGTTGGAGCATTTACTTCATGCTAATTTTTACAGTACTGATTGTTTCAGAAAATACCTTTCTGTTAGGAAGTTACACAATTTAGGACACATACTACTTTCTGTTACTTTGTATGAGAAATGACATATGGTGAAAAAGAATGTTTCAGCTCTTTCATGTAACAAATGGATTAAACAAGGCTGAAAAAGATTGACTCAATAAGAATGAAATCTCAGAACTGCTTCCTTTGTTTTCATGGGACTCATAATTAACCACTAAAACAAGAGTTATTTAGTGGCCAAAGCAAACTCCAGCTATGTTCCAGGAGCAGCATAGTCCTACAACCACAAATGCACTGGCCATCAGATTTAAAAGACGACTTCTGAAGGAAGTGTGGTAGTCACAGAATCACAGAATGGCCAGGGTTGGAAGGGAACTCAAGGATCATGAATCTCCAACCCCCCTGCCACATGCAGGGCCACCAGCCCCCCATTTAATACCAGACCAGGCTGCCCAGGGCCCCATCCAACCTGGCCTTGAACACATCCTAGGACAGGGCATCCACAACCTCTCTGGGCACCTGTTCCAGCACCTCACCACTCGCTCTGTAAAGAACTTAAATAACAGGTTCTGACCTAAAATGCCCTGATAGACCTTCAGAATAACTCAGAGCTATACTAATCTTCAAATAATTGCAGTGGGATCAAACCTTTAGAAAAAAAATAGTTTTAGTGCTTATTGCTTTGTGCCTCTGATGGTACTGCAAATTATTTCTCTATGGCTTAAGCTCAGTGTTACAGTATGGATGCACTAAGGTGCACATTTGCAAACTTGACCAGAAGTGATAGATAATACATCATTTTTTAAAAAACTATTCTTTTCATCAGAATTCGACCCCAAGGTAATTCTTTTCAGGTTCTCTTGTTTTTTTTTTGTTTTTTTTTTTATAGTAACAAACAGATCATCTAAATAATTAATTACTTTAGTGCTTTAAGGTAATTCTTGAAACACTGAAGTGTCAACTAACGGTAGTCTGAAGTTAAACTTTACTGAAAGGACTGGCTGCCCAAATGCCTCATTTTGACATTTATATTTTGGTATTTTGATATTTAATCCATGTTCTGGTTTTGGATGAAATGCTGTCTTCTCTGAATTCCGTATTTTGTTGGGCTTTTTTTCCACTGACTTACTTGAATTGTAATTGCTTCACCTTTATAATTTATTACCAAAGCATCTCTTAAGATGGAAAAGATAGCATCAAACAGCTATTTCTTAGGATAATTCCAGCAGTAGTAGAAAAAATAAATTTGGAGGTGGAAAAGATGTGAAAGTTGAGTCAAGTGAAAATAAACATTCTAGTTAAGATTATGAAGTGGTAACCCTTTTAGTTATGATTGTTAGAGGAGTGATAGACTTTGAAAAATGTACGTCTGTTGCTTTGTTTATGAATTAAGCTGATTTTATTCCAGTTCCTCAGAACCATTTGAGGCATTGTATTTCATTTACATAAAATCCTCATATGGAAAGAGAGTTACTGTCTTTCTGCTAATTCAGAAGTGTGCTTTTTATCTTCTGTAAAATTTTTGAAGTCATTCTAACTTTTCATGTCTATAGAATCATTGAACTTAGTCATGTCTCCCTCATTTAGTTTGATCAAGCAGCTGATGCTGAACTCGCCTGGATTGCAGAAACAGAGAAGAAACTGATGTCTCTTGGTGATATTAGGCTTGAGCAAGACCAGACCACAGCTCAGCTACAAGTTCAAAAGGTAAAAGAAATGCATTTCCAACTGTCATGTTAATTATTGGCCAGAACAGTCTCCATCTAGAAAATGTACTGCTGTGATTTAATTTTCAGTCCATCATAATGCACTTCACAAATAGTTTTTGCTCCATGTACTTTATTTTATATTGCTGACCAGTTTTTATTGTGTTTCAAGGCTTTTACCATGGAGATTTTGAGGCACAAAGATACTATAGATGAACTTGTTAAGTCCGGGGATAAGATTATGAACACGTGCACTGAAGAAGAAAAGCAGACCATAAAGGTAAATTTCCCATAAATTTGCAGCTATGGTGGTGGATAGGAAGACCATAGACTGCAGGAAGATTCTTATGGTGTATACTTTAAAACATTAATGAAAAAGCATTAATTACAGCCACTTCTGGTCCAAGAGTTGTAATACTAGAAGAAATGCTTCAGGATGTTCAAAGAGCAAGCACTGTCTACTTCATTATCTGACACTAATTCAGAGCCCATTTGTCATCTTCCATGGTAAACAGTATTTTAGCCAGTGAAATTATTGAGTGAATAGGTATTAGTCATCTGGGGTGATGCGTGTGGAATCTGGCTGTTTATCTTCCTCTGTTCCCTAGAGTCTGTGAAGCTCTGGCTGGGTGTGTGTGTTTCAGTGCCTCATTCAGTGGCTGGCACTTCAGTGTGTGTCTTTATCTTCATTTGTGCCAATTTCAGTGGGGGAATTGTTTGCCAGGAGTGTTCCATCCTGTTGACTAACACAGCCCATGAAAGGCATTCTTACACATTTGTTTATGTGTGCACACACAGCCTGAGGTTGAGGGCTGAAAGAACATACGTATATGTGTGTGTTTTTCATGCATGCACACAGAGAGATCTTTCCTACTGGCATTTTTAGAATGAACTTTTTTACTGGTATGGATGTGATCTGTGATTTTGGTCCTTCCAGAGACCAACAGTAATTCACTAATTGTGCTCTGCTGCAGAATCACTGAATAAATTTGATTTGTTCTTAAGTGAATTTAGTTCAGTCTATTAAAATATAGCCCAAAGGGTGAGCAATTGTAGGTGATCCTCTGTTAGATAAATATTTCAGTAAAACAAAAAACAAAAAAAACCCCCCAAAAAAACAGTATATCTGTATACTAGGCTATATTTTGTCCTTTGGATAGCATCCCTATATTTAATTTACATGCAACACATAACAAATGAAACAATATCTTGTTCTAACAGAAAAGGTCTTGTACTTCATATTCAGCACCTTATTTATATGTCTTGTATTTCTAAGGTTAGCACTTACATGTATTGTTGCATTGTAATATTTCATTTCAACATTTTTACATGTAATGTAAAAATGATAAGATGGTCAGTCTTCCACAGAAAATTATATATCCAGTTGATACATCTTTTATTATCATATGCCCAAACAGAATAGAGGGGTAATGCTTAAACCTTTAAGTTCTGTCATGTTATTAACGGTAATGTATTCTCATTAATTAATACTTGCTAACATGGAAAATAGTGTTATGTGCTTTCTGTAGAAAGTTTATCCAGAAGTATATGCCCCCATTCTTTGGTAGATTTAGAAAAAAAAAAAAAAAAAGACAAATTTTTGTGCAATGTTCATGATGCTTTGATTCAGAAACGCTCTGAAAAATTTAGCTTCTGCCAAGCGTTGCTGAAGATGTGTGCCTCCAGAAAGAAAATGGGGCTGGGACAGGCAGTAAAGTTGTTTGCAGCTTAAATGGAAGTTCTAGGAATACGGTGTTGTTTGTGTTTTAGTTACTTTGAATGTGTCCTGCCAAATTCAGATCTCTCACAGCATTGGTCCTTTCCTCTTTAAATGCTCCAGTACTGTGGAACTACTATCAGAATTAAGATTTTGTTCACTATGGTTTGGTGCTATTAATTATCAAAGGCTGTTTAGGGATTAGGATAATGAATATGTGGAAAGACATACATTGCCATTTTTTGTTAATATTATTTCACAGAAAAAACTGAAGAGCCTGTTACAGAAATATGATACAGTCTGTCAAATGAACTCGGAGAGAAACCTCCAGCTGGAGCGGGCTCAGTCCCTAGTTAACCAGTTCTGGGAAACTTATGAAGAGCTTTGGCCGTGGTTAACTGAAACAGAAATGATCATCTCTCAGCTTCCTGCACCTGCCCTTGAGTATGAAACTTTAAAGCAACAACAAGAAGAGCATCGGGTAAGAATTTTGCTGTTTTCAAGAAAAAACAAAAGCAAAAAACAACAAAGTATCAAAAGCTAACTAGTATTCTGCTTGGAGCCGTGAAGTACTCTACTGACTGCTCATAACTGGCAGTTAGACTTCTGTTGAAAAAAAGTTATTTTAAATAATAATAGAAAATATACTTAAAATCACGCCTCTGCTGTTTTCCAAACTGCATGCAAACAAGATTATCTGTGGAAAAAAGCAGCAAGCAATGTATAAGCATAAAAGAGGGCTAAAGGGGAAATAACTGCCATTAAGTGACATATCTAAGCATCAGAAATGAATAGCTTAGAAATGTCTTTAAAAGTACACATAAATACGACTGTCTTAGAACAAACCAAGTCCAGAAATGGAAAGAACAAAGATTGGGTTATGTAGTAAGATTTAGGAAAGAGTAATATGAGGCAATAGAAAGAGCTAGAGTGCCTGCTTTCAGCATCCAGAAACTCAAATTCGGTCTATGTATGAAGTGTGTTAATATGCATATGTATTAACCTTATGTACATGCAAAAAAATGTGTTGTTTGTTTTGTTGATATCATGGAAAGTAAACTTTGTTGAACCAGGAAGATTGACAATTCAGGGTCCAAGAATTCTGTGGTTTGGTTTAAGCCAATCTCTTGGCCAATTCTCTTAAAAAAGGAAAATGTTTGTGATGTAATAATAAAAATAAGTAATTGTTTCTCATAACATCATAAAATAGAGAGGGAACTTTATTATATAAAGGCCTCCATGTGGCTTTTCTTGCACAGAGGAATCATCTGGGACAAGAATTGGTGTGTTTCAGACAGCAACTAGAATCCACTAGACTTGGAATCAAATTTAACTTACCAAGATTAAAAACCTGCATGTTTTAGCACATGCAAAGCCCATTTTGCTACTGGAGACACCTGTCTCTTCCTACTGAGCATAGGGTTGCTAGGCTTTTTAATTTTAGTTGCCTCGGTTAAATGACTCAAGTTAGATAGGATGAATCCTGGTTTCAAAATCCTGTTTACTGTGAGACCAGTTAATGAAGATGTGCTACTTGATACAGTGGTAAACACTGGGTTCACTCATTTGTCTTCCTACTACGTCCACAAAGAACAAACATGCTCTATTAAGACTAAGTATATCACATGAGCTTTACAAACTATCTTGATTAGTCACTACGAACCAAATCATGCTTGCTTTACTTACAGGTTTGTTTCCCCATCTACTTTAATCATTCTGCTTGCGTGAGAGGCCCTTCATCTGAACTTGTATTTTTGCATTTTCCCTGGGCTATGCCATTAGCTGAGATTTGTTTAAGTAGAAGATTAATGTCTGGCAATTTTAACACGTAATCTGATCTGGAATACTGATTTACTGGAATTGTTTACCCAATTGTGGCAAAGACCAGATCATTTGTGCTTCTGTTATAAAAAAGGATCCTCAGTACGAATACAGCTTTCTCTATTCCCTTATATTTCTTATATAGTCACTTATGTTTATATTGACATCCAGTTAATGTAGTTTGAGTTTTGCTTTTGGCAGTGTAGGAGGACTGGCATAGTAAAGTTTGTACCTATAGGTGCATAGTCTGTCACATTGTGTCAAGTTATCTATTTGTGCACCAAAATAAAATACATAAAATCATTTTCTGAAAACTTTCTTAGCTTAGCATTTTCCTTTTTCTATGCTAATCACTATTATTTTTCTTGATGCAAGTTTTACAAGTAGAATTACATTCTCAGGCAGTAGCTAGTCATTGCTTTTTGTTTTTTTGTTGTTGTTTTTCATTGTTGTTTCTTCATCAGGGGACAATGGATAGTCATGGTCACTGTATTTTCAATCTCCCCAACTCCTCCTCTTCTGGGGAGGAGCTCATAAGCAAGCCAGTATCAGGATTTCTTTTTAAGGGAAGGACCTCAGTTGAAGAGAAGAGGATTTATTTAGACTGAGACTGATATAAGCCCTTTTCTGTGTCTTCATTTGTTTAAACAATCCGTGAACTAGGAGGAACAAAGCATGTGCTTGCTCTAGCCTGTCATTCCTGCACAGTGACTGTAGGCTAGAAATGCATGGAGCTCACAGCACTGAGAGGGACAGTGTCTCACCAGACAGCGGGATTTTTCTGAAAAGGAAAAGATGAACTGAGACAATAAATGAAATTGAAAGGAATGGTTAGGTTACTCCCCCTGAAATCTCTTCCTTTTGTCAGACTTATGGGTGCAAGTAAACAAAAGCAAAATACTTAGGCAAGCTGGAAGACAAAATACCATTACCATTTGGCCTTTTGCAGTTGTCTGTGGTTTGGATTTACTTTGGGGGTGGGTGTTGAGAGGGTGGGAGAGAGTGGCTGAGATGAAATCTGATTTGTATATTAATTTCTTGTTAAACAAGAAAATTCTCATGCGTCTTCACTGGCCTCTATCCTTTTCATTGTTGTTTTTTATTCTACCTCCTGTTTGTTCTAGTTTCCTCTTTTAAATCAAGGATAACTTGCAGTAATATTATTGCAACTTCAGTACCTTGTTCTGTGATGTTCTTCAGTGGAAGGCTTTGTGGCACATATCAGCATGAAAATGTATATATGTAGTGGTATTATGCAAATATTTGGAATATAGTTACCATTTCTGTCATCATAGGTCCTAAAAATGATGGGGAGTGTCTGTTGCCAACATCATCTGCAGCCAGTATGATTTGGCACCTTGCATTCTACATGTAATGATATGCCTTGAAGGAGTATTTCGTGGCCCTTTCCAATGTATCTTTAATTGTGATGTTTCCTGGCTGGGTAGCTCTCACTTTTGGAAAGGGAATCATCACTGGCAGAGCAGTCATTAACTTTATTTAATATTATTTGTGCTTTACATTAGGATGACAGGTATTTGTTTGGAATTTCTTGCCAGCTGGATGTTTTGAAGTGTGGACAGCTGTAATGTGGTGGTCTAAACTTAAGAAACTGATAAGTTTTTTTCATTTGTTATAGCAACTGCGTGAGCTGATTGCTGAGCACAAGCCTCATATAGATAAGATGAATAAAACTGGGCCTCAGTTGCTGGAGCTGAGCCCAGGAGAAGGTTTCTCTATCCAAGAGAAATACGTGGCAGCTGACACCCTTTACAGTAAAATTAAGGAAGATGTCAAAAAGCGAGCACTGGCACTGGATGAAGCCATTTCTCAGTGTACCCAGGTATCATTTTAAGTTTAAAGAATGATTAGAGTCATATGAATGGAAAGATACACAGACATTATCATTTTATATGTATATATATCGAGACTAAACTGCTGTTTTATGTGAATTTTTCAGCTGAATAGTGTGTGAATGTTCATGTTGCTTCTCATGGCACTGATTTTCCTGAGGGGTTATAATTTTATGAGTCTGCTGCAGTTGAAAAAAAAATATTATTAGTTCTCAATTTTAAAATGTCAAAAAAGGAATATTTGATTTAACAATGTCAGATTTTCAGTTTATTCAATTTTCTTTTACTGGTCTGTTAATAGCTGATGCTGTGCTTGATCTGAATGTCTCTGTTAATCAGTTAGCTTTGCATATCTTCGTATCTAGAACTTGGCAACTGCAGTTGGTCCTTTAATGGACTGGCACTAGAGGGTACTTAACCATGCATGGTCCTTTTCACGTAAAAGAATTATGAGTAAAGTTAGACTTCACAAAATATTATTGTAGCCATAAAATTCAGGTCACATCCACAAAAGCTGTGTATCTTAGGTTAGTTAATCTATGGAATGAACCATATTAGAGTATTGATAGTATGGATTAATTTGTCATTAAATCCAAAATGAAATCTCTTTACATGACACCAAATTCAGAAAAAAAAATCCTCATTAACATGAACCTACACAAAAACCCGATAGAAGTTTTGTGTCCTGTCACTGTTTTTATGGTAAATTCCCTTTTTTGTCTGTTGGCTGGCAATTAAGTACTATATTTCTTCCTAGGACTAAAACACTAAATCACAAAAGAGATCTTAAGGTTCTCATCAGTTCTGCATTCTAAATAATTGTCTTCATAGGTCATGGTACTTAATGTTGTATTTGGAGACATTACAGGCAGAATTGAAGAATCTAAGGATGTCATTCATTTTTTGACCTGGTAGTAGCCACTATTCCATGCTACTTTCAGTCCTTCTAAATAGCCTCCTTTTTTACACCTCTGAAAGGTGCCTGTTTATTCAGATTCAGTATTTTTTCTTTTGCATATATGCTGCATGTTTGAAAATCAAGACATTTATTTAGTGTTTGAACCTTTGCTTTTTATGTGATAGACATTAACAAGATGTGCTTAAGTACAGAAAGTACAGAAGGCTAAGACCAGAAAGCAAGAAAATGCATTCTTTGGTAGGAGCTAGAATATAAACAGATGTTGAGAAAATACTTAATTACTTATAAAATAAACCCTGAAATATTTAATGTGCGTAAATGTATATGCAGATGGGAAAGCCAAACATTCTAGCTTCCAGAATGTAATTTTATATAAACTCTTTCTTTATTAAGATATGTAAATATATATTCAGACTCTGTAATATGGTGGATATGTCAGTGTTTGTCTAGACAGACCAGGAAGAATAATTATTTAACTCTTCAGGTTTCAAATTATGTTAAATTACATTATGTATCAAAGGTGGTATGTGACCTATGGAGCCAGAAAGAGAGATGGTAATGACTTGCCTTTCCTCCTTTTAAGTTCTAAATCACCTTGTCTCAGTCATTGAAGTCAGAGTAAAATGAGGCCCACTGAATGAACTGAAAATTCAAAAATGCAGGATATGTGTCCTAAAATCAGATTTGAATATTACCAAATTTATTTCAGTTGTTATCACTTCTGTAGGGCTTTCTTGCCATAATCAGTTTTTCAGAAGTCTGGAATGTAGGGAGGTTGCTTATCTTTATATATTGCATTTTGCTAGCTTGTATGATAGTTGCACTTCTAATGAAAATAGAGTTCGTAACATTAGAGTCTGTACAGTGGGAAAAATGAACTACATTTGTTTTGCATGCATTTCCTTGAATACTAAGGATGTAGTATTCATTTGCTGATGTACAGTAAGCTTGTTTTGCTGTGCTTTTTCTAGCAGCCTCCTCAAGCGTAGTCAAGAGTGCTCTTTATAGATCCTGCTGGTTCTGTACCCGCAATTTAATAAGTTCTGTAATATGGAAGGGGCATGGCTGTGAGATGCTTATAGCAATCTGTATGCATCCAGCAGAGTATATTAGTGCTTAACTTATGCTTGTACCAAAGGATAAACGATGCTAATTAGTGTAGATATAACAGAGTTTCTGGGCGCATGGGCTCTGAGTCAAATGTGGATGCTGTTGTGAGCTTTTAGTTCAGGAAGTAATGTACATTTACTGCACTAATGAGCACCACTTGGGCATTAGGCAAATGTCTTTTTGAATGACCTTAAATATCAAATCCTAATCAGGGCTTATATGCAATATGGTGGTCTTGATATTAAAATACATGTAATTAATACTAACATAAGTATCTTTCTAGAATGATGCAATCAGAAAGCCACAGATTTCTAAAATAAGATACAAAGTAACATACTAATTATGCCGGAATGGCTGCATGCAGGTAGGTGCTGCCCTGTGTAGTATTTTCAGATGGATTGTTTCAGGATTAAATTCAGACTTGATAGTAAAATTCTGTATCTCTTAACTCAGAGAAGTACCACCATTTTGCAGAGTCATGTGATTCTTTCAGATATTAAGAGGGAGAGAGCCACCTGGGGGTATTGCAAGTTGTATGTATATAACTAGAGATGTTAAATATGTTAATCTTGAAGTATGAAAGAGAACATTCAGAGGCAGTTTTTCAAACGTTTTTGTTCTAATTTCTCTACTTTTTCTTTTTGCCCTTTTCCACCCTCTTAGTTTCATGACAAGATAGATCCAACTCTTGAGAGTTTGCAACGCATAGTTGAACGCCTGAGGCAGCCACCTTCAATCTCAGCAGAGGTTGAGAAGATTAAAGAGCAAATTAGTGAAAATAAGAATGTGTCAATGGATCTGGAAAAACTTCAGCCTGTCTATGAGACGCTTAAGCAGCGAGGGGAGGAAATGATCGCTCGCTCAGAAGGGGCAGATAAGGATGTATCTGCTAAAGGTAATACACTGAGGAAAAACTCATGCAGTGGAAATGCAGCAAGCTTCATCACATAAAAGTCTTCATTTTTGATGGCCACTAATCTGGGGATTGCATTCTCCTGGAGATATAAAAAAACCAAGGCATTCATTTAGTAATTCAGCATGGATCTGACCTTTGTTTTATTTTTAAATGTCTTGTTTGTTGTTTCCACTTAACGTTGTAAAAAGTCTTGTACAAAACCAATTTTAAAGTCTAAATTTTAAAATACACACATGTGTTTCTGTTGTAGAGCTGTAGAGGTATATATGGCCAAGAATTGTTTGCCAAGGTAGTAATCTCCTTCCTTTCTTGTTTAGCTGTGCAAGATAAACTAGACCAAATGGTCCTTATTTGGCAAGACATCCAGACCTTGACCGAGGAAAGGGAGGCCAAATTGTTGGATGTTATGGAACTAGCTGAAAAGTTCTGGTGTGATCATATGGCTCTTGTAGCTACTATTAAAGATACTCAAGACTTCATTCGAGAACTGGAGGGACCTGGAGTTGACCCATCTGTAGTCAAGCAACAGCAAGAAGCTGCTGAGGTCAGTTGTTTAAGTTGATTTAAAGTATTTTATTTACAGTATGCAGAGAAAAGACAGAATTATTAGGAAATAACACAGGAGTGGTTTTGGTTTGATTTTTTTTTTTTTTTTTTTTTTTTTTGAGACAAAGAGGGATAATTACATAGAAATTTACTATAATGATATCTCAAGAGTCTATGGCAAATGATACATATCAGTGGTTAATTGCAATGAGTATGCAGCTTATGCCTGTCATTATATGTGCATATCTGTTTATAAGCATGCATATAATATATATGTCACTGAGACTTGTAAAAGTTACACATACTTTAGATTCCAGGTAATACAGAGCATCTAAATGAAAGGCATATGGATGTGTGTATTACTTTCCAAGTCTGTAATTATTTATGCTGATAGTTACAGATTTGAAAGTGAATGATAACCTCTGTAAAAGAAAACATTTTGATTAAAGAAACCTAATATAAAACTTCCTGTTTATTTTTTCCATCTCATATAAAATGACATCACTATTCGTTTATAATTTAGACCGATGTAATTTGATTTACTCTGACACTGCAAAGGGATGCTGATATTTTAAGCATCCAGTAGTAAGTCCAGGTGACTTTAAAGAAAACAGAAGTCAAACATGGATGTGTTTCTGTCTTAAAAGCAATCCTAAGAGCAAGCATACACAAATTATTGAATGTAGTATTACCAGTGTTGGATTTTTTTCCCTTGTAGGCTGCTAAAGAAGAAATTGATGGACTGCAAGAAGAACTAGAAACAGTTGTGAGCCTAGGCTCCGAACTTAGAGCTGCTTGTGGAGAGCCTGACAAACCTATTGTCAACAAGAGTATAGATGAGGTATGGGAAATGCAGATGCTCAAATTTATTAACATTACGTATGTAGCTCAGAAAGTAATGCTTCCTATTTATTTCCTTGGATATTGCAACAGATACACAGAGCACAGTTACACTATTTGATAGTGCAAATTCTCAACTACAAAACACTGTTTTTCAACGCAGTCGCCATTATTAGCTGTGCATTTTCGTCAGCAATGAAAAAGAGCCTCCATGCCATGGTCATAGAAATCTATACCAATAGAGATGTGGCCCACTGTTTCACAGCTGCAATGATGGTATCATTGCTAGGTAAAATATTGCCCTGCAGTCTATTATCAAATCGAACAGATGGAAATCAGAGGGGGCACCAAATCCAGACTATATGGTGTATATAGCAGGAGAGTCCAGCCAAGGTTGACAGTGTGCTCCATTTCATTCCAAAATGTAGTGGAATATTGGTGGGAAGGTTCAACCTCTACTGCTATACCACCAATATCCACCTTTGACATTGTAAGATAACATAATAAGGTGGGAGGCATTAGTTTTGCAGTAAACTTCATAAATTCTTGATCAGCTAATAGTAGTGTTCCCTGCCCTCTAAGAAATTCTGAAAATAAAATTTTGGTACCAGAGGTGAGATTTCTCTGGAGGCTTTCTGTTAAATTAAGGTTGGCCTTTTGCTCAGATTTGAATATAAAGAAAAATTGATTTTATTGCTTTATGGATTAATTTTTTGTAGAAGACATTTAAAAAATTACTGATTAATGCAATACATGACTATTTCTTGTGAAAATGATGCAAGAATAAGTTTCATATGCTTTATGCAAAGTATCTTAACTGGGACCAGTCCTGTTCACAACTACAAAAGACTTATAATTTCTCTCACATTTTGTAATGTAATTTTCTTTTATGCTGCTTTTATTCTAAAGATTCAATTGCAAATGATTTGACATTTCCCATACTGACTATAATCCCTATGTTAATAAATATGTCGTCAGTGTTGAACTGTGCAACTTCCGTATTATAAAACCTCAAGTGCATTCTGAAGGAAACTAAGCAATGATAGAACAAGAGGTTTAATATGAAGTGAATATGAAATATTCATGTTTGATTTATTGGAGCTACTGAGCAATATCTATTTAGTGAATGCAAATTATATGGCAGAAAAATTGTTTTTGTCTAATGGTGTAAATTGCACTTATTTGTAGCTGAACTCTGCCTGGGATGCCTTAAACAAAACATGGAAAGAGCGAGTGGATAAGCTTGCCGAAGCTATGCAGGCAGCTGTTCAGTACCAAGATGGACTGCAGGTAAGATGATGATACACCTGATATATCTAATCCAATTTTGAGTTAATAGGATATGTAGTTTTATTTAAAATGTAACGTGATTGAGTGGGTGACAAGTAATGCATCACTGGTTATGCTGAGTATTCAGCAAGCAGGTGTTTTCTGTTGATTTGTTCTCTTCATGTTGTTCACATATTGCATTACATCCAGATTCCATGGTAAAATCTCCTTCCTTATTGGCAAGTGCAGAGTTTTTTTTTGATACCACACAATTTCATAGTAATCCTGCTCACAGTTTGATAGTAATTCACATGATAGACAAGTTGATATAACAAAGTCATATGATCTGAAAGGAACAGATTATTGGTCAATATACTCACTGCTGCTGTTTTCCTTGAATGGAAGACAGTTAAAGAACGTAAGTTTTACTCCACCCTTCATGTTAGCCAATTAAAAATGTCCTTCTGGTTTCATTAAACCCTTGAAGCACAAAATAATCGTGTTTCATGTGATGCTGAGGCAAGTTTTTCATGTAGTCAGTGCAGATTAAGCAGCAGAACACACAATAATAATACACATCATGCGTGTTTTTCTGTGCACCTCATTATTTATTTTTTTCCAGATACTCTGTTCATACTATGCCAAGGTTGATGTGCAGGGTTACATTAGTATCATTGCCATTGCTTTAAATATTTTGTGGTTTTGTGTTTATATAAGCTTGGTACTTTGTGTATTTTAATGCCCTCTGGTGCACATTTCAGTAGACAATATGAAAAGTGTTGTGGACAGATCATTAGCTGTACTGTAGCTGCTTCATCCTGTTGAGCCTCTTGAAGCTAGTTCTTACATCAGAGAACTGTAGGCCATTGTGACAAGAACTCCTACCCATTTCTCCCTCATGAATCATGGATAACAGACAGAGGCAAAAAGAACTTACCAGAGGTGCTTTCTCCCCTGTGCAATTACTGAGATTGATGTAGCTGTTGTTAATCTGTAAGCAGGATGTTCTTGAGGTTCTATAAGGAACAGAAGTAGTACTCATAAAGCCTCGCAACTGTGTGTGCTTCATTGACTGATGGAAGTTGTAAATCTGTTATCCTAAGGAGATTCAGTCAAGCTTATTTATGGCTTAGTTCAGAACCTAATATCTACTGAATGGGTCTTCTTCCACATTCTTCACACAGATAACATTGCTCTTCAATAGAAGTTTGTTAATTAGTGCTTTTCAATAATCATGATATAAATTGTCATATCATTCAGCCACAGCCTACCATCTTAGCCCCATATGACATGGAACTGAGAGTTTGTCTTGTACTTACTTTTCATAGAGTTTATAAAATTTGCTGATTTTACTCAAGAGGTAAAGTGGGGAACGTTGTTGCTAATAACAGCAGCATATATTCTTGTATTGATTAATGGAGTACTTGATCCAATATTTAAGCCTTTGCATTGTCAAGACCATAGGATCTGTTAAAGAAATCTATTTTATTTTAAAGAGTATAGCAATATTGTTCTCTGAAGTAAAATAAATTCAGATCTTATTACAACTTTTAAACATGATACTATTTCTCCTTGCTCATCTTTAGTTTCATATTGTGATTTTCAGGCAATATTTGACTGGGTAGACATTGCTGGCATCAAGTTAGCATCCATGTCCCCAGTTGGAACGGATTTGGAGACAGTGAAGCAGCAAACTGAGGAACTTAAGGTATGAAATATTGTTTAGAGTATTCTGAATTTTTCATGACTCGTAAGCAACTTTCAGTTTTCAGTTTTAAAGAAAAGATCTGTATGAAAATTTGAAATAACATTTCATTGCATAGTTTACATTATAAAATATATGACAGATGGCTTTGGAATAGACTTTGGTGGGATTACATTACTAGTGGTAGCATTCCTTCTCTTTCAAAAGCTGTAAGTTTATAAAGAGGGTTCTTTTGTTATGATTAAATTTTCTCTCTTCCACAATAATCAATTTCCTTGATGCTTTGAGAAAATGCCTTCAGAGATTCACTTCCACCATTATTGGCTTTCTCTAAGTGTTCTAACATGATACTGCATCATTCCCAATACATCCAATAATCTGTAAGTCAAAAACCTGTCCATATGATTATTTGACTAAGTATCCCCCTGACTGTGCAACATATTTTAAATAAAAAGTGGGGATGTGTAATAATTGAGGAATATCCTTGGTTTTATTCCTGACTTGTAAAATGTTTTGATTGTGGACAGATTATTTTCTTTATCTATGATATCATGATATGACTTCAAATGAACTGTCTCTATCTTCCATCTGTATGTTCAGAAAAACATACATCTGCAAATTATATTCAGACTGTGCCTTAGTTGTCTGTACAAGAGGGTGTTGTACTAAAGAAAGGTTGCTTTCAGGTCTTTTGAAGAATAATTCTATTTAAAGTGTTATATTGCTGCAACCACAAGAGTTAGAAATTACTCAAGTTCTGTCTTGTTTACAAACCAGCAAGATCATTAGAGGGTACTTTTCTATTGGGTATTCTTATCCTCCTCTGCTTACTGTTAGCAGTATCTGATGGGATAATAAGACTTTATTTTATATTTTGAATTAACTTGAACCATCTGAATTGTATTTTACATGCGTTTTTACCCGTGAAAACTAACCCCCAAATTTATGAAAGTTGACAGTGCTGTACTGTTTTGTAAGTATTGCTGGAATGTGCTATGCTCAAGAAAGGCATTACGATATGTGTTTATTTTTTATTCTTTTTCTATTTACTGTAGCAATTTAAAACAGAAGCTTATCAGCAGCAGATAGAAATGGAAAGACTGAACCATCAAGCAGAACTATTGCTGAAGAAGGTAACGCAGGAAAGTGACAAGCACACCGTACAAGACCCTCTCTCAGAGCTCAGACTAATGTGGGACAGCCTAGAAGAAAAAATTATAAATCGACAGGTAAATAAACCTGAAGGTGGAGGCTTCATTCATGACTTTGTTTTTATGAGAAAAGTTTTTCATTACGCATAATGTTTGTAACAATTTATGTATTTGGTTTTTTCTGTTTGGAAGTTATAGAACTATACTTAATGGAATTTTAATTTCAGTAATTTACTGAATTGCTTTTATGGTGTTTTTAAAAAACTCTTAGCAGAACTTCTGTCACTTCCTCTGTCAGCAGTGTAATGTCAAATCATTATTATTTCATTTTGATTATTTGATGACATTTAAAGTAGCAGTTAAAAGCATGTTCATATTTGCAAAATCATTATTAGCTTCTGAACTGAGCACTTTTTCTTAAAACTTTCTTCTTTAAAATATGAATATTAAAATGTTTCATATTCTTTACAAAATATTGAATTATCAAAGAGAGAAAGTTGCAGTGCTTTGAAGAGGTGTTTTTTTTTTTTTTCTAAATTGAATCATTTTAGTGCAAAAAAACATTTTAGGAAGATGATGCCTCAAGATGCATTTATATTGAAATTATATTTTAAAAGATGAAAACTATTGCCACATCTCTGATGAGAAGGGCTTGCAATCTTAGTTCTGCTCTGGTTACATGGGATCTTTGGAGATCAGGATTTTAAGCCTAGAACATAAGGCTTTACAATGGATTTGCTAACTCAGCTCTGACTACAAAGCAGTTCCTGTGTTGAATAGCTGTTTGTCTCTCTTTTTTATGCTATCATAAGTATGGACTCTGCTCTGGATTATGGTGACTAATGGTAATTTAAGCCAATTCAATAGCATCGTGAAATCATTTCATTGTTAATTTATTTTATTTTTACTATAGCATAAGCTGGAAGGTGCCTTGTTAGCCTTGGGGCAGTTCCAGCATGCCCTGGATGAGTTACTTACATGGCTGACGCATACAGAAGACTTGCTGAACGAACAGAAACCTGTGGGTGGAGACCCCAAGGCTATTGAAATTGAACTTGCCAAACATCATGTATGTAATTACAAGAAATATTAAATGAAATGTTGTTTGATGTTTATCTTAGTGATGAGTCTTGTAGTGAAACTCTGCTCTTGATAAATAGTTCTTTATAGAAATTTTCAAGATGCAGATTATAGCTGAAGTGATGTGGAAAATCTAATATCTTTTCTGTTTCTGTTCTATATTCCTTTCTTCCTTGCATTTGCTATGCAAATAACGTAGCCAAAAAAGAGCAGCTGACCCTGGTCTCCACCTTTTTTCACCTTCATTTGATCCAGGGAACTGAAAAGTCATTGAGCATATTAAATCTCCTTGAAGCAATAAACTCTTTGACTAGTTCTGTTTAGGCCAGGTCTTAGAAAACACACTTGACCTTTACACACCTTTGTTCTTTTTGGTCAGAAATAAAGAGAGTTGCAGTTCTGAAATCTGCACAATTGTGTCTTGTTTGGGTCCTGCCAACTGAGTGCTTCTCTGAAACTCTTAGCAAATTTCAGGGATATCCATGTCTCCATCTTTTTATCTTTCTACATACAGTGTAGGGTTTTGTTGGTGGTGGTGGTGGTTTGTGGGTTTTTTTTAATAGCATTTTGCTGGTTAATGTGGCTTTAGAGCTGGTGGAAGAATGCTTTCGTTGTTTATTTAGAAAAGCATCTCTAAAGAGCAAAAGATCTTCTCTATCTCTTTAGATTTCTTAGTAGCCTCATAAATCCTTTCCTTCATGTCTGTCTCCTTATTTTTGGCCTGATGTGAAAATTATTCAGAGTTCATTTTGGATTTACAGAGAATAGACTGAAATTGACAGTGCACAGATAATTAAGACATATTCATTGTCTGTGTCAGTTCAGCTATGCGGCTTCTGAATCTCTTCAGGTAATCATTGGGAACCTGTGCAGAGTAAAATATATGTGTGCCCCATACAACTACTGTTAGAAACAGACTCTTTAAAAAGAAAAAACAACAAGAAACAGTTTGTAAGTCCACCTTCCCTTCTGTGGAAACTTTTATATTCTTACTGAGTCACAGTGTTTTACTACTGAAGAGGCATCCAGATACCATACACGACTTCATCTGCCTTCAGTACTGAAGGAGTTCAGCAAACTCATCAACCAGTCTACTTCCGTTTTGTAAAATAGAATTTATAGGTTAGAAAGTTCACACAGTAGTGCATCCTGTGGTAGCCTGGAAAAACATGCATCTCTTGAATAACTTTGGAAAGAATAGACCTTGTTCCTAGTGAGTCTCAGCAGGAAGGAAGGATTAAGATGCATCTGCTTGTGTGAATATCCTTTTTGTTTATTTATTTATTTTTTTGTCGATCAGGAAAATAAAATAACAAATACCTTATAGAGCTTGGCTTAGAAGAATTAAAGCAAAGGTGTGCATATGCTGTATACAAAGACTGCTTGTGACTTGCTTTTTCACTGTGATTTGGTCTGTGTATTTTATTCAAAAGTTAGAATCATAGAATCACCAAGGTTGGAAAAAGACCCTCAAGATCATCTAGTCCAATTGCTGACCTACCACCAATATTTCCCCACTAAACCATGTCCCTCAGTAGCACATCTAAACATTTCTTGAGCACTCCCAGGAATGGTGATTCAGCTACTTCCCCGGGCAGCCCATTCCAGTGCCTGATCACTGTTTTAGTAAAGAAAGTTCCTTTGTATTTAGCTTTTCTTTTTATGTCGTTATGCTAGCATTCTGGTGGACATAAGTTTGAACGACATCTTCTGGAAGAGAGTAGGCAAAAAGTTGAGTTTCTTAGGTGCAGTTTATCATTCCCTTCCTCTAACCATTTTTCACATCGTCTTTTCCTGTTCTTTATTCCTGGTACTTTAAAGATTTCTCTTTATTTTTTTCTTTAATCCTTCTGAAAACAGCTTATTTTTCCTAAACATACTTTTTGTCATTTATGGTTCTACTGTGGTTGATGGCAACAGATCTTAAACCAGGTCTTAATAGTAGGGGTCTTAATAGTGTTAAGCATTGTAAATTCCTGGGACAACTGAAGTGTCCTGCTAGCCTGACTACATGAGAAAAAAGACATAGGGGCAGTCAGAATGTTGTCTTCTTGTTCCTTTCTCTCCTTAGCCTACTGCTTCAGGAGGAGTCAGCAATACTATTTATAGTACTGTTTTCACACCTTGCCCTCATAATCAAAGAAAAGTGCTGTTAAAGAAAGTACGTAGTAAATGAAGGAAGATGAAGTGATACTGGTGTGCATCCTCACTAGCAGTGCCAGAAAGCTCAATTTCAGAAAGATATATATTCAGAAAGAATGAATACATTTTTTTCCATGATATAAAAATAAAACACAGCATTCTGGCAGAGTGCTCTGTTATTGCTTTTGATTGAAGTTAGGCTAGTGATTAGCTTTTTGTAGCTGTATATCTGTGCTAATTGTAAGCTACTGTTTTGTCACTGGGTTAGAACCAGGTTGGTTACGTTTGCCTTTATTGAATAACTTATCAACATAGCCAGTCATGCGTGCTGTGTTACAATTGTAGGTGCTACAGAATGATGTTTTAGCTCATCAGTCTACAGTAGAAGCAGTTAAGAAAGCAGGAAATGACCTGATTGAATCAAGTGCTGTTGAAGAAGCAAGCAATTTACAGAGCAAGTTGGAACTTCTAAATCAGCGCTGGCAAAATGTGTTGGAAAAAACAGAACAAAGGAAACAGCAGCTGGACAGTGCCTTGATTCAGGTGAGCAGGAAATGATAAAAGAAAGAGATAACTCAGAAAAAAAAGTGTCTTTTTACATAAAATACTAGAAATGCACTGGAAATTGACCTAAGTGAAAGCTGTAATGCAGACACTCCTAAATTTGGCTAACGGTTAGATCCAGCTGAGCTTTCCACAGCTGTCCTTTGTCTTCTACAAAGCTGAATCAAGACCTCAGCTTTTGGCTATTTATTTTTAAAGGCTGAAGATTCTGTATACATATATTACTCAGGGAAAACATTGATCTCACAGTGGCTCATTTAGCCTTCTTTCAGGATTTCCATGTTTTTTTATACTTTTTCATTATGATAGATGGGGGTAGTTTAAATTTGGTTTTGTTGTGTTTTTCCTTTCCTGTTTTTCTTTCTTTCATTTCCTTTGATTAGTGAAAATACCTGATTGAATCTGTTGCCAATATAGTTCTGCATCTGAACTAGAATTTGGATGGAAAACATTTAAGTAAGCTCTAAAATGCTGTGGTATAATTTAGGCCCAAGGTTTCCATGGTGAAGTTGAAGATATGCAGCAATGGCTGACAGACACTGAACGTCAACTGTTGGCATCAAAACCTGTTGGAGGCTTACCAGAAACAGCAAGAGAACAGCTTAATACCCATATGGTAAGTATCAGTATTAGAAAGCTTTGCAAATTGCATTTCAGGACTAACTATCTTTCGTGAATATTTATGCTAAATACAGTGCATGGTCTATATATCACAATGTCTGTACTGTATCTTAAAAAATTTAATAGCCTTCACAACAGCACTGTTATTTTCAGTGGAGTGAAAGTAGTAATTTGGGAGGTGCCCAAAGCTTAGCCATTGTCCTTGTTTTCAGAAGGGAAAACAGAAAGTGTTTACAGATTTTTCAGTGATTCATGTGCTCCTTCCCTCTCCTGTCCCCATAACTACCATTTATGCTCTTTCTCAGATATGAAGACCAATCTAAAAGGGTTCCACATTCATTTGGACCTTGAATCAAGGGACTTCATCTTTTATTCTTTATTTAACCAATGCTGACATTGAAATCATCATTAGCACAGATGTAATTAGGACTAATAGGTCATAAATACTCTGCTTTAATTAGAAATGGAAATCTGATCAGGATGTCTGAATTATTCCGTTCCTTCCCTTCCTTCCTTTATAAGAGAAAAACTATGGATTTTTTCCCCTATGGGCCGCAAAGCTTGATAAAGGACACTTTAACTTTTGAAGCCTTACCTCAGAGGAAGGTGGTCCATAGTGCTCCACTTGTATAAAACCTGCTATGCTGTTAGGCTTGGATATAAGCCCAAGCCCAGTGATCTGAAATTCTGACCTCTTTGCTTAGTTGTGAGAGTGATATTTACTGAACTAACTTAGAGCTCTAAGATGCCTGGCACAGTTTCCACTAAAACACTGCATTGTCACAGCTTAATAAATCACATTTTATTTTGGAATGATGCAAAAGGTTTTGCCCACAGATGTGCAGCCTTTTTTTCAAAATTTACCAGTAACTGTTTTTCAGAGGAATAGCATTTACAGTTTCCAAATCAGTTATGACAGGAAACAAGTGTGAAACATAGAAAGGATCTTAATTCTTTGACACCCCCCTCCAATCTCTCTCATTCTGTTAAAAAAAAAAAAAAAAAAAAAAACAACAAATAAAACAACAACAAAAGACCCAAACATAAACAGAATCTTTCTTCCTGCAAGGGTGGGGGCTGTGTAACCAAGAACCTGGGAGAACCAGTGTTCTTTCCATTTTTTTATCCTGAACTGGGAATCAGATGAAGACCAAAAAATTTTCCTTGAAATGTATCAGAATTTTTCTTTGGTATATTCTATGCAAATCAGCAAGCCAGTTTTTACAGATTAAAGGAATCTTAAATCTGAATTGTTGGAACAAGTGTGAATGTGTCCCCAGTAGTATGTACATATGTACAGTCATTTCCTAACTATGCATTTTAAAAGCCAATGCTATGTTGTGGATTGTCATACAACTGCAGATATCGTCTTGCTGTTATCCTTGAAGGCACATAAGTTTTAAAATATAGGATTTTATTTCAGTTTAGTTAAATTCAGTGCATCTATGCAGCTCTGTGTAAATTGTTTTTTTGGCAACTGAAATGCTGAGATGGGTTGTCAGATTGAGAACAATTTATTGTCAGTTCCAAATTTCATCTTGCTCTTAAGGGATACAAACTATATTAATTTGTGACCTGAAACTGAAATAGAAATTTTTGCTCTATGTTTTATTGTGTTTTCTCCGTGGAAATAACATTATGAATCATCATCTTGAGTATAAGGTCTGTTTCTACGTTCATGAATAAAAGATCCCTGAACTGTAATCAGTTCATAAATGGAGTTGTGCTTGGGTAGCATTTCCAGCTAAGGCAGCTCCAGGAATAAAAGAGATATGAAGAGGTGTTACTGGACACCAGCAGGAAAGAGGCTTGCAGAGAGGCCTCCTTGGCTTCCCCTGAGCCCAGCCCCAGTGTTTCAGGCCATACTTGCCGTGCCGTGTCTCGCTTGTGCTGTGCTCCCTACATTTACTTCTGAGGGGTTCTTGCACTGCAGCAGAAAAAGGTGCTTTGGAAAGTTAAGGAAACTAGAAATATTTTGAGGAGTTTGGGAACATAAGAAAAAAGCAGATGAGGTGACAACAGTGTTCTTGGGAAGAAGGAGCAAAGCTTTCTGGAATCTTAGTTCACAGTGGAACCTTCTTCCTGCTTTGCTGTCCTCTTTAATCAGATACAATCCTGTGACCAATACCTCTTAACCCACAGAAAATACTGAGTTTACATTCTTTCCTTCGGAGTCAGAGAAAAGGTTCTTTTCCTCCCATCTGCAAGCCACTTACTGTTCATCTGGAAGAAGATCTCCATCTGGGAGTCTGCACCAACCTCATTAGTGCATTTTCAAGTGTCTGTTGCAAATTTTGGAAATGCACTTTTGAATGAGGGGAATGTATGTGAGTTCCAATTCTCTTGCCACCTCACCTTCAATGTGGTTAAAAGAGAATAGTGAGTTGAGTAGTTAGAAGGTAAAACAACAATTGCCATTATTTTTCCAGCTTTCTGTATATATGTAAAATATCTTGCTTTTGTGTAGTGAGTGAAGGAAAATACAGACAAAACACAAGACAAGACGTACCATAAAACAGCCCTCCCAGGTTGTCCCACCTGCTTTTGAAGGTGTGTTGGATGTGTCTGGGCTTTCAGCGCACTGTATAATGCTGACACTTTTTGTGTTTTAGCTGCAGATGGACAGAAAACCAACAAAGTTGTAGGAAATCTTGTGCAATGAGATAAGTGCCTAGTACTCTCTTTGCCAAGCTTTGCATCTCAGAAAGAACATCTGACAGACAGTACAAGTTCTCATTTCCTGAAGAATTGGGCCCTTTCTTTGTTCATTTGGCTTTTTATGAATTACATATGTTTCTTTTATTAGTCTTAATCATACCCACAAAATGTTGGGGGAGGAATGCTATGCTAACGTTAATAAAGAGTATTGAATTTCTACCTGACTTACTTTCTATTGGTTTCTTTATTTAGGAACTTTGTGCTGCCTTTGAAGCCAAAGAAGAGACATATAAGTGTCTAATGCAGAAAGGCCAGCAGATGCTTGCAAGATGCCCAGGATCTGCTGAAACAAATGTTGAGCAGGACATAAATAACTTAAAAGAAAAGTGGGAATCCGTACAAACGAAGCTTGGTGAAAGAAAAGTATGTGTTTATACGTAACAATAGAAGTGTAAATCATGTATTTAAGACTGTTAATGTCCTGTCCTTTTATACATGCAAGCTTGCTTAGTCTTTTAGATTTAAAATCAACTGTAGAGATAGTTGTGCAGAATTCATTATTTTGCTTAAGCAAATACTGGGGAAAAACGGGTTTGAGAAGTTGATTAACTATGACTGGGGGGCAGGATAGCTGAGAAGGGCATATTATTCTACAGAAATATCTTAACTGATGCTAATAATACTAACTTTATAGAGCGAGGGCTTTTCTGTTTGTTTTTTTTTTATTACAGTGATCACAGACATGAAAGAAAGAGTTAAATTATTTGATGGTTCAAGTTTATTTTGTTCTCAATACAGAATTGCTGCATTAATTTTCCTAGCTTTTATCCATTTTCCCTTGAAATTCCCAAAGGCTTGGCCTTCTGCCACTTCAAGTGACTTCCTTCTGCTCTAAGTAGATCAATAAGTAGATCAATAGCATGATTTCACTGATGTGCAACATACATTTTTTTAAATTAATAATTCCATTTTTCTTTCATCCCTTCATGAAATATAGTGCATTTGCTCTACCTCAGTGAAGCAGTGAAGAAAGTCAATAATTACACAGAAATTCTCTGCTTGCCCCTAATGTGTATAAGGCAGAAATAATTAACTCACAACTTAGTTGTATTTTAAAGTAAGACTGATGGTGTCTCTTAAGATAAGTATAATGGAAGAGTGTCAGATGAATTAATGCACAATTTGAGCGTCTTCTTATAGAAAGATATAAGTCTGGATTGCTTGGCTAGGCCAACAATATTGACAGTTTGAAAACATTCTCTATCCAAATATAGTCTCAGTTCAGGTAACAAAAATGACAGCTGTACAGTATTATACAGAAGTGATCTAAGCCAACCTGTTATTTCTTTAGTGCAAAAGAATAAATTGGATGAGTACTTTGAGGCTCTTTCCAAGTGCACTACCATCATAGATTTCTGGTATTCTACTAGTTTTGTAAATAAATAAATAAATAAATAAAAACCACATGTCTCATTACAATTAACTACCACAAAATTTAATGTTCTAATGTATAAAATTTATCCTAGTCCTAGATGCTGTATTTATACCCATCTGTAATAAATAGTTTTACTGTTAAGTTTCTATCCATCCTCTTTAATAGTCTCAAACACAGGCAATTATTTTAAAATATAAAACTCAGAAATTCTGAGTTGAAAGAATGTTCAAAAATGTTAATCTTAATGTTAAATTAAAATGGCTTACTCCAAAATGCTCAATTAAGATAGTTTACTCAGCTGAATACCCTGCATAATATCAGCTGCTATTAAGATATAACCTTTCTTTACAGACCAAACTGGAAGAGGCCCTCAATTTAGCAATGGAGTTCCACAACTCACTTCAAGATTTCATCAATTGGCTCACGCAGGCAGAGCAAACTCTAACTGCAGCTTCTCGGCCAAGTCTTATCTTGGACACTGTCTTGTTTCAAATTGATGAACACAAGGTATGTACAGAAACAGATGTGTAATGTTTTTCTCCCACTCTTTTGAGACAGTTGAATAATGTTCAAATCAACTCTGTAACACTGGCATTCAGAAATATTTGAATTGTTTTAAACTGCATTTTATGCTTACTGCTATATCTTTCTCTATCACAATGCTTTTTTCGGTGTTTACTCAGTGCATGAGTAATATATTATTTACAAAAATTTTCTCTCTTTTTTTTTTTAATTTTTATTTTTATATTTTTTAAGGTTTTTGCCACAGAGGTGAATTCTCATCGAGATCAGATCATAGAGCTGGACAAAACTGGTACCCATTTGAAATACTTCAGCCAGAAACAAGACGTAGTCCTTATTAAGAATCTGCTGATTAGTGTACAGAGTAGATGGGAAAAAGTAGTTCAGCGTTTAGTCGAAAGGGGAAGAGCTTTGGATGATGCAAGGAAACGAGCCAAACAGGTAATTGGACAACAGCTGTTGTACAAGTCTTTGAACTTAGCTGAAATTATATCCAGACTCTTGAAGTATATGGTGCTTTAAAGCACTTTCAGCTTTGTCTGGGTTAGTGTAACAGACTCCGTTAAGTTAGTGGAGCAATTTCTGTGGTGCAATCATAGAGCACTTCATTTGGAAGGTGAAGTCTTCATTTTCAACCAGAGCAATAACTTGGGTCTGCAATACAGGATGATCTGAAAGAAGAAAGTTGCAGTGTGGGTTCCAGATGTGTAGTAGTGCCATCTGTCCGCAAAGAGAAGTTACACAATCAACCCCTTATATTTTAAAAATGTGATGAATACCTTTTGCTAGTCTGTAAGAGTATTGCTTAGAATTGCTTAGTATTTTCTTCCTTTATTTGCTTTGTCTCTTTGTTAATAATCATCACTTCCTCAGGTTCTTACGGTAGTTAACATAACATCATCTTCTAAGATCTCTCAATTTATTTCCTTAAAAACTTGTAGAGTTTTTTACAGACCTTTCCTTACCGGGGAGCATTCATTTATTTTCTTTAGATTCATGTTCCCCTCACTGAGGAACATAAATGATAACATGTAAAATGTGTGAGAGGAATGTAATATCATCAGTAAGAAGTTTTAGGTTTTCTTAGTCAAGTGAGGATTTGATCATATTCACAGTCAAACCACTTTCATTCTTCATTGTTACTGCTACTCAGTTGCTAGAATAAGAACTTTTCTAGGGGCATATGTTTGAGCAAACATTATGCCATAAAACGAACATTAAAAAAAAAAAAAATCCCAGCAATTTTTCCTGTGCATTTACACACATGGCAGTTCTAAAATGACATGTACAGTGGAAAAGATTTCAACTTCCTTCACTCTGAAAAGCTGTATGCAACTAGTTTTATTTATTTAGAATGACAACTGTCTGGGCAGAGTGAAGAAGGAATACTGACAGGTATCAGTTTCAAGGCCTGATCTGCAGCCCTGAAAAATAGGGCTGAATTAGTTCTTTATACTTTCATATTTAGGCAGCCAGGCAAAAAGAATTAAAAAAAACACAACAAAAAAAATGCAAAAAAAACCACAAAGAGCTATTAAAAATCTAGTCCCAAAGGCTTGCCACTTTGCGAAAGCTGGTTGAATCTTTAGTCTTACCCTGCTTCCTTTCCTGAAGTACTGTTGTTGAGAAAGGAAGGAAGATGAAAAATCTGTTCAGTGCCCACAAAGATAGCATTTGATACGTGAGAGCATTTTTGAACCTCTCAGGGAAGATCTTGGACAGTCATCCATTCAGTTTTCCCCAGTGATTTATAGCTGTTGTCCCATGTAGACGGTAGCAAATCCCCATTCTTGCTGTATTTTTATTCAGTATTAAAAATGTAGGAATTCAAATGACAAGCACATCAACGGGAGTTACGAGAATGTCTGTGAAAGGTGCATATTGGGCTTACATACAGACCGTACATGTAAGAGGTTACTAATTCATATGGGTGAAAGGAGGCTAAGTCCAGTGATTAAGTCCACAGGTTGGTTGGAGAGGTTAGGGAGAAAAATCACCCCAAGCCTTTCCCAAATACGCAGAGTACTTGCCTGCAGAGAACTGGTCAGGGCTGAATGTTTGTGGAGTATTTTAAGCATCAGTGTGTTCTTAACTCTACATATCTCACTTTTCCACAGTTCCATGAAGCCTGGCACAAACTTATGGAGTGGCTAGAGGAATCAGAGAAGTCTTTGGACTCAGATCTTGAAATTGCAAATGACCCTGACAAAATAAAGATGCAGCTTGCACAGCATAAGGTGAGTTGTGACTTCTGAAATGCAAGATGCCCAGTTAAATGTAAGTCTGTCAGCCTTGTACTGCATACAGTTAGCAAAGAAGGTGGACTTCTGGACTCACTGCAATGACAGTGTTATTAGCATAAAACTAAATGCCATGTTACAGGTGAGGACTCAAAAAAAATGCTTTTCAAAGAACTTGATCTGTGGTGGAATGATTAATTTTGAATAGGAAAGCCATAATTATACAGCACTATGAAAACTTTTTTTTTTTTTTTTTTTTTTTTAAAAAAAAGGAAAACAAGAAGTAATACTTTATCAGAGAAGGAATCTTTCTTTTCTGTCCTTACAGCACACATTTGCCACCCAGTTACTTCTTTGGGATTTTCCTTGTAATACTAGAGGATTATCTCAAGGATGAAAAATAATTGGCATTCTCACAGGCAGTTGCTTTTTAAGCATTATTAATGGAAGTTTCCAGAAAGTACAGTTGACACTGTTAGTAGAAAAGGTGCTTTCTCTGCATAGGATTCAAAATTCCAGGCACACTTTCCCACAAACCCAGCTACTACAGGCAAAAATGTAGCAATCTCCTCTGTTAATGTGGCTTTTCAAACAAATAAAGTTGATGTGAAGTTGAAGGGAGCTCTACAGTTACGTCAGTCAGAACAAAATGAAGGACAGAGGAAGTCTACTTCATTTTTACTTTTGTAAAGCCTTGAATGATGTATTAGTGAGAATAGTGTGGGTGACTGGTTGAATCTTCAGAGACAGGCTGTACCAATGATTTATCTTGAAGCAGATTTATCAGAGACAAAATGTTGAAAGATCTTTTTTTTTTTCTTCTCAATTCTGGCATACATTTACTTCTATTTTCATACTGACTTTAGTCTTCTACTTTTTACAGTATTATTTTATTTACAGAGTATACCCAAAGTTTTGCATCTCATCTCTCTCCCTCTGTGTGTAGTTTCTCATGATTGTTTTTTTTACCTCTGGCAAGTTTTTGCCCTGCATGAGTGGTTAATGCATCAGTCTGCTTCATATTTTTATAATTTTCATTTTTATTATGATTTAAGTATTGTTTAGGTATTGTTTATCCAGCAGGATAATGTTCTGCTTCAGTGTAAAAGAGTTGGCTGTTGGCCAAGCAAAAATAGTTTTACCTGTGTTTGGTGTTAAAGCTTTTAGATAAAACGTGCATTAACATTCTGTTGTGCTGAATCTGCAGTTGTAGTTTGTTCTGGGATCACTGTTGCCAGAACTTGAAGTAAATTCTGAGCATTTAGAAAAAGGTCTTTTGTTTAAGTTCATCTTTATCCTATTCTCTGACTTTATCAATATTTTAATCCCTCTGTTTCTTTCTTTTTTTTTTAAATAAAACGTTCGAACTTCTCGTGAGTACAGTCAAAACATTCTAACTTTTCTTTGAGGTCCTTTGAGGTCCTGGGGTTTGACATTCTGCCCTTCTTTTCTCCTCTCTTCAGAAGTTTTAAACTTCATATCCTACTTGTCCTTTATATGTATAGCAGCTCATTTTAGGAGCCCTGACTTCCTCATGCAGATTGGCATATTCATCAGTTCCCTCAATGACAGATTTTCTACATCTCCTTTATGCATTAAATAGCTGCAGAACATAGCTTCTTAAGTTCTTGAATCCTTTAATAAGGAGCAGGCAAGAATGTGGCGTGGGGACATTAGGACTGAAGCTGGTATTTTGGTGAAAAAGATAAATAAAGATAAATAAAAAGTGCATGAGAGAGGGAGACCCGTGAACTTTGTGACTTCAGACTTCAAACAACCGCCTTCCCCCATTGCCAAGAAATCAACTCGATTGTTTTCTAATGAGCTGTCAAACCTCCCAGCACTGCAATGTCCTTCCTTGTATTTTGAGTCTTTTCCTTCCACTCCCACATATACCCGTTTTGTCAGTCTTTGTCTTTTCTGTCCAACCTTGAAGGTTTCCTTGCTCCATTTAGTTAGTGATTTTACTATCTGAACTGAATGTGTGCTGTGTGTGTGCTGTAAGCAATGATTTGGACTCGCTCATTGCCAGTTGTTACTGCCAAAAAAAGAAAAAAAAGGCCCTGAAAGAGAAAAGCCAAGAAAATGTTTTCTGTCTCACTTACATCCAGTGCATTGCCAGGGACTTTTGGAGAGTTATTCATGGTCTGTTTATCAGCAATTTTCTTCTCATTTTTAGAAGTCAGGAGTGGAAAAACCCTTAGTAGGTCACCCATTCCATTTCTGTGCTAATGCTGGATGTTTCTTAGAATGCATTTATGTGAACCTAAGTAATTTTATCTGTGTGCTCCTGTCTTCATTAGAAGGAAGGTGAATAATTAGTTACTGAGATTTCATTCATGTTACCTGTCTGATCTTGGCAGCTGAAATGCCTTAAACCAAAATTTACTCTCAGTTATGCCTCTGCGATATCAAATGAAAGTAGATTTAGTATAGTGTGTGCAATCTCTCAAAGAATGAATTGACTGCAACCCTTTGTTCACTTTCAAATTTTTTTTTTTTTTAATGTATGATCCTCCTCTGACAGCAGTTTCTTTGTGCACATCAGGAAACGTCCATATGGCTTTCAGTAGTTAATAAATGTCATCAAATAAACAGGAGCAGTGACCTATGTGTTATTTGTGTTGATGGAACTTTCTGGTTATTTTCATTTTGAAAAGGGTTTTTATTTTTACTGTAGTTCAAGGTTGATAGTAGCATTTGTATTCTTACTTAAAACGTGATTCCTTGTTTTATTTGAGGAAAATGAAAGAATAGGGGGGAGACACTCATTGCAAAACAGATGCTATTTTTTTTTTGCTGACCAATTTCAGATCTCCAGTTCCCTCTGATTCCTAAAATAACCAGAAAACCAGGACAGTGCAGTGCAAAATATCAGGAACCTTGAGTCACTTTTGGTGAAGCAGGCAGTTTCTGTGGCACAACCCAGTGCCTACTTCTTTTTACTTCACGCATGCTTCCACTCCACCTGGCCTCGATTGCCATCTAAAAAATGTTAATGACTCTGTGAACACATGGGAAAGTTGGTGAAAGAGTCATAAGCTACCAGGGCCCAGCCTGGTGCACAGCAGCTGGGAGCAGCTTGCAAGCTGGAGCTGAGCGGTCGTGCTTGTGCTGGTAGGACCGTGTAGAATCTTTGCAGTTTTTATGTGCCCTGAGGAATTATGAATTTTAACTGATAATTATTTCCACGACAGATTTTATTATATTAAACATTGCTCTGAGAGACAACTGAAACTTCCATTTCAGAAAACAATGAGCAAAAACTGTTTTTTGACAGGTATTCTCTGGTATTTTTTTCTGACAGAATACTCAATTCTGGATATACAAGACTGTTTTTTAATTATTATTTGTTTTATTTTATTTAACTGTTTTTCTACTAGCAGTTCATGGAGATATGAAATAAAACACTTTAAGCATTACTGTCATTCAAAAGCTGCTGTGCAGGACTGATTGAATCCTTTATCAGTGTTCATTTATTTAATTATTTACCCTGTAATTCTGTTTACATCTCTGCTATTTCAAGATGAGCTCTGTTTCTGTGTGTTCTTCTGTTCTATGCAAAGCTTCCAAAAGCTCCTTGCCAAAGGAGTTGTCACTGTGGGCAGGCAAATGCAGCTGCTTTGTCACCTTTATCTTTCCGAAGTCCCTGGGTTACAGTTACGTTTTTGCTATTGTTACTTTTGCCTGTGTTTATTGAAATGTCATCTGGCTGCTTCTCATACCTAAATCTGTATGCTTTTGGCACACAATTCTTGCCTCCTGTAGCAGGTTTTAGTCTTAAGAGGGGTTAAATTCTTATGAATGGAAATCTCTCATTTTGACCACAGTGAGCTAAAAAAGAATGATCTTTGTAGCCTCTGGGGTGCTCTACACTAGTTGGAAATCTTAAAGTGTAGTGTAAAGAGTGTTTGGTTTAATGGCTCCCAAACTAGTAGTCCTTCCACATTTTTCTGTTTCTTGGGCAGCCTCTGGCTGAAATGTGGGATATAGGAGCTAAGGCAGGATGGGAATCATCACTCACTGAAGAAGGAATTTCCCAAATCATTCCTGTAGGTGTAGAACTGCTTCTGTTCCCAGAGAGGGATAAAAGGCACAGCCTCTGTTAGTGTCAAGTTCCATGTGATTTTATCTATGCTAACAAACTAAAAAAAAATTGCAGTATGCTTAGAATCTTCTTGCCACAATATTTACTATTTACATTGCAAATAGTTTGACAAAGATTAGTTCACTGTGATCTATAAGCATTTGATGCTATGTATGTATTTTTCTTCTATGTTCACAGGAATTCCAGAAATCTCTTGGTGCCAAACATTCTGTATATGACACCACAAACAGGACTGGACGCTCCTTGAAAGAGAAAACCACCTTGGCTGATGACAATTTGAAGCTTGATGACATGCTGAGTGAACTAAGGGATAAATGGGACACAATTTGTGGAAAATCAGTAGAAAGGTAAAAAAAAAAAACAAACAAACAAAAAGAAAACCAAAAAAACCCAATCCAATTATTCAACAGCTGAGAAGAAGGCTTATGAGAGTTCTTCTGTTTTGGCTTCTGTTGTGCAGAAGTAAAACCAGAGTGGCTTGTTTTGCCATTTAAGACCGGGTGGGAGGGGCAGATGAGCAGCCCTCATTTATTTGGAGAAAGTGCTTTGTGCTGGTCAATGCAAATGGACTGGGTTGCTCAATTAACTTCATTGGTAAATTCCTACTTGAGTGGAATCTCCAATGTCACTTCCAGGAGTCCATGTCTGAGAATAGCTTAGGGAAGCAAGAAGGAGGTCACCTCCTTCAGAGATGGCAAAACATGTACTCCTTGACTGTTCAGAGCTCAGAAAAGAATTGTGTTCATCCCACTGTGTATTTCAGCATCCCCTCTTCCCCATCCCTTCCTCCCCCCATTTAAAAAGGAGAACACTGATTTAAAGCTCTTGGTGGTTACTATTTAATGCTGAAAATGTTTTCTTAAAGTGTATTTTCTCAAAAGGAATGATTTTTAACTAAATTTATTCTTCTTCTTGTGTTCATTTCACTTCCCCAGACAAAATAAACTGGAGGAAGCACTGTTATTTTCAGGACAATTTACTGATGCTCTACAAGCTCTCATTGATTGGTTGTACAAAATTGAACCTCAGCTAGCAGAAGATCAGCCAGTGCATGGTGACATTGATTTAGTGATGAACTTGATTGACAATCACAAGGTAATTTCAAAAACTTTCATCTTCTTTAATTGCTAGACTGCTCCTAAGTGTAGCATTTTAGTTCTGTCTCATTATTTGGCTATTCTGTAATATTAGAAGCATGGAATATTTTTATAACATCTACATGTTGTTGACAATGGAAAATGCTATAAAACAGACTTGGAAGAAAAAAAAACTGCTAATAACTAATTGGCACCAATTAGCTGCCAGATATTCGATTTAATGCTGCTATCTTGTGTATTTATGAGTATCGTGTCAAGCATCACAGATTAGCATTTATGAATATGTGCGTATGGGAAGAGGTGTCAAAAATGATTTTACTGTAAAACTTTAGCGGAGGTAAAGACAGGATTTTATTCAGTACATCTGCTAACCAAATGTCCAGTGCAGTTGCTGTGACTACAGCAGCCTTTATGAAAAGAAAAGCATTGAATATTTCAACCCTGCAGAGCTGCTGTAAATTTGTGGAGAAGAGCAGTTGCAATGCTTAAGTCATGGTGCAGAGTTACAGAGCTAGACTAAGGCCCAGGAACCCTACATTTGCTGCATTATTTTTTCAATCAAGTGTTCTTGGAGATGGGAGCAAGTAGGGGATCTAGGGCTATGCCTCTGAACTGCAGTTCCTGTCAGTATGTCAGAGGGGACAGCTGATGAAGTTACTGGGATTGTGAAGTCTACACACATCAGAGTTGCTCTTCTACAAGTATCCGGTGACTGCTTGGTGAGAAGAAGACTTTGTCCTCTTGAAGAAAAAAGTATTTGGAAACAGAAGTTATCTATAAAAATTAGTCCAAAATGTGCTCAAATTGCTTCTGAAGTCCCGTCGTGTATCACAACTATGTCGTAATCAGCTGCATGATATGCTGCAGTTACCATATTTTAAGAGGTTTTTCTTCACGTAAGCGGAGCTCATTCTTCCCATGAATGTGAAAGTATTCTCATAAATATATGAATATGTAATGAGATCTACAGCCAGATCCTCAGCTTTTAGTTTTAGGTTTATGGTTTTAAACCTTCTCCTTGATTGTTAATGTTTTATCTGTCTGATCTTCTTGTGCTGTGGCAACCAAGCACATTAAAGCCAGTGTGGTAAGTTTGCTGCATTTCCCATGCATTGCATCAGGACGGGGGGGTGTTCTCAGGATCTGCCTGACATTTTCCTATTATATTCCTGTCTTATTAGGATAGAGTGGAGTGTAAATATCTTCATATGAAATCTAATGAGCAGAACTTGTGTGTCTTGCATCATTTTCAGTTATCCTGTACTGAACTAAATTCATATTTGTATTTCTTTTTATAACCAGTTGTTTTTCAGTTATTGTTTGTATTATTATGCCTTAATGTATTAAACATTTCAAACATATTTGGTGGTACCTAGGTTTTCCAGAAGGAGCTGGGAAAAAGAACAAGCAGTGTTCAGGCTCTGAAGCGCTCTGCCAGAGAGCTTATAGAGGGCAGTCGTGATGACTCGTCCTGGGTCAAAGTACAGATGCAGGAGCTGAGCACTCGCTGGGAGACAGTTTGTGCCCTGTCAGTATCCAAGCAAACACGACTTGAGCAGGCTCTCCGACAGGTAAAAGACTGATACCGATGCTACATGTCCTATGTGAGAAGTAGAGGACATACCATATAGTCTAGTTGACAGAAATTAAATTTTATTTTCACTTCATCTCACTAAATTTCATTTAATTTTGTTTGAAAATATTAGTTTTCTTGTTCATGCAGTTTACCTTTTCTTTGTCCCTTTACAACAATATATAAATGGTACCTCTTAGCATTTTTACTATACTATAAATACTAATCAAATGTTTCAAAAACATTACCATCTAAGGGAATCACTGAAGTTACAGATGAGCATGAAGAGTGGTTAGGAACTGCACTCACTCCCGTTTCAGGAAGCTGAAGATTGTAATCATATTTACACTCTTTGTGCCTTATTAAAAAGAAGTACATTTGTATACTAGAACCATTTTTACATTGACACAATTACAGAAAGAAATTGTGTTGTGATGAGTACACTCAGGAACTACAAGAGACTATGTCAGTATTGGCTAGTACCAGTCCTGAATTAATAGGTCCATCTGTATTGATTGTAAAACTGAAATACAGTGAACAGTTCTGTGAAGGCATACTATTTCAGGCTGATGCTTGATTGGAGCTCTAGCAATAGCAGTATATCCACTGCCTATAAAATTTCTGCCCTGCTATTCCCAGGGTGCTGTGTTCATCCAGCAATTCGGTCTCTCAGCAGGAAAAATTCTGAGTTACTTCAACACTAAATGTGTCTGAATATGACTGTGCCTAAAGGTGGAACTTTCTTTTTTTTAACAATCATGGAAAGGTCAGTCACCAATGGACTCTCAGTTGATTTTGCTTAACCAGTGATGTAGGCAATGCAGAAAATACAGTTCTCATTTCTCCAGCTGGTCCACAAGAGCACCGCCTGTGTAATTTGTCAGCATAAAGGCATGACATTCTCAACTAAGCTGCAAATATACTATAAATCAGATGGCTAAAAGCATGACTGGGTTTTTAGGCTTCCTATAAGTTTTTGGGAAGCATGAGATATTTTTACGGTTATGAAAATGTAATACTGTATATCATTGACTTTTTAATGGAAAGTTAATGTGCCAGTACTGCTGCGTGATTAATGGCTCCAAATCTGGGCTCAGTCTGCTTGTGTAAGCTGCAGTCTGTCTGTCAGGTCCCTTCATCCGTGCCCATGACTTTTTGTATTGTAACAGGCAGAGGAATTCCACTCTGTTGTTCACGTCCTTTTGGAGTGGCTGGCAGAGGCAGAGCAGGCTCTTCGTTTCCACGGTGTCCTTCCAGATGATGAAGAGGCCTTGCGTACACTGATAGATCAGCACAGGGTAAGCAAGAAAGTGAAGAGGGTCCTCTTTGTTCTAAGACATCTGTTACAAGGAAAAATAGAGGAAAGGAGGCAAGGTCTATCTCATGTAATCATATTCTGTGTGGAGCCAGGAGTTGGACTTGAGGATCATTATCATCCCTTCCAACTGGGGTTATTCTATGATTCTGTTTAGCATCCAGGATTTGTTTTTGCGACTGTTTCTATGTCGAAGTTAGACCTTTAATGAATTTGACAATTTTGTAACCATACTTATGCTGAGTTGTTGTTTGAGTCATTTTGGCTTACTAAGAAAACAATGGGCAAGTAGAAAGTTGCTGTAAACATTTAGAAACAGATTAATATATGCTGGAAAAATATCTGACAGTTATCACACAGGCAGTTAAAATAACAAAAGTGTGTCGTCTTAGCATCACTGAGCTAACCACCATATACTTTCGAGGTCATTTGTAAATGTCAGTGGAATGATATCATGCATTAACTTTCTGTCATGGTGGAACAGCACGCCTCATGTTTCATGCACATTAGGTACTGAAATGCTGCAGTGCCTTAGGTATTGCAAATACGAGATTACAAACTGATTTTGCAGTAGTGAAATGGAGCAATAGCTAGGTCAAGAGTCTAATTAAAAATCTTGAAGCTCCTATTTTCCCTCTACAACAAGGAGTCTACATACAAGCATGTCTAGGCCCGTGCAAAACTCCGTATAAGTGCAGTGACAGTAATATAAAGAATGTAATGTAAAAATAAAATTGCCAATGTTGTTATGGTATTCTTCACCCTGAAGAAAGTTGCAACAAAAATTTACAGTTAAAAAAGGAAAATCATCTTGATTAAATTGAATTTGGGAATAGTAGCACGCAGAATACTCACTAGAACAACACAACCTTGGTGTTAGATGTTTAAATTTGCTAAATCATGCTTAAAATTGTTGAATAGAGTTTAGAACATATTCTACCGCCACCATTTTCATTTTAAAGGCCAAATAGTAGAAATACAGGCAGATCTAGATCGTGAGATCAAAAGCTGGGCAATGGAAACGAGCATTGTCATTGCTTGTTTTCCTCCTGGCTCTTGTTTCTTTCACGATAATCTGTCACTGCAGCTCACCTTGGCCACTGCAGCCCACCTCAACCTTTCCAAAACCATTTTGAGCTGTAATACTACAGGAACTGGCAGGGTCTTATGAGGGGACTGGTGTCATGATTGAGACTTTAACCCTGTCATTAAACTATAGTTAAAAATAATTAGTAATTAATCTCAGTATGTACACAGCCTACCTATTCCAGGCATTTAGAACAAGGTACAATAGACTTTTTTTTGTACTTCTGTTTCATAATATGTTCATATTTAATTTGTAGAGGCATAGGATAATGTAATTATGATTTGTAGAACCTGTTTTTACAATATTCTGTTGACATTGAACTAAGATCTTACTTGGATGATCTTTAATTTTTGTAATCTAGGATAACCCTTAGTGGAGGGAGGGAAGAAGAGTTAAATTTTCAGAGGCATGGTTCAGTTTTGTAGCTCAATTAGGGATTGTAAAGTATTTAAAAAAAAAAAAACAACCAAAAAAACACCCCAATTCCACTATGCACTGGGAGACGTTGACAGTTTCCATCTCACTAAGACATACCAATTCACACAAGGTGTAGACATATATAGACAGAAAAAAATAGGTAGAATTGTAAAACCAATAAAGTAATTAAAATATATATATATATATATGTAGAACAAATAGAAAAAGTTTAGGTTTCTGGCTTTCCACTCTCAGTTCAGTTCCAATCTTGCCACCCTTCCTTCTGCCAGACTCCCGAGGAACATCAGTGGCTATGAACTTAGATGCTCAAAGCTGTAAACACCCTTTTGCTTTTAGAAGACTTTTCCCACATGGCAGAACCTCCGAAAACAGCTGCTTAATTAGCAGTCTCTGTTTCTGTTCTCTCTGAGTCTCCCCCTCTGCTGCTGAAGCTTTATGTTTGTGCTGGTTTAGTGTAGCTGCTCCTGAAACCCTGTCATCTTGTCTGAGCATGTAATTATAGTTGGACATCTCCAGCCTCTGTTAGGAGCCTGATAATTTATTATGAAGAATTACTGTAACTGACAGGCAAACAAAGTCTTCTGAAATGTTGCCAGTAATGAATCCAACCGTTGCATGGCTGATCTACAACACTGCTAAAATGGCATTATTTTCTTTCCTTTTGAATAAGGGGATGTGAATTTCCAGTACTTACAGCATGGTGGGCTATATGGAAGCCACATGCTAGGGTAAAGATTTTAAAGCTTCATTTACTACTTTATGTGGAGGAGTTTTGCGAAAGATTCTTAACTATTTTCAGACAAACAAAACTTGCTTCTCCGCCCGCGCCCCCCCCCCCCCCTTTTTTTTTTTCCTCTGGCCAGTTGAATCTGTTTAGACTTTGATTGATCCAGAGGCTTGTGACATTCTAGGTCATGCAGAAATTGTTCAGATTTCTCTTTCAACTTTTGCCAACATCTAGTTGAAATTGTTATCTCTGATTTAGGAGTTCATGAAGAAACTGGAAGAGAAAAAAGGAGAACTGAATAAAGCAACAGGTATGGGAGAAGCTATCCTGGCTATCTGCCATCCAGACTCCATCACCACCATTAAGCATTGGATAACAATTATCAGAGCAAGGTTTGAAGAGGTCAGTATATCTCAAGCCATCTTCTTTGCAACAGTTCATCTTAGATTGGAACACAGATAACAACTAACATGGTAGTTGTACTGAAAGGAAATATTCCAGCTGTTAAGAACTAAACATTTAAAATATCCACAGTGATGAATGTGAATACCATGCTTCCCTAGGCTTTATTTTAAAACTCACAGAACTTTGAGAACTAAAGCAGATGGTCAGGCTTCTTTGTTTGTGTGTATTAAAGGAAATAGTGCCTGACATCTCCCATGTTAGGAAAGCTAATAGTTTCCAAGGAGAGAAATGTAAAACGTGGGAAAAACTGCAAGGCAAACTTGAAGCATTTTCTAATTGCATTACAAAAGATTTAAGTGCAACATGTAATTAATCTAGGGGGTTTCTAAATTAGTGAAGTGACTATAACTGAGTTTCAATTGCTGAAGTATTTTTTGTGTGTATATGAAGTTTAAAAGAAAAACAAATACTAGTGTTAGCAAATTATGGCTTCAGGAGTGACCAGGAAAAAGACAGACCCCAAATCCTGTATGATTTACCAGCTTAGATGTATGGTCTGATCAGGTTCTTAGTCTGTTGCTCAACTGTGCTGTTTTCTGCATTTAATAGTATGTAATCCTGAGTGTCTGTGAAAAAATGTGGTTGAACTGGAAGTTCCACTTAGTGCCCAGCACAGTTAGTCCTTGGCCTCTACATCTTGCGCCTTTGATATTCAGTATAAATAGGGCTGGGCAGAAGCTGTTTGCAGTTAGCAGGACAATTCTAAATACGTCTTGAAGAATTTCACATTTGCATATATTGATGTGTTGCTTCTTTTATTAAGGTATTAGCTTGGGCCAAACAACATCAACAGAGACTGGCCGGAGCTCTGGCTGGACTTATTGCTAACCAGGAATTGCTGGAAGCCTTGCTATCCTGGTTGCAGTGGGCAGAGACTACACTTACTGAAAAAGATAAAGAGGTTATCCCCCAGGAGATTGAGGAGGTTAAAGCACTTATAGCTGAACACCAGGTAAGGCATGCTAAGTGTCATGTATGTCCTACATGTTCAAACAGACGCCCACATCTCAGCTAAGCTTTGTAATCAAATGTCAGTCCTTTAGCTATTTTCTCTTAATCACTGAATCATTTTTCAGATGGTTAATTGAGCCTTTACTGTGTATACAGTATGCCTTCAGTTTATTCAACATAGTTATGAAAAAGAAATTAATCAAAAATTTAGTCCTATACTGTTCCAGAAGCAAACTCCTCCTAGAAAAAGGGTTGATAATAACCACATAAAATAGGTGATAGTATTAGTGTTGCTGTCTGGCTTTATTGATGGATATCTAAAAAAATGTTTGTGAAGAACAAGAGGGAGCTACAGGTGTGGTGAATGCTCGTAAGCTTATCTCAGCTCACACACCAGCACTGTGTCATTTCTGAGATGTTCTCTGGACAGTAAAGAACACCTGAGTCAAAAGTCTGATGGTACACCTCCTCACCATACACACCTAAGGCGTAAAGGAGTTTCATAAACTGTTTTCAGATTTAGGCTTCCTTTCAGAGCTGGGCCATTGTGGTCCTAAAAGCTTTTACTTCTGTTTTGTGGGGGTTTATTTGTTTTTTTGGGTTTTTTTTTTTGTTGTTGTTGTTTTTTTTTTTTTACATACAGAAGCCTCTATTTTATCTCTGCCTGTTTTGTGAGATTGGCATTATTACCGTCTTTCTGTGTTGGTCTTGTAACTTTGGCATGTTTTGCTATTGTATGAGTCTTACATTCTTAGCATCACTTCTGTGTATTGTTAATTAAAACCACCTCTACCTGATTGCAGACATTCATGGAGGAAATGACCAGAAAACAACCTGATGTGGATAAAGTAACAAAGACCTATAAAAGGAAGGCACTTGAACCCACTCCTGTACAATCTCATATTCCTGTCCTCGATAAGGGGAGAGCAGGAAGTAAGTAATGAACTGTTTTGGGTAGGTCATACACACCATTGGTCTGTCTATGAAGAAAACGGATTACTAATAACCTAGTAAGTTTGATTAACAGCAGAACAGTCCAGTAAATATGGTGAAATTCTCTCTTGAGTGATTTGTCTAAATCTCCTGTATTTTTCATTGTGAAGTAACTTCCTGTAACAGACATCTGTTCTTAAATTTTGACCCACATTTCTTGAATATTTACTTTTGTAGTTTACAGACTTTCCTGTGCTACTAAGCTGCCAAGAGGGTGCTCGCAGTGTTTCTGCCAACCTGTAATTATTTGAAAGTGCAAGCAACTTCCTTTAAATAAAGATGTTGACACAAAATGTTGCTCTTTAGGTCCAAAAAACTCTATGGATCCAGGTAGAAATCTTATGATAAGCAAAGTTGAATGGAAAGTGAATCTTAAGTGAGGAAACTGTGTATTGTATTTTAGATATATTTACCCAGTGTATGGGTGCTGTATGGAACCTGCTTAAAAAATCAGATTGATTACTTCTTAATTGTCTATCAGAGACTTGCAAAGATTTGATGTAATCTGTGAAGTTTCACTAGTGCAGCCACTACTGGCTGCTTTGGGCTAGAGAAGAGTTGAGTACTTAACCCACCATGTGGTCCTTCCCCAGCAATGCTAAAAAATAAAAAATAAAAAAAAATTAAAATCTCATTAGTTGAAATCATATCAGGATTTGAGCTCATTATTTGTTACAAGGAGTGGTTTTAGGAAGGTTAAGTACCCTTTGTGTGTATGTTTGTTTTGTTTGAACTGGGTAAGATTTATGCATTTTATTGTGTTTTAACAGGAAAGCGTTCCCCCACACCAGGCTTATATCCATCAGCAGCCCAGGCACAAATTGAAACCAAGAATCCACGGGTCAACCTTTTAGTCAGCAAATGGCAGCAAGTCTGGCTTCTGGCCTTGGAAAGAAGAAGAAAACTCAATGATGCCTTGGACAGACTTGAAGAGGTCAGCAACGGGCTGCACAGAATACATATACTCTTTGCATAATTTTCTTTAACCAAGGTTAAATTGGCTATGCTCTAAACATTCTGTGTTTGTTGTATGATACAGCTAACTGAAAACATCACCATATGCTTTGAAAGTAGTCATTTTCATTTTAAATGTGAGGAGATAAAAGATTCTTGAGGATCTGAGTTAACATTTTAAAGAGCAAACTATTTGAAAGAATGCACATGATGTCTCTTTTTGATTTTCTGAATCTATTGATTTCAACTGAAAAATATTCTTTCTCTGTTCTTCTTGATTAAGCTGAGAGAATTTGCCAACTTTGATTTTGATATTTGGAGGAAAAAATACATGCGATGGATGAACCATAAGAAGTCTCGTGTAATGGACTTCTTCAGGAGGATCGATAAAGATCAGGATGGAAAAATAACAAGGCAGGAGTTTATTGATGGAATTCTTTCTTCAAGTAAGTTTTGAAATTAATTAAACGATGAACTTGGGAGAAGCATCTCATTAAGTCTTACTGTCTATAAAAGTATGCACTGTGTTTGATTGTGTCAGAAGGTCAGATTTTCTTCTTGAAGTAAGTTACTAATTATCATTAACTTTAGCTATAATTATTTTACTTTAAATATTTCTAGATTCTAGAAACTATTTCTGTTCCTAAGAACTCTTTACCCTTGTGGATCAGTAAAAATGTCTCATTTATAGTACTGGTTAATTAGTAGTTTACTAGACTATGACTATCATTTCCACAGTTCCCTAGGTATTTCAATGTTTAATCACTTTTCATTGATTATTCATAATAGTAAAACATACTTTATAAAACTTACAGATAATTTTCAAAAACAATTCATGTGATTTTGATATTTTAATTAAGGTATTTGCCATCGTGGAATAATTTCAGATGACAGAAGCTGAGGAAAAAAAAATCTGTTACTACCAAGCTGTTAAATTGCCTACTCATTTAACTCAGTTGATACCAACTTGCTACTGCTAAATACTCATTATTTCATTCTTGTTCACCATCCTGAAATTTTCTTTGACCATTTCGTAGAGAATCTCTGTATGAGTTGATAATCTGCTGTAGTGAACTTGTTCCAAAGAAGGATTTCACAACACACCATGCATGTTTCTTGAAGTGGGAAGGCCTTGCATTCTGAATTTAATTAGCATTGAAATTCTTGCTTGACCTTTCCTTGCTAACAGTTTATCTTGTTAATCTGTGATACTTTATGCGCTTTGAAGGTTAACATGTTAAAGTGCACAGTTTAATCTGTGCACTGTTTTCTCTATTCAAGACATGCCTTAGTATCACTGTCATATTCATTTTTACCTAGGTAACATTGGCGATCCTGTCTTTTTTTCAAAATGATGCCTATACTTTTTTGAAAGTCACTGGACTTTTTTTTTTTTTTTTTTTTTTTTTTTAAATGAGCATCATCACCCAGTGCCTGAAAAAGCTTTAAGGTTTGTGATAAAGCCATTCATGACTTTGTCAGTATTCATGACATTGAAAAACCAACTTTGCTTCTGTCATTCTTGTCTTACAGAATTCCCAACAAGCCGACTTGAAATGAGTGCTGTTGCAGACATTTTTGATAGAGATGGTGATGGATATATTGATTATTATGAGTTTGTAGCAGCTCTTCATCCAAACAAGGATGCTTACAAGCCTCTCACAGATGCTGACAAAATTGAAGATGAGGTACATTCTCCATTTCATGTGATAACAGCCTATTCTACTAGCATCACGTTTTTCAATTTTGTTTTCCACCTATATAATTTAAAGCAGTAATTTTAAATTTAAATTTAGCAGTAATATTAATCTATTAAAGGATAGTATTATCAGTACTAATACAGTGGCATTCATTTGCAGGTTACAAGACAAGTAGCTAAATGCAAATGTGCAAAACGGTTTCAAGTGGAACAGATTGGGGATAACAAGTACAGGGTAAGTCTCCTAGGGACCTTCTTAGTTCTTTGAGCTTAAAGATTGTTCCTGTGACATGGATCTGCAAGGATATAGGCTATAGTAATTTACAGGAAATTTAGAACAATTACTTATTTTCTTATTGTAAACTCATCTCACTTTTATATGTTGTTGTTTTTTAGAACATACAGACTAAAAGTATGGAAAGTGCCTCTGTGTATTTTTCACTGAATGTACAGGAACTATTTTCAGTGTATTGGGAATTTCTAAAAGCTGACTGCGTACATACATGCATGCATACAACATCTTCTTAAGATGCAGTCTTTTTTTTCTGGGTACCCAAAGTATTTAGACTGTAGCTGGTTTTCTACTAGTATGATAGAAACAATGACAAATACTTTCCTGTAGTATTGTGTTGCACTTCAAAAATCTTTGAGAAGAGTGGGTTTGATCACTTATTTTATGGAGCGCACTTTTTTTTCTGAAGAAGTACAAGAAATATGTTAGATAACTGCTGAACAATTTTCAATCACAGAGAAAAAACTCAAGTAGAGAAAGCTCTGCCACCCATAGATTCAGTAGCTAGAACAATTTCAGATGCAGTGTTTGGCTAGGAGTTACTAAGTGCTTGCTGATGATTTTTAAACACCACAGAAACAGCAGTGGAAGGAAAGAAAGGCTTTGAATGTTCTTCAGTGTTCAGTCTTCGGGTAGCTAGCTACCTGTTCATCTCTGAACTAGATACTTTATTTAGAATGTCTGATGTGTTAGTTTGCATGTGTTCTAGAACCATGTAGAGAATTTTCTGTAAACTAATCGTGTCTTTCTTCCATTTTTCATTTCTTATCAGTTCTTCCTGGGAAATCAGGTATAAACCAGTGGAATGTGTTATGAAGTTATCCTTTATTTATTTATTCATTTATTTATTTATTTATTTATTTATTCTTCCTCTAACACATAGTGGTTTAAGCTTTGCAATGGTCCATCTTACCATCCCTTCATCTTCAGCTACTTTCATTGCTGGTCAGCTGTGGTGCTTCTTTAAATGCTATAGAGCATTCCTTGTCTCAGGATTTCTTCCCTTCAACCTCCCAGCCTGCTTTTCCTGACCATCTTCCTCAATAAGGAGATTACTTTTAAAGGAACCAGATAATGGTCAGCAGGAATTTCTGTATTAAAAATCTTGAGTTTTTAAATTTCAAGTTTAGAATAACATTATTTTATCAGTTATCAGTTTTATAGTGGAGTGATTCAAAAGTCTATATTTTGTTTTTTAGGCTATCACACTAAAGACCAATCACAGTAACCATGAATCCAATGATGATATCATTTATTTATTGCAACTCAAGGTGAAAAATATTCTCATTTTTAATAAAACCCCTGTGCAATCAAGCAGACTGATTAAGAACCTAATTGATGGTTGGACCTAATTGATGCTGTGGACTAACAGAATGAATTATTCAATACATATTTTGGACATTGGCTAAAAAAGCTTGCTGCTTCAGCTTAGACTGTTCCCTTTTTTTGTGTGTGTGTTTTTGAAGAGCTATAAGAAGTCTGTAATGTATTGGACCTTTATCAGCTGGCTAATCAGTAAGTCAGGTTGCAGTGGTGCTGTACAGTACCACTAATTAGTGCTACTCCTGTGGCATATACTGCTGCTTTAATTGTTAGATCGTGGTGGCCTGGTGAGAATGGAAATAGCTTAGGCAAAAGGTAGCTGTTGTCATAAGGATCTTATACGTGTTTTTATAGAGACAATAATACAGAAAATCCATTCTGGATATTCTACTGTTAAAGGCATTAGCCACTTTAAATCTAGAGATGTTGAAAATGTAGTTGCATTTTCATTTATTGACAAAGCTTGTTGAAGTGTGGAAGAAAGCACAAAGAGCAGTGGATAATCTTACCACATGCCTCAAGCAATGTATCTAAGTAATTCTTGAAAATGTTTTCCATATATAGAACGTGCCTTGATTTGAAAAGATTATTTGAAATTGTGTTAATCCTCTTATTTGCCATCTGTACTCACAGAACTAAAAAAATACAGCTTTTTTTTTTTTTTTTTTTTGAGAGCATCCAAATTCTGCTTGTGCTAAACAGCATCACAGTGAAATCACCTACAGCAAGTTGGCCAAGTGGCAGTGGTGTTATATGGCTTCTGTCAGAAGAAGACTTCTTTGTAGATTAATTCCTTGCAGTTTTTATCTCTATGTTTTTTACCTCTGATTTTCAGTTATTGGGAACATCTCTAAGTATTAAAGGAAAGTTGGTGTCTAGGCTGTTTTGATAAGGAAGTTGACTGAGTTACCATTGAGAAAGTGCCTTGAGAGGCACCTCTGTTATTCTCCAGAAGTCCCAGTGTCTGAATTAACTACAGCCTAGGCAGTTACTGAAGGACATGGTATCTGTCGCTTAGTAGAGTTGCTTGATGGAGTCTAAATGAAGAACTAAGCTGAAAAGGGGGGAAAAAGTAAAGAAAAGAAGAAAGATAGAGTCTTTAGAACCACCTGAAAATACTCCTTTGAGAAATAAGCCAGTACAAATAAACAGCATCAATTTGGATGCCATTTTAAATGTAATCTAGATTTATAAACAACTTTTTGGTATCACATTTATTGAATGAAGGATTAAAAAGCCCTTACAGATAATAATTATTTGAATGTTCTTATTTATAACAAATTCTTTTCTGCTATCAAATTAAGCAGCAAACTTTGCTTTGTTTGGTTCCTAAAAGTAATATTCCTTTAAACATATTCTCTCTCCTTGGGTTAAGAAGTACGAAACAGCCAAACTTGTAGGGAAAATATTTGTGTGTTTTACACTTAAAGCATTTCAGTCCCCTTACTGAAGCAAGTAGGTACAGCTGAACTATGGATAGCTTTCTCCCAGAATCAGAGCAGATATTGTACCAAAAATACGTAGTTGACTCCTATTGGTTTCAGTAGATGCTCTGCATGTTTGCATGTAAGAGCCCCTGGCCTGATGATCTGATGTCAAAATAAATATTTTACTGACACTGGTAAAAAAAAAAAAAAAAAAGAAAGAAAAAGAGCAACAACAACAACAACAAAAAACCTGATGAATTCCTCTAGTTAGTTTTCATGAGATTGAGAGCTCAACATTTTAGTTGCTTTTTCTTTGATCTAGGTTTGAACTGAGGTACTGCATGCAGATTTTGTTATACAGACATAAAGAACAAGCATATCTTAGGCCTGGACATCAACCCTAAGGAAGAACCGAACAGTAGAGGAGTTAGTGTAAAATAGGCTTTTGTGCATCTCCAAATTGTGAAGAACCTCAGTGTGTAGACAGAGGAGTGACAGTTTCTAAGTGCTTGTAAAAGATAGTTATGATAGCTGAAGATGACACCTTGCTCTTTTAATGTTCTTTTCCTCTCATGTACCTAGCTACAGGGGAGCAATGTTGATGCTATAACCTGAAAATATCCTTCTAATTAATCAACTGAATAGTGCAGCACACATTGTAAATTTAATTTCTAGCCCTTTTACTGATCATTAAAAGCAATACTGCCTTCCTTTCAGCTGATATCATTAACAACCAGATTATTGTGTAATTACGAGAGTTTGTGTAAGATTTCAACAATAAAATAATGCAAATGGGTGTTTGTTAATTTGTACGTATGCAGACTGTAACCAATTAAATGGCGTGTTACTAATTTTGCTTTCTGTTTGACATCAGACATTTCAGAATCAACCATAAAATTAAATCTGAAATTCTTTCTTACCATCTTGCCATCTCCTTTGGATTAATTCAGCAGCATCTGATTTGAAATCTTAACAGCTTTAATAATCTGCATAAATAATGAGTTTTAGCATTTACTAATTATCAAATATAAAAACAAACTTTTTAAAAATGTCTAATTTTTAAGCTATGAGCATTGAACTGTATCTGAATGACTGAGAGGCTCAGACTGTTGTTTGATTTTCTTGCAGTTTGGTGACTCTCAACAACTACGCCTTGTTCGTATCCTAAGAAGTACAGTCATGGTTCGTGTTGGAGGTGGCTGGATGGCACTTGATGAGTTCTTAGTGAAAAATGATCCTTGCAGGGGTACGTAACAAGATTGCTGAAATGGACGTGTAGATAATTGTTTGGTTACAGGCATCATTCATTGTCTTGAGATAGAAATGTATGAAATGCCAGTTCTGTAAACAGCATCTCACTTAATGTCTCATAATGATCTGTTTTTGTAAACTTTAAATCCCATAGTTAAGATCCTCTGCACTTGCACTCATGTATGTACAGAATAACTGTGGTGTCTTCTGCGCAGTTTGTCCACCAGTGTTAGAGCAGTGTAGTTAAGAATTGAACCTAGCCCAGCTAGAGTTTATAGCATGTAAGCTGCTTGTATGACTTGGCAGAAATAGCATAAGATATGTCCAATTAAACCTTCTTAGCAGGAGGGAAATGTTCAGGCCGTAAATCAAAAGAAGGCAATTGAATTGAAAAGAATAACAACAATAGAAAAACTTCCCTCACCAGTGGCTGCACCCACGCTTTCAGTCTCTGCCTATGTAGCCCTGTCTCCTCATTGGCATTCTCCCCAGCACCACCTTGCAGAACTCTGAGCCGTGTACAAAGCAAATAGAAGTTGCTGTGATCAGGAGAACTTAGTGTTCTGAGGAAGCAGGGAGTGCTCTATCACCATACACTCCAGGGCATTGTGTCAAATGGATTGTTTTATCAGTACTTGGAGACTTAGTGACATCTTAGTTTGCCTACTTCTGTGGAGGGAAGGTAGGTAGGCTCTGTCTGGCACCATTCCTGGGAGAATATTAGGAGACAGAAAGGAAGTCATTTGACAGTGTAGTTAGTGGAAGAGATGCAAGTCAAAGAATAGTAAGAATAGTAAGATTCCAAAGAATATTGTGTTCAGACTCAACTAATGTTGCATAACTAGGTCATTCTATCCTCTTAAGTAGCAGAATTAAATTCACTCCAATTTACCTCTCAGGAGTTCTCTGAAATTACAGTCAATGCTGTAATAGCATTGAGTTCAAGGGAGAGACATAGTAGTGAAGAGAAAGATGTTGACTGTCCTGTAGACTTTGCTCCAGAGCCAGCTGTCTGATGCAACTTCTGCTTTGGCACTGGGGTTTCTAAACAGATCAGCATAGAACCTGAGAGGGTGCACAGCTTGTTTTTGTACCACTTGCCATGCTAAGACAGGGATGCTAAAAAAGAAAAGAAGCTACCACAGAATCCTGTAAGGGCTGACAGCGTGTACCACTCTGGCCTGGAGACTTCTGTCCATAGGCTTGAAAGGTATCCATAAAACTTCAAAAGACCTATTATAACCCTCTGATGATATCTCTGAGGTTTTCAGCAGTATGAAAAATAGATCTTTTGCTTACCGTCTTACTACGTACCAAATGCTTGTCTCACGCCTATTGATGGGCACACTGTTGTAATTCCTAGTTGAGTTTATGCTGAAAGTGACAGCAATGAATACCTAGTTAATATATATGATTTCCTTATTACCCTATCTTCATATAGTGAGACATTTGGAACTAGTCACTGTTCCTTCCTTCCCTTCTTCTTTAACGAGCCTTGTAATTTACATACCTCTATAGTACTTGCTACTATGCTTTGCCCCTTTTTCATGGGATGTACATGCACAGATGTGTAACTCAACATAGTGAGAAAGGAATACTGATCTCTATAAAATCATCCAGATGCTGAAAGGTGTCCATTGGTACATAATCCTGATTAGATTGAAGTCAGTGATGTAAAGTAGACTATGATCTTAGTGGTGCAGGTTCAGGCTTTTCTTTGAGCGCTTGGCTTAGCAAATCTGCATTTCTACCAAGAGCTTCTCTTACATGTAAATAAACTACATTTCAGAGAACTGTTGTCATAAACAGATTAAAATATATTTGGCCTAGTAACATAAAACTTTTAGCCTGTATTACTTCTTTATGTCAGCAGATAAATACTACACGTGTATTACTTAGGACTGCAATTGAGTCTACCCAAGCCCTTTTTCCTTTTGCTTAGGAGAATGTTGAGAGCTCACCTCAGAGCACTTAAAGACAGCTTTTGCTCTGAGTCCTGTCTTTTGGCTCCGAGTCCCTTGCATATGCAGCTGCTATACTTGATTTCTTCTCCTGCTAACAATTTTCTTTAATGTGACCCATGTCCTGTGTCATTTTTTCTAGTTCATCATCACGGGAGTAAAATGTTACGTTCGGAATCAAACTCTTCAATTACCACTCAGCCTACTATAGGTTGGCAAATCCCTCTCTTTGTCTTCTCCTTCTCTTCTCCTTTCTCTTCATTTCCTTCCCATTTATATATATTTATATATATGTTTAACTTTTAATATGCCTCACCCGTCACGTTTAGCTTAATGTGTTCCTAAATGGGCTGGTGCTTTATGAGCTTTTTTTTTTTTTTTTTTTACATGCTTGAAGACTTTCAAAAACAATTGTCATTCACACTGATACACTTAAATGCTAACATTCTTGCATCTATTCTTGCGGAACATTCTCTCATATCTGTGTGTGTGTATGTGTGTGTGAGTGCTTAGTCACCAATTACTTCATTACAGTTTGGATTTTGTGTTCATCATTGCATGTTGCCAAACTACGTAATCTCATAGTTTTAAATTGCTGCTTTCCTGTAAATTTTACTTAACAATTTCTCCTGGAACATCCAAGCAAGTATTATTTATAATGAGTAGCTGTGGAATTAGCAAAACTGCTCATCAGGTTCTGTCTGTGTATTAGTAGATGATTGATTAACAGTGATTTAGCACGTTGAGCATTCCATTATCACGCTGACTTCCTTTGACAGTGGTTCATTCCTGCTGGCATAAAGTATTAGAATAAGCAAGTTCTGCACATAATTCTCCCGTGTCCAAAATAAATGCATTACACAGTAATGCATTTTATTTCTTGTAAAAATGTGTTGGAATCGGCATGGCGAAAATGACAATAAACAGCTTGGTGAGTTTCATCTCTCACTAAATGAACACCCTTCTTTGCTGCAGCTAAAGGGAGGACAAATGTGGAGCTGCGTGAGAAGTTCATCTTGGCAGATGGTGCCAGTCAGAGCATGGCAGCTTTCAGACCAAGAGGCCGTAGATCACGACCCTCTTCACGGGGTGCTTCTCCCAACAGGTCTACTTCTCTGTCAAGTCAGGCTGCTGCCCCACCACAAGCAGTTGCTACAAGTACACCAAAGGTAAGGAAAAACAAACAAAACAACATAGTGTAACAAACGGAATGTAGGTTTTTTTGTTGCTTTAACAAAATTGAAACTTTCCCTAGATGACAGGAAAGAAGCATCTCAACTTTATTTCATATTCTGTGAGGATATCAGAAGTATTTTCAGTGTATTTCCCCTACTGTTTGTTTGCAACACAGGAATAGAAGATTTCCTTTAAGTTCCTAAAAGTATTTAATGTGTTACTGATGACTTGGGAATAAACTCTGAAATAGCAAAAAACCTCTCCAATTCATATTAGAAATAAGCTCTGCCATCTTTGTTTCAGAACATTTGTCATCAACTCTTCTTACTTAGTTTTTATTTTTACTACGAGATTTGATCTCCCTGTGTAAGCCTTTTCCATGACATTGTTTTCCATCTACTGTCCTTCATATTTTGATTTACCATTGTTTCATACAGACACCACATCATTTAACACGCAACTATGGTAAACCATGGTTGACAAACAGCAAAACGTCAACTCCTTCTAAGCCAGCAGAATCCTCAGACTATCAAGGGTCATCTGGAGAGGTACAGTAAGGATAGAGATTCTAGTCTAATCATCTTCCTTCACTAAAACTTTAACTTCACTAACAACCACTAGAGTTTCAGTGCTTCAGTGCTGCAACAGCCCTTACATATTAATGCATTGACTTTATTTTAGGCCTTTGCAACTTATTCATTCATTGCCTTTTTTTCCCCCAAGACTTCTTTTTATGTTCTGTTTGTTACTTTTCAAAAATTGAAAACTCAGATTAATTAATTTTCATCTCCTATGAAAAGCCACTAAATAAAGAGATAATCAATCTTTGTAAACAAGATTGCACAAAATACTCATGGTGATATAGAAATTTTCCCAACAGCTGAAAGTGTGGTCTAAGGGGGTAATGACCAGTCATTGCTCTAATAAGATAGCTATTTGATGACTTACAGGAAATGAGCTTGGGTCTTTTTTCCAGACTATGACTTAAATAAAAGCTGCCAGTATAGCAACTAAGGTTGTGCTGGTAATTGAGCTGAATGGCCAAAAATTTGAATGGGCTTAGAGCCAAAGTGTCTTCTCTAACGCCACTGCAGGCAGAGAATAGGTTGCAGCTGGAGCAGCTGCAAACTGACTTTTTACTTGTAGGTGTTACTCTTGCCCTAGTTTGGATAGAGGGCTCAGTGTGGAGAAGCTTAAACTGCCATCCCCGTTTTTGTATCTGCTTTTCACAAGTCTGCACTTTGATGTCTATTGCTATTCATTTGATACCTTCCAGCGCTAAATTTACATGACCTCTGTGTGGCTTTACTCAAAGATGCATAAAGAACTTTTCACTCCCTCCTTCTTGTGCAAATGGGTGCATTTTTTGTGCACACTGCAAGCATATGTATGTATACATTACTTCAAGCACGCAATGCAAGGCTGTTGCTTTGGATGATTAGCAACAGGACAAAATAAAATCAGTTGTCTGTTTCTAATCTACTGTATTTTCATCTCTTAGCTGGCAAATAATTGTAAGATTAATTGATGGTACTTAACAGATACAAGAAATATGCATGATGTGAAAGCAAATGACATTGATTTCAAATGGGGGCACTGTATTTCTCATCTGCTGTTACAACTGTCAGTAGTTTAACTGAGTTTCTTTTATGTAAAACACCATGAATTAAGATTATAAATGAAATGGTTGGGATTGGGGGTAGAGAATTTCTGAGAGATTCTGCTGCATTTTCTGCCCAAGAGCAGTTAAGTATTGTACGTGTAGACTGGCAATGGGTATAGGGCAAAAATGAAGAACAAGTTTGATCTCTTTTTCTTTTGTCCTGGTTATTCTATCCCAAGGCCTTCACCAAAGTGCAGCAGCTTTATCAGGGTGATGAAGAGATTTCCCTTTCTGTTAATCATCCCAAGCAGTTTCTGTAGAGCAGAGGTTTCTAAGGTGTGGCTAGCTGGACAATCTTAGCCCGCTAACTATTTGTACTTGGCTTTAAAGAGAGTTAATATTGTGACCATCCCTGTCAGATCAAGCAGATTGTCTGCTCTGTAGCATCAGTATGCTCTTTCTTTCAGCTGTGCCAGAAGTGGTCCTGGCTGGCGGAGGGCCAGAAGCTGCAACCAGGCAGCCCCTGCTGGGCCCCTGCTCAGGGCTTAGCTTCCAGCAGCTCCCAGCTCACTCTGTGGACTGTGGTTTTCAATATCCAATTCTACCCCACCATTGTATGGATCAAAGGCATGGAACACTGGTCCTGGGGGTCTGGGCCACTTAAAGGGCCATATTCATCAATGAAGTATTTCTTCTTTGGGGATAATTACTTAATATTTTTCTGTTTTCTAAATTAATGGGAATACTGCAGTTTTCTTCTTATTTGCATAGAACTCCTATCTGGTATGTGACATGTGTTTTGTGATTTGAGAAATGGGGATTTCATTCTTGTGGCACTGAAAGAAATCTTCCTGTTTGGGGCTGATAATAAATCAAGGCTTGTTTTATTTCAGAAATGAGAAAGGCAGGTAAAGCTATGGAGCAGAGATGTTTCAGGCAATGTTTTGACAGCAAGGACTTTTTGAATTAGTTGTGTATTTTTCTTCTGCACTGTGGCAAAAGATTTTGAAATTAGGTAGTTATGTTTTATATATACTACCAGGTATTTATAAAATTGTAACAAATGCACTACAGCAACAATTAGAATGGTGGAAGGTCAAGCTATACAGATGTAAATTTTCAGCTGCTTCATTAACTGAAGTCATGTACCATCAACTAATCCTATGTTTTTAACTAATGGTAAGAAAGTAGCACTTTTCTTTTTATATGTGCACTGAAGTACACACAATGGCTTAGATTTTAATGTCAAGTAGCCTATTAAACTGTTTCTTGATTTACTTTTAGACTATTTAAAAACTAACTACTAAAGGAATGTTCAGAGCTTCACTTCATTAAAAATGTCCATACTGACTCAAACCAGTATTTCAGATTCACAGTGAATGTTGCTAAGATAATCATATTCCAAAATCATATTCCAAGCTATGTAACACCTATTACTTGGCCACATCTCCAGTAGCAAAAATAGAGAATATTTGTTTGTTTGTTATTTTTTTCGATAGGGAACACCTATTCAAGGAAGTAAACTCAGACTGCCAGGATATCTATCAGGGAAGGGTTTCCACTCTGGAGAAGACAGTGGCATCCTGTCCACAGCAGCTACCAGAGTCAGAGCTCAGTTTGCAGGTGAGTTTCCTAACTTCAAAGCTTGATGTACACCTTGCTTTATTTGGCTACCTGGATACCCGTGAGTCAGCTTTGAAATGTGAGGAAGATTAGTTGGAAGAGTGGGAAGGAGAAATTGTCCTATTGTTTCCACATTATCATTGCCAAGGTTGCACATAATCAGGGTAATGGTCTTTTATTCACATGGTTGAACAGCAGTTATGTTATGTTCAGTGCCAGATGTGCAAATTCATGACAGAAATTCTTGGTGATGCTATCTCCAATATCTCTGCCTAAAGAATTAAGAAAGAAGCATTTGCTTAAGAATAAAGAGTTTACTTCACTTTCACATTTGAAAATAACTTCAGTATCCAAGTGATGTTCAACTGTGATGGAGCAAAGGGGTCATTTAATCATGACTTGTCTGTTTTCATTGCAAGAAGAGCTGCAGGGAGCAGCTGTAGATGATCTTGTTAATGGAACATCCCCTAGAGATTTTAAAAACAGTGTATAAAAAACAGAAAGTGTGAAGCTGTGCTCTTCCAGGATCTTTAGAGCATGGTTGGCTGGGTGTTGAGAGCAGAAGATAGCTCTACTACATTTCCTGCATGTCTTGAGCTCTATGGAGCTTACCGATCAGTACTGGAAAATCCTGCTCAAACAGTCTATATCTTTTAAGTTAGAGGTGATATGGAAAAATGAGCCAGCTGAGATTTCAGCTTCAGCTTGTTATTCTTTGCCCTTTCAGGGAATCAGATTTGTCGAGATCAAAAATGATTCAATAAGTAATTGGAAAATTATGAAAACCCACATTAATGTTCTTCTGTTTAAGATTCTTTGTTGTGGTTTTTTTCTTCATGGCACATTGTCTGGACAAGCTTTCACTTTAGAAGGCTTGCAGAGAGCCCATATACTAAGTCTGTCTTTTTGGGAGAAGGTACAGTCTTCCCTTGTTTATTTGCAGCTTTCAATATTGTGGTTTTGATTTGGAAAACAAAAAAGACGGTGGGGTAGAAGTATACATTTAAAAAATGGGGTTGTCATCTGCATGTCTTATTTATGTGTTCATAGAACCATAGAAGGGCCTGGACTGAAAAGAACCACAATGATCTAGTTTCAACCCCCTGCTATGTGCAGGGTCGCCAACCACCAGACCAGGCTTCCCTGAGCCACATCCAGCCTGGCATTGAATGCCTCCAGGGATGGGGCATCCACAGCCTCCTTGGGCAACCTGTTCCAGTGCATCACCACCTCTGTGTGAAAAACTTCCTCCTAATATCTAACCTAAACCTCCCCTGTCTTAGTTTGAAACCATTCCTCCTTGTCTTATCACTATCAACCCATGTTGATTCATCAATCTTCAGTTCTTGGAGATGCCAGATACTTAAATGTTCCAGTTCATAGTTGAGAAAATGGTTAAGAAAGAAAGGATCTAGCTGTTCATAATCAATAGATAATACATGTCTAGTAAGTCAAGAAGAGTTGGCAGGATAATTTTCTTTAACTGGATGTGCCAACGATAAATTTCCTACGTCTCAGCATTCTATTGCATTTTCCCTTCTTTTTAGTGAAAGACAGCATTGTTTTGTGCTGTTGTGTTAGTATGAGGGCAACTTTGATTATCGTCTGGCTTATCTGGCAGAAGTCTGAAATCTACTTTGTGCTGTGAGAAATTTTTGGGATTGCCAAAGACTTAGCAAAGAGTTGCACACCTTTTGCATCTGTACCTCTAATGCTGCTGGGTACCTTTTCTTTCTAGAAACCAGGAGAACTCCAAGCAGACCTGGGAGCCGAGCGGGAAGCAAGGCTGGCAGCAGGTCGAGTAGCCGCAGAGGCAGCGATGCATCTGACTTTGATATTTCAGAAATCCAGTCTGTATGCTCAGATATGTCAGAGACTGTCCCAGCTACAAGCAGACCGACACCCCGAGCAGGTTCTCGGCCAGGATCAGCCAAGCCTTCTAAAATTCCAACTCCCCAGAGAAGGCCGATAGCCAGCAAATTGGACAGGTCCTTGAAGAGATAATATGATTAGCTTCATAAAGGTTTTTTTTTCCTTTTGCGTTAAGTATTTAAGTTCGTAAGATGTAAAATATTCTGTAGAAATCGTTGTGAAATATCGCAAGAGGTGGATTTTTAATTCTGCAGATGGCCTTATTTGTGTATTTGTCTTCTTATTTTATGTGTATAATTTTTGTCAGATTTGTTTTTGTTTATGCCATATCCTGTGAGGAGGGGAGAAGAGTTTTAATGTAAACTAACAGTTGTACACAGTAATGTGTAGAAAGTACACTAAAAAATAATTACCAAATGTACAGTGTACTGAATGTACAGTAAATCTCTGGAGCCTGAAGAAAATAGACCTATCACTATGTCATTAGTTAACAGTAAAGGATACCTCAAGATTTTTCTTTAAAAAAAGAAAAAAAAAGAATACTAAAAAGCCAAAAGACACAATTGTGCATTTTGAGCTAATGAAACAAACACTAAAGGACGTGTGTCAAAGCTACCGAGGAATACAGACCCACAGTCACAGTACCCTTATTTATACAGCATCTCTCAGAGAACTCACACAGTTAAGCACTTGCCAGTGATATGATACTCCAATACCTTGCAGCGTTTCTGTGCCATTGCTTTCGGTGAGGCCAGACACATTCTGGATATCGGAACTATTATTCTATAAGAATATCAATATAAAGTGCATTCATGTAAATGTGAGGTTTTCTTTTGCTTGAGTGGATGGTAGCACTGTATTATTATTGAACTCATTTTGTATCAAAGCAATTTTGCTTGCAGAAGGCTCTGAAATAAACATGTCCCTTAACTTTATTTCTACAGTATTTCTTATTTCACAGGAAGATCAATTTCTGCATTACATTTTAGGGTACGTTATTTCAAATGATAATTACTATAGGAACATAGACTTTAATGTAATTTCCAATTAACGGCAATCACATTTGGGTTAGCTGCTGTGTGTGTTTAATAAAACACTAAATTGCACATATCAGATGATATGAAATTATGTATAATTATTGTGTGTTGATAATTATTTTCTCCACGTTAAACTGTGAGATATATATACACCATGTATGAAAGGCATAAAGAGTAATTCTGTTGCTCTTTTTGTCAATGAAATATTTTTGCGATTCATTCATTTGAGAGAATAATAGTTTATTTTTAATGGAAAAAGGATGCAGCTTGAGATAGGAGTGCTGTACAACAGCTGGGTGGATGCTGTAGTAATGACAGAATCCTTAGAGATTCAAAATGCTCTTTGATAATATCAGAAAGACACACTAAATGTTCAGCTAGTTTGACAGATCAGACAGTTTAGGTCTGACTGTTTATGTACCAAAAAATGCCATAGCTTTAAGTAGAAGAATGTTAGGAGAAGGCTGGTTTATGATGGGTCTCGTAGTGTTCAGCTGATTACCTATAGGCAATATGACATCTGCATTCTCTGCTAACTAGATCTCATTAGAAACAAGAGCTTTCTGAAAATACAGAGTTGAATCCCCCAGTCAGTTCATGAGGAACTGAAAAAATAATTCTCAAAAGAAGATTCAATCAATCAAAATCCTCTTGTGTCAGGATTTCCTCCGGTGTGCGCGGAGAGGCTACGAGTGTTTGTGGAAAACAGGCAGGAAATTCCACCAGGGAGCAAAAAGGAAAAGTGCAGTGGATGAGATCTTGAGTGAGAAAGCAGATGGTGGAATTAGGGGAAAGAAAAATACATAGCCTGGGGCAGGCCCTAGTGAAAGGCCATGTGGCCTCTATTGCACAGCGAGCAGCGCTGATGACACATCCTACTGCAGCAGGCCTGGAAGGAGCACACGTATTTGCTGAATTACTCAGTAAAGTGGTCACAGCCCCAAGACTGTTGCAGTTCAAGAAGCATTTTAACCATGCTCTCAGATGTAGTATTTGAATTTTGGGTGGTTCTGTATGGATCCAGGAGCTGGACTCAATGGTCCTTATGGGTGCTTTCCAACTCGGGATATTCTGTCACTCCATGAGCTCTGGTCTTCATGGAGTAGTGTTGGTGTATGCCTGAAGCACCCTGAATTTATTCTCTGGTCTTAGCTTTACACATATTCATAACGTTTAATGAAATACGCTACTTATATGTGCATATTGCTACGTTGTGACCTTACAGAAATATTAAAGCTGTGTCCAGATTCCGAGAAATCCAGTGTAGACTGAAGAACCCAGTGACTAACCTGGTTTCTGTAACTTGTTGGCTGCTGCAGAGCTGTGGAGGCTGGGGCTGGCAAAATGGAGAAGCTAACTGAAGGGTTTCTGAGAATCGTTCCATTTTGGAAACCTGTCCGATAATAGATTAAAAGGGATTGAGAATTCTCCTGTTAAAAGTCCAAATTTTTCTCAAACTCTGATACCGTGTATAATTACCTTCAAAAAAAAAAAAAAAAAAAAAAAAAAAAGTTTGAATGTTTTAGATTGATATAAGAATTCCCAAAATGAAGACATTTTAGAAAATGAAGAAAATAAGCATTGAACCTTCTGCATTTCTATGACACAAAAACAAGCCTTCAGAATCCAATGGGAAAGACATATTGTGGGCTTTGCAGTGATAAGGGGCTCTGCATCCCAAGTAGACAGAGCAGTTCACTGTGCCAGAAGTGTGGCTTCTATTGCAAGTGATGATTCGTCTTGGATTAGGTACGCACGTCTTCATAGAATCATTGAGTGGCTTGGGTTGGAAGGGACCTCAATGATCATCAAGTCCAACCCCCTGCCATGGCAGGGCTGATAACTGCTAGGTCAGTATTAGATCAGGCTGCCCAGGGCCCCATCCAGCCTGGCCTTGAGCACTTCCAAGGATGGGGCATCCACAGCCTCTCTGGGCAACCTGTTCCAGCACCTCACCACTCTCTCAGTAAAGAACTTTCCCCTGACATTCTAGGAAATACGCTTAATTATTAGTTTTAAACTAGGAGTAAAGAGTGTAGAAATGAGGATTAGCTGACCGCTGTCCTGGTGGCCAAAGATTTACCAAGAAGAAAATGAAATTGTTGAAATCTCAGTGAGTCAGAGAAGCCAACTACCAGCAGAATCTAAGGGATGTGAAACCACATTAAGAGATAAACAACTTGTTTTTATTGAACTCACTTTATAAAGAAATCTGTGCTATTCTGTTTCATTTTCCTGTAATTCAAAAACATTTTTTCTATGTTCCCAGCATAAATTAGAGGAAGGGTCTATAGAAGCCCTATAACCCAGTCCATGCTGTTGTCACGTGAGTTTTTACCTAATTGCAGCAGATGCATTTCCTTCCCTGTTACTATTTTCCAACAGAAATTGAACACAAATTCACCCAGTCTGCTGTACGAACAACACTTTAGCATGGTCTAGATGCTTGTATCTGTAAGTTCTGAGCTTTTTCAGCACAGCAAAGAAACAGTGGCAACAGGGAGGAAGGAAGTGTTGAAAAGCTAGTGACTGTGAGAACCAGTTCAGTGTCTGAGGCGTATTTAGCACTGGGAAAAGCTGGTTCAGTTCTTAGCTCCCTTTTCTCTCATTTAATTTGTTATGCACTGCTGTTTTTCATGTCTTCACATGTCTCTAAGATGTTCAAAAATCTACAGATGAAACCTGCAAGTAAAAATAATGCAGGTAGAAGAGCTAGTCATGCCTTATAGTCTACAGCTTTCTCAATGTAGTTTATACTATAAACCTCTTAGTTACATGCTAATGTAATAGCTGACAGTAATTGAGGCTTTGCCTGCAGCACATCGCTTTACAAAAGCATAGAGATGAGGTTATCTGTGATCTTAAATTTAAAAAACGAATACATTTCTTAAGCTAGTGCAAGTAGCTATGCCATACCATACTCAGCAGCAGCAGTATTTGAACCAGGAGCTGCTTCTACCAACATCTACCCTGTCAAGCAGGAAGACTGTCTGCAATCAATTGCTTGCACCAATAGCTCACATTTATGAGAGGGACCATAGTGCTCATCTGTGTTGAATATAGCACATGATGAGAGGACACATTGCTGAATGCTCTCTATACTGCTCTTTAAATAACCACAAGAATGGAAAACAAGCATTTTGAGAACATCTGTTGGGTCTGCCTCATTGCAGCACAGCTGCCCTAACAGCTCCCAGGTGTTCCCAGTTCTTAGGCTGTATGTTAGCACCTGATCTCATTCCAGGTAAAGGTGTTTAGCTTGATGTTTGCTCTTACTGTGGGCTAAAAGGAGGAGGGTGGCATTAGCAGTTTGAATGAAATTTTGAAGAACAAAGGAAAGGTGCTTTCCTAATGAAAATTATCCTCTCTACTGAATTTGAATAAGCTGTTTGCAGATACAGGTGGGAGGGGTGGTTAGCTTGTTTGCTTGATTTTTTTTTCTTAGTAATGGTGTTCTTTGAAGGCACTGGGAGGTTAAATGCAGATGGATTACTGATCTGTAGGGGGAAAAAAAAGTTATCTTTGTTGAAAAGAGGAATATTGCAGAGGAAAAGCAGCTTTTCAGAAAACTGGATGAGGTACCAGTTTAAATTACGTGCAACCTGTATGAAAATGCCTCGTAGCTGATCCCAGGGTGAAATTTTTTTTATGTAGATGCAAGTCCTTCTGTTAAGACTTGTTCTGAAACTTGGCTGCTGCAAATGAAGTTTTATCTGACCTGAAGCTAGAAGAGTCTTGGGGCACATACTTCCACAATTAAGTAGGTTCTTCTGAACTGAAATTGTTTAAATAGTCTGAATTGTAGCTTGTGGTGCTAAGCTGTGCTTTTGTATTTGAAGGCTGAAGGGAAGAGTGATGGAGGTGAATTGTGTAATCTAACTGGCATCCTGGATGAGTAAGTACAAGCAAGTTAATAGATGTGTTCTTAATGTTGGGATGACTGAATATGAGTAAGAACCTCAGACCATAAATCAGGCCTTGTCAACATCATTGCTGTATTTTCTTCCTCTGGGAAGAGGCAACCAGAGTGGTGATAGCTGTCTCCTGGCAGGAGGCACTGACTTGGAGGAGTTTTTGTTTGTTTGTTTGTTTGTTTTTTTTAAAGAGGTCATTATATGTTTACAGCATTTAGAAAAGTATCTAACATCTTTCTCTCTTCGTCCCCTCCCCCCCCATCACCTTTTCTTGGGGCTTGATCGTGGCATTTTGAAATCATCTTTTTATTGGCAGAATGACAGTTATCTAGGGACTTGTGGAAGTTTGTGCTGTCTGGGTTATTTTAAAAAGCAGTGAATTCATATGATAAAGCAATATTCTTGTATTTAAAAGTCTATAATCCAAGTGTAAGATGGGAAATAAGTGTGTTCAAAATGAGGAGGGAAAAAATATAAGCTGGTATGTATGTAGAGAACTCATTAGCTGGCTGGAAGAGCTTCAAACTTGAATTGGTGGAAATGTTATCAGTTAAATAAACAGAACAAGGTAGCACTACCAGCAGTAGGTACTATTCACCCAAGCCTTCTGCAGGAGGGTGAAGCAGCTGTGCTGCTGTTTGTAGCCTTCCTTTCAGGTAGACTTGTTCTGAGAGGATTGGAAAGTGCTGAACAGAATGCCAGCTCTTTTCTTAAAAGGCACTGGTTAGGTCTAGGAAACTGCTGATCAGTCTGGGCTTGGAAGAAGTGGTGAAAGTAATAATAAATGATGTACTAATGGAAACCTGAAGAAATATGCTGTAGAGGAATTGATTTAGTTTCTAGAGAGAAAGCATGCCTTATAAACTGCCTGGAAAGCTCCTGAAAGGATCAGTCGGCATCCATGGATGTTGAGATAGACCACATGGCTTTCTGAAGACTTCAACAAGGTTGCTCACCACAAGCTGTTGAAGTAAGCACTTACAGGATCGGAAGTAAGGTCTTAATGAGGGTAAATAGCATATTAAAAGCTAAGGAAAGCAGTGTTGAAGAAAGTGGTTTTAATGGTGCTAGAGGAAGAAAGAGGTCTGCAGTGGAGCCCCTGACAGATTTTAACATAAAGCTACGGGCGCTGGCTTTGAGGCTCCCGCAGCGCCTTGTTGGAAGGGTGCTCTGGAAAAAGCATCACTACACTGCTGTGATTCATCTTGCCTCCCGGGAGGTGTGCATTGCTTTCTGCTGACTGCACGGGGCCCATGGTGACTAGCTCAGCCCCAGCCAGCTAGCTTTTAGTAGAGTGAATCCCGCCCCAAATTAATGGGTTTATTTCTATCCAAGTGTAAAGGAGGGGGGGGGGAGGGGGATTTTCAGCACCAAAGCTTTGAAATCATTGTGGCTTTTATCACTTACATACCCTTTTGGCATACTAAGTATGTTTTAGGTATATGCAAATCATGGAACATCGCATAATCCAGCACCATTCCTGGTCACATTTAGGGGAATCATGTAAGAGGGGCAGAGAATCCAGTTCTTTCATTTCTGTCAAATGCTTTGGGAACTTTTGGACAATTCTTCTATCTTTCAGCATCAAAATCAGGTATGAACCAAAATGTTCCCTGCAGCACTGCTGCCCATCTTACATGCAATCTCATTTTCTTTGGATTCTCTGATAGCTTCTTTCTGAGAGCTGTTAGAGGTCTGTGTGTATCAGTGTAAGTGAACACATCTTTCATGGGACACTGGCAGGCCACGCATGTCCTTGAGACCCAAACTGCTTACAACTGTAAGTCATTGAACAGAATAGCACAGTGGTACGTTTCTCTTCCATTTAAGTGTGTCAGAGGAAGATAATGCAACAGGATTTTCCCCAAAGACATGACATTACTTCAGTGCATTTTATTTTCTTTGTTTGCATCTTAAATAAGTTCAGTTTAGCATGGTTATTTGTAAACTGTTCTCTTTTCTAGAAGGAAGAAAAATACAAATAATTAACCAAGTGTTAAGTTCTGGGTGCAGAAAGTGTTTGCTGAACACTGTGTCTTTGAATTATTTTCACTTGGAGATGAAACCAGAATATGGTTTGAACTTAAGGGCAAAACACACACATTCATCTTAAGGCAGATTTAATTTATTCTGTTAAAATAAGAAGAGATGCAGTGAATTACAAATTAATTAGTCAAGTCTAATGCCATTTTTCAGGAGAAAGGCGAAATGCTAGCAGTGAGTGCTGTTTCCACTCGTGCTGCTGCTTCTTCCTCACAGAGTACGTTTGCAAATACTTGCTCTAGTTGTTTTGAACCGCACAGCAACCCTGTCGCGTTTCCTGTTAAAATGAGCAAACTGAACTTTGCAGCCTGTGTGCATTGCTCTGTAACAGCAGCCTGAGTGATGCTTTCCTTGGCCAGATGGCGACAAGGGTGTGTGAGCCACGGCTCCTGAACTCAGGCTGAACCTCACAAGCAGGATGATGCTGCTATGGGCCCTGCGTGGGCTGGCGACACAGCTGCCTCTGGCCTCGGGGCCTGGCTGTGTGTGGAGCAATGGCCTGTCGGGAGGAGATTGCTTGTTTTTGCTGCCAAGCACTGGGGAAGGTCATTGGCTTGGCTGCAGCATCGTCAAGCTGAAAAGTTGTCTGATGTGGTCACCTATTCAGCACAGGCTTTTCTGTGTGATTTCTTTTTTACAGTATTCTTTACCTCTTATATACTGCCTTTACCTGCTGTTTGGTAGTGGGGTCTGGGGCTGTAAATCATAAGGAAATAATCTTTAGCTTGTTTTCCACCTCTTTATTTAGTTATTTATTTTTTCCCAGCTAACGAGGTCTTAAGTCTTTCCAGATTTTAGGGGAGGGGATGGGTCTTAATGATGCGAAGGAATTTTAACATAACTCTCACCAATGGAAAAGCTCTTAATAAGTGGTGAAAACTTTGGCCCCTGTGTGAGCATTCAGTCCTTGGTACCCTTAAAACTTTCCACACGAGAGCTTTCCAGTCATCTGCGTATAGCTCTCCAAAAATATTGCTGTGATCTCATCCAGTAAAATAACCCTGGTCAGTGCTGGCCCAAATGCTCAGTTAGGATGTATCAGCTGCAGGGCCACGGGGCTATGGCCAGCATGCACTCTCCCGAATGAAGGAGCAATGCCATTGGGTCAACACAGGCAGAAACTTTGTCCTCTATGTGGTAAAGGGTGATGAAATGTGTTGAGTTAGTGGCTCTGCAGGGCAGCGAGTGTGGCAGGCAGCAGCTTGTGGGCCCAATGTCATGGGGGCAAGGCTTTTGAGATAGCTAGGCGTGTTTACCCCCAGCAATGAGAAGTCCTATTTTCCATATCCAGGCCATACCGGCTCTGGGAAGGTCCTGTGCATATTGGACCTTTCCTTTTCTAACACCAAGCACTTCAGGACTGACATTTTCTTTCAGTTAACTGCTGTATCATGAAGTTATGTATCATGAAGCAATCTATAGAGTAATTTATAAATCTGCAAGTGAATAGCTGCTTAATTAGTTAGGAATAGTTATCAGTAACAACACAGCCTACTAGCTGCTCTTGTGTTTCCTCTTTGGCAGAAACCTGAGCAGCTTCTCTGCAACCCCAAATTTTTCTGAAAAAGTGGGGAAGTTGGGAATTTGAGAAACTTGATCTTGTTTTCTGAAGTTGCACAAGTGTAACTGTGTAACAGCATCCTTAGCTCTGAGCTTCCCAGAGGTGAAAGTAGGACAATCCAATCACCTTTAGCCCTGTGGTTTGGTGGAGATAGACGAGGATTTATGCTACTCCACAAGATATAGAATATCCCAAGTTGAAGGGTTCTCACAAGGGTTGTGGCATCCAGATCCTGGCTTCACACAGGACTATCCAAAATTCAATCCCTGTGTTTGAGAGCATTGTGCAAATGCTCTTTGAACTCCAGCAGCTCTGGGATGTGCTCACTGCTCTGGGCAGCCTGTTCCATGTCCACTGCCCTCTGGTGCAGAACCAAGATTTTCAATCAAAATGGCAATAGTTAAGGAATCTTTTTCTTGTATTAGATATATGATGTGCTCTATATAGGAGTGTCTTTTTATTTTATGTTACTTTATACATAACTAGTCAGTCTTTGGCCCTCATTACTATTTTTTCTGTTATTAAACCCTAGGGTGTAAAACATAGTCTCCAAATCTACATAAATAAAGGCAAATATTTTCAGCTGAGTGGGGTGATCAAATCGTGTTGAGGGAGTTTGAATCTAGGCACAGTGATGTCATTCAACTGCTGTTTGATTTTTATTTTTTTTTTTTAAGGAAAAAATGGAAAAGAATACGTAATTGTGCCATAATTATATGGGGTATACGTGTTGAAACCCTGAAAATATTTAGAAGCACCTGTTGGATAGGCAAAATTTTAGGCAGCTACGCACCATTGATTTGGTGAGTTCTGTTTTGGGGGCTGTTGGTGGCTTTTTCAGGTTAAGTGCATCTGCATGTATTTGCCAGACTGAGGTCATTTGCAGTCCAGCACATGGCTGTGCTTATTGTTTGGAAGGTAGAGTTAGAGATAAAATCAGTTGGATTAAAATCTGAGAGAACACATAATTTTGTTGTGATATTAGCTTATAAGGAAACATTTTTGCCATAAATTGTACCGTATAAATTTCTATTTGTAGTCCCAGATTGGAGCACCAGCTGTGTCTATCACTGGAATGATCTAGTTAACAATGCGTGTCGGAGAAAATTATAGCATAATTTATTCATATTTCTTAGAATAGCAGAAATAAGGCTGAAATCCATGTGAGTGTAGACAAAGATGTTGTCCTATTCTATAGCCTATCCAAGGATGCAAAGAGAAAATCCTGTTGTGATGGATGATAAAGGAAAAGCATATTAAAGTGTAAGTTCCAATCCAAGTCAAAAAAAGCATGCACTTCAGGTAGAAATAGCTGATAGAACCTGCCAGTCAGTTTATGAGCAGCTAGGAACGTAGCACAATTTCCTACTCTGAGCTTTTGGGTGTGTGGGGAATGAACTTAGGATTGATTCAGTCAAGCCTGGAGAAAGATGGCTAAAAATCAAGATCCCTTTATATTTCTTATGTCAGTGTTTAGCTGTGCTTTCTGTCAAGGCTTTTCTTTAATCTTTCAGTGGGAGACGTTGGCCAGAAGAAAACAAGGAGTCTAAGATTTATGTCATGTCTTGCAATAGCTATGCCTTGGCTTGCAACAAGGCAGAAAATGAACAGTGCTTCTTCAAGCTGATACAACATTGAGAGAGCCCTTACTCACTAAGACATTGCAGAATGGTATGAAGAAGCTAGTGTTTCAAGTTAAGTGATATCAGGGCCTTTTGTGAGCTGGTGTTTTTTGACACAGATCTTGAAAGCACCACTAAAAAGCACTTGTGTTGGCGATCATTCTGTAGTTAAAATAAATGTCAAATTACTGGAAATCTGAAAAATATGGTACGTGGTAGTTTCCTGGCTGGTCTTGGTTTGCCTCGGAAATGCTTTGGTAATGCTGTGCTTTCAACAAATGTTAATATAACAAAGCACATTCTGTGTGCAGCGCTTCTGGTGGTGACTCTTCTCCCAAATCTCCAATGGTTAGAAAGTCTAGAACTCCTTATTGTCTCCTCTGGTGAAGTGGTTACGGCCCTTTGCCAGCACTGTTCCCCTCTTGCCAAACAGAAGGCTGTATCTGCAGCGGTGACTAGCTGAGCTGGCAAAAATAGAAATGGCATTTCTTGCTCATAAGGGGCAGTTTGACTTGGACTTGGACTTGGTGGTTCTGAGTGGAAAAAAACTGCAGTGTTTACTCCTGCTCCTTGTGCTGAGTGAAACCAAGAAGTGAAATTCAATGTGAGAATATAGGAGTCAATACATGTGAGAGCTGAAAAATCCCAGATAAATGTAGATCTAACTAAGCTTCAATGGTCTGCCTCAGGGTAATTTTTCCTGTTCATACATATCTCTTCCTAACATATCACAAAGTTCAACTTGAGAATGGGATTTAAAATATACTGAAAAACTTATTTTTTTGGTCTGCTGAAGCCAACTAGTAGTTCATTTAGAAAAAGATAAGTATTCTGCGATTTCCAAATTTTCTTTTACATTAGAGAAACCATATTATCTCAGTTTTGCTTGGAGTATGGTATAAAATTAAATTGAAAATGCTGAGAGAAATGTAGCTATCTGAATGATGCAACCGAAAGAGAAAGTAGATAACCTCTGAGCATTTGCTAAAGTTAGCATGTACCGAAACAGTCTACGAGGTAGAATTGTTTCATTCTCGTGGGCAGTATCCTGCATATGTGCTTGTGATCACTGGAGCACTGCTGGTCCCTTATTTTCGGGGCTGTAAGCACTGCGGAGTGCTGGTCTGCTTTTACCATTTTATAACCTTGATAGATAGCTTAAGAGCAGAAAGAAGGGAAGTAGAAATCTGCTGGATTTGCAGATAAGAAATGGAGAAGCAGATTAAGTAATTTTCCTGGGAATATTCGGGAAAAATGCTGGCAGATCAGGAAACTGGTTTGGTGCACAAATCCTCATTCCTCTGAAAGGAACATTGCTCCCTTTCCAATACACTGTCACTTGATATGTCTGTTTAGGAACCTAAATGTAACACTCCTTGTCTGAAAAGACATCCTTAGTTACCTGGAAAGTTAAATTAGTTTTTAAAAATAGTTAAAAGAATTCAGTGTTTGCTTGTAGAAGATTATCTGATAAGGAAACCACTAAATGTGGTAGGTACGAGTGTGGGAGTCAAACAGTAACACTGCACTGTGCCCATCAAGTGTTTCTGCTAGGGAACGTGGCTAGAAGGGAGTATAAACATGAATATGAATTTATCATTCAGTTTGGGACTCTGGAATGTTTCTATTTTAATAGTGTTCTAATAAAATCAAAACACTGAATCTTTCCCAGCAAAGTTATAAATAGAATGTAGGCACTCTCCTCGTTACACAGAAAGATGGACTGAAAAATGAGATTATTCACAAAATGGAAAGAAATCCACTAAAAAATGCTGACATTTTACTTGTATCTCTGTGTTGCCACATTTCTAGATGATAAGCAGCTGTCATTTCTCCTTCATTTTCCTGTGTAATTGTTTTATTCTCGTGACTGAGAATGGAACGATGCAACATAAAGACAAATGGCCTTTTTGCACAGTGGCCCCAGAATGCTGCTGAAGGCTGAGCTGATGGTGAACCCAGTGACAAGGGGTCATCTTAAGATCCAGGTGGCCTTGGTGTCTTTGTGGTCACGCAAACCATCCAAACAGAATCTACTAAGAAGGTACATTGAAAGATACTTTTTTGGTTCTGGGACTTGCTCTGTACATGATACAAAGCTGAAAGGATTGGCTAGCACACCAAGGGTTATGCTGCTATTCAGAGGGACCTTGACATATTGGAGTAATGGGATATCAGGAACCACAAAACATTCAATAAAGGGAAGTGCAAAGTCTACTCTTGGAATGGAATAGCCCCAATGATCCTTGTGCTCTGCTCAGCACCAGTGTAATCACATCTGGAATGCTGTGTCCAGACATGGGCTCCCCAGTACAAGGTACAAGATCTTCCACCTGGGTCAAGGCAACCCTCACTACTAGTACAAGCTAGGAGATGAAAGGATTGAGTGCAGCCCTGCCAAAAACGATCTGGAGTTACTGATGAGCCAACAACGTGCTCTTGCAGCCCAGAAAGCCAACTGTGTCCTGGGCTGCACCAAAAGAAGCCAGCAGGCTGAAGGAGGTGATCCTGCCCCTCTGCTCTGCGCTGGTGAGTCGTTGCCCACAGTACTGCATCCAGATATGGAGTCTTCAGTACAGGAGCAACATGGGCCTGTTGGAGTGTATCCAGAGGAGGGCCACAGAAATGATCCAAGGGATGGAACAGCTCTCCTATGAGGACAGGCTGAGAGAGCTGGGGCTGTTCAGCCTAGTAAAGGCTCCAGGGCGAACTTATAATCAATGCTTATAAATATCTAATGGGCAGCAGTCAAGTGGATGGAGCCAGGCTCTTTTCAGTGGTGCCCAGTGACAGGAAAAGGGGCAGTGAGCACAAACTGGGGCATAGGAAGTTCCCTACAAACACACAAAAAAATCTTTACTTCGAGGCGACAGCATGAAACAAGCTGCTGAGAAAGGCTAAGGAGTCTCCTGAAGATGTTTAAGACCCATCTGGATGCTTTGGTGTGTAACCTACTGTCGGCAGCCTGCTTTAGCAGGGGCTACATAACATGTTCCTCAGAAGGCCCCTCCAGCCCCTATGATTTTTGTAAGCTAGGAGCATCAGCTACAGTTATGGCTCCCAAAGAGCTGTTAATACTGCTAGACAAGTCTTAGAACTATAAAAGAGAAAGACAAAGAAACGAAATATTTTGCTGAAGGCCATCTGCAAGTGGTATCTTCCTCACTGCTTGCACAGTGCTCTATTCACAGCACCATTTTTTTTCCCCCCCCAAAGTATGCTCTGGAATTTGTTTCAAGGCCCTTATGGGTAACAAATGATATATGAATGCACAAATCTCACTTGTTATAAACATACTAGTGCAAACTGTATTTCTGAACCAAGTTTGCCCTCGATTCAGCACTTTGTGGAAACAGAGGTACATTCATTCTCTGAGAATTTCTTCAACAATCTATTCACAACCACTCGTGGGAAGCGCCACATCTCCAAGCATGTGTGAGAGAAAACCACTCTAATTGAGTGCATGAGTAACTGGCTGCCAGACTGTGACTAGCCTGTATGCAAGCCCACAGTTGGGCACATCTGCTGGGAGCAAGGAGCCATTACTGGGCCATCTGATCCTCTTCCTTTTTGTGAGCTGCCCAATAGGCAAGGTACTGAAAAATGAAGACAAATCCCCTGCCTGCTATTTCAGGGTAGCTGTGTGAAGTGCAGTTTGCTCCATGCAGTACAGATCGTTCATTCTGCTATAGCATCTCCTAAATACATCTTTTATCTACCTATATACAGAGCTGTACATAGTTGCAGGTACTCAATATAATTGAGGGTTTTAAACTTGCAAAAGGAAGTTGTTAAGCATTGAGATGTAAGGATAGTTTGGGGCACAACACTACCGTGAAAGGCAAGCGATATGTTTGGGGTTTTATGTAGAGCTTGTTTGACTCTTTTTCTCCCTAAGTACCAACATACTCTTTCGTTTGAATTTTCTTGGGAATGGGCTTTTCCACTCGGGCAAAATTAAACTTCAGCTCCAGCTTACTGCTGTTGGAAGTTATGCTGTTTGATAATACATATGCATGACTTTTGCTCCTTAGATGGGGAGGAATTCGCAAGTCACCATATACTTTTAGATGTAGACTTCTATTTCACTTGGTATCTTTGCTTGCTTGCTATAAAAGCATCTATCATTTTCTGTTCTACTATTAAAAGCTGATCTAGTCATGCTTTTCTAGGAAACAAAACAAAACAAAAAAGCAAGTGACGGATTATGACTAATAAAACAAGGCAGCCATAAAGCATATGAAACAGGATGATCAAAGGCATCAGGGTACCGCAGGATGCACTTACATAGCTCATTTAAAATGTCCAAATCATCCTCATAAGATTTGATAAACATCGATTTTGCTGGTAGAGGGCAGAAGATAAAAAAGCAGCCCCCCTCCTCTTTTTCTGCAAAATGAAAGGAACTGATGTAATTGTTCTAAATTCAGTACAATGAAGTGCTATCGGACCACTGCCAGCAGTGCATTTCCTGCCAGTGTCTGCTCCTCCAATCAGTTTAATTATGAGCAATTGTTTGGGTTGTGCTGTGAAAAAATATTAGAGAATGGAAAAAAGAACATACTTCAGGTCATTATTTTGTAACTGATTCATGGTTTGGCAGAAACCATTAACTAGATTTTATGCTTTACAACGCTGTAATAGTATCAGCATGGATCAACCTTGCCATATAAGCACATAAGCACAAATCCACCATTTATTTTGACAAGGTTCTAGTTGAAGCATTTGAAAAACGCTGAAATAACATCAGCTATTGGCTAGAATTTTAGGTTAATCTTGTGCCTTCTCTTATCCAAGAGATCTCTAAGCAAGCTATGAAAAAACTGGTGATTGTTAATGCCTCCTATGTTTATCTGTCCTGTCAAATTTTGCTGATGGTTTTTCATGTGCTTGACAAACATCTCATGTCTTGCTGTTACATGCAGAGGCATTTTGTAAACCCTACATTTGTTCTTGTGGAGGTGCAGAGCAGGGGAAGATGGCTCTGTCCCCAGTGTGCAGGATTGCTCTTCTGCCATGGATTTTTTCCTTTTTCCTGGGATGTCAGAGATTTACCTGAGCTAACTGGATGTTTCAAGAGGTGCGTGTTGGCTTC